TCAGCCAACAGTCGCGAAGGCAAAAGAAAATAATAACCGGGCGACGCGCATTCTTCTCTGCTTTGATTCGCCTCTGTGCGTTTAATATATAAATTTATATATTTTAAAGAGGGAAAAGTGGACCTCGCGAGTCTTCTCAAAATAAGCATTCGTAACATAATTAATTTCGAGATAAAGATAAATTGTAATTATTTAATGCTATTTGCAGACAACAAGCACTATTATTAAATAGTTTAAATAACATTTACATATTATTTTATAAGTATTTGTTTCTTATTAAATATTCTATTTAACGGTATTATTGTAAATACTATATTTATTTAATTTTTTATTTTTAAATAAATTAATTTTATTTAGTTGGGAATTATCACTTGTAAAATACAGCAATAATTATATTTTGGATCTTTTACAATTATATCAAAATATAATAAAATTTAGCTCCTTAACTAGCCTAAATTTAACAAGAACAAAATGCAAATGGCATCCTGATATGTGTGTCTAGGTTTAAAAGGGAAAATTAAATTTTATTCTATGTAATTAATAATTCAAAAAAACAAAGGTACGATCAATAGCATAAATTCCATAAAGTTATCTAGTAAGAAGAAATAGTGAAGAACCTTGAAAATTCGGAAAGCTCTTGTCATAATTATTATCATTGAAATTAAATTTTTAAACATTCTCACTAATCCTGGGTTGAAAAGTCCTTATGCTTTTGTTCAAAATAAATTTAAAAAAAAAAACCCTCCGCCCCACGTTGCACTTCCGAATTCTTCTTCCCACATCAAAGAAGTCCCCGTCTCCCTGCAGTGATTTTTTATTCCTTGTGAAATGCAAATTCGCGCCGCGGCGATTATTATCTTTCGCACCTCCCGATCTCGCGGCGCGAGCGAAGAATTCCAAATCAGAAAGAACTAGAAAAAAGCACTTCTTGCGGTTTTTTCATCTCTCTTTTTTTCCACTGCTGCATTTTTTTTTCGTTGTGTATTCCCAAAAGCCGCGGAATAAAAAATTCATAACTTAATATTGTCGGTTCGGAGGCGCGTTTTTTTTTTTAACTGCCTCGCACAATAAGAAATTCCAAGGGCAGGATGGAAATAAGGCGCGGGGCAGATACACACATGTGAGTGCATCATTTGTCATAACGTAAAATCGTTTTATATGCAGTCCCCCTCGCAAGATCCCTCACGTAAATCTCGGCGCGCGAGATAAAATAGTACAGCATCCGATCTGCCGCTGCCCCCACCATGCATCCGTGCCCGTCTCGTGTCCACAGCTATTTTTTATTCGCGCGTAATTACATGTCATGCATCCATTCTTGATAAAGGGCAGCCGCTCTCCGGAACTAAATCGTCGTGGCCGCCAGCAGCTTGCGACCAAAATAAAAGCGGTTTTGAACGCATTGTAGAATGCAAGGGGAAAAATTGGACAATTTTTAGATCTGTTTTTAATTTAAAATCAATTATAAACTCAATTGCACAAATCTGATGGATTAAGAGTATAATATGTATCAAAAAAGTTAACAGAAAAATTGAAAATTAAATTGGATTTTTTTTTGTGGACAGAATTTTGCTATATAAATAATTATTATAAGCTTAACAATACTTTTGGAGTTTTGAGATTTGAAATTTTTAGCAGAAAAGAATCGCATGAATATTTAAAAGATTGAAAACTTCAACCTGGGTTCCAAGAGGAATTTACCATTCGATTTCTGCCTAACACAATTGGAGTATTCAAAATTTTAAAATCATCCTAAAAAACATAAAAAGTTTTAAGACAGAATCTAAATACCTGAAGTGGCTTCAGTCTTACTAATTTTAATTCTCATAAATCATAATTATCGCAATAACTGGTTGCAGTTAAAAAAAACTTAAATCCACTTATATAATTCACAATATTTTTCACACTGAAAGCGACGGCAAAATCAAAGAGAATCCCAATCGTGACAAAAAAAATTAATCCACTTTTTTTTAAATCGTTTACAGGCTGCTATATAAATAAATAAAGTTTATATAAAATATGTGCATTTATTCTTGGAAATCTGTTGGAGATTTAATGAAAAATCAGTCCCTGAGATTCCACCAGTAATTAATTCACGGTCACAGTCATTTTCAAGCGCGACTTTCTCATGAAATGATCGATTTTTAGCCGAGATAAAATTGCAACATATTGTTTGTTGGCATCGAATATTATATTGAAGTGCGTTATCTAGATCAGGTTGTGCTGGCAATAATATTTTTTTTTTACAATTCGAGAGCAATATCATTGTTTCAAGGCAGAAACACCTGCTACGTATATTGTCACACATTATTTATTATGTCACTTAGCAGAAGAAACACGCGTGTTTACTTCGCACTCTCCCAGCACAGCATCTTTGCCGCGACCCCGCGGGACGCGTTTATCATTTTCGCCTCCCCAACCTGAATATTTGAATTTGTTTACGTTTGCCCTCTCTTGAGATTTGCAGAGAAAACGAATGTTTCACTTTCACAGCGTAAAATTTAGACTCTTTAATTAATTCAACCTGAATTTAATTTGTTTATTATTTTGTTTTAAAATAAATATTTTCACAAGATTTTTTCAGCTCAAGTAGATTAATTTTTGCTGAAAATATTGAATAAAATTTTGATTCACTATTGATGCTGTGTATTTGTGCATATTGTTACAAACGCATTGTTTAAATTATTGAGAAACTATTAAAAGCAAACAAAATAAAAAAAGAGATCGCTGGATTTTTAATTAAAAACTATTTTAATTACATTGCAATAGGAGTTGTTTCAAAAATTTAATGGCTAACAAAAAGCCGACTGTGCCAAAAGGATTCATTAATTTATCCAGTGACCTTGCCTTGGGCAGCGTGGTGAGCAGTTTGTAAAATAATGCTTCCTAGGCAGACACACGAGGAATGTATGTGGACGACGTTTGCGTAATTTTGCCGCAGACACAATGACCTAATATACGCGGCCAAGGCACATTTAATAATTCAGGTCCTTCCTTCTTGAAATCTTTACAATTATGTATTTTGAGAACATGTCTAAACAAACAACTAAAGGTACAATTTTTGCAATTTTCCTTGAATACTGAAGTACAACCATAATATTTGAAAACATTTAATTAATATTCTTTTTTATGTATATCTGTATTTTTAAATTTGTTGTTCTGAACAGTAATGCAATAATTTTTAAAAAGCATATATTATAATATTTTTAATTATGTATTCAATAATTAAAAATATCTTGACAAATATTTATTTTAAAACGTAAATTATAAAAGTATTAAATTTATATAAATAAAATTTAAATACTCTTCTATAAATATTTTCTCTTATACCACTCGTCACATTTTATTGAGAATAGAGAGAATGGAGAATTGTCCAGGACACTACGTTAATAACCACCACAGCTTTATGCTAGAAAAAAATAGTGATCGCCACTACTTCTCCCACGGCTGCTTGATATCAACCGATTCTCCTGAGATAATCATCAGTCTTACTTTAATAATTCCGCTCTCTGGTGAGAAAAAATCTGTGCGCTCCTGGGCGTTTCTCTTCACATGATTTTTTCATTAATTAAATCTGACCCAAAGCTCAATTACGTTGGCTTTTATAATGCAATTTTCGAAATTTTATTTAAAACGTTAGTCCATTAATTTAGACTGGTGAAAAATCTTCTTTACTTCTTTTTAAAATCACTCAATAAATTAGTTTTTGACGTTAAATCTTTGCGTTTTTATTGATCTGAAAAAAAAAAATTTGAAAATAATGACTGCATTTTATCTTTCCTGCAATAAAAAAGATTCTAATTTAGGTTTTATATTCAAATATCAGGACTGAATTGAAAATTTTAATGTCAGTGTTACATTTTAATTTTATTCAATAATAAGAAAAAATTTGAACAAAATTGCCTTTTTTTTTTTCATAAAATAAAAATAATGACATATTTTTTAACTGAAATGTGACCATTAAAAATTTGCTTGGCAAAATTATGAAGTTTTCATTTAACTGTTTTTAATTTTAATTTGCCCCTCTTATATTTGAGGATTCGTTAGTTTTTTTCCCAGCTGGTCAAAGTCCGCAGCAGCAATAAAATGAGGCGATAGTGGCCAGGGGTAGAAATTGCAAGTGACGTCAGTTCAATGAGAATTGCTTAATAACCCAGCCCGGCTATATTAGATTCTTTCTTTCCTTCTCTTGTTCTGTCCGCAGTGTATGTTTAAGTAGCGAGTACAGCCACGCGCAAAACCGACCGTGTATCTCTCTCGCATCTATCCCTTTGATAATGGCTTTTCGCAGCCGAATGAGAAAAGACGATCGACTCGCTGGGATAATAAAATGCATTGGCAGATAAGCCGTCGGCTGCAAACTACTGCATTGAATGACCCATTTCGATGGCTTTTCACCTTTTTGCAAACGACGGGATCAGGAATACGGGCACTTTTGTGCCGAAAAAGGGAAACTGCTGATATTGTCGGCATTAAATTTGCGGATTGGATTTTTCTCTAAAAAAGATAGAAAAAGCTTTTTTCAGCAATAAATAGTTATTGGTATAAATTCTTTTTTTTTAATAATAAACAAGATTTGAAGATTTTGTTTGGCAGAAAACTATTTTCTTTTCGTCGATTTTCGCTGATCCCTCGCTCTCTCAACAAAGGCGATAAAGAGATAGCGAAAAAGTACTTTCCTCCACTCACGTTGTATACAAATGGCATCATCAATGGACCATCTCGAGCTTTTATGTCCGAGCGAGACGTTCTCGAATGCGAGCACCGAAGTACATTCGCCGCGCGGCGATAAGCCATGAGATAGCAAAGGTTAATTCCATTGAACGAGTCAAGAGGTCCTCTCTCACTTTATAAATCTCAATAGTGCTCATCTCGCCCAGTCAACAATGATTGACGTGATCTTTCCCTCTCTCTATCCCACCCGATCCAACCTATTCTGCAGAGAGCGGCGCACCGACTTTGGTAACGCGAGAGATAAAAAAAAAATTATAATCTGTACTCACCGAGCGTTCACAGAAGTTGGGTGGCCCATTTCGTCGCCAACTGGTTTCCTGCAAATTAAAACCAGCAGAAAGTTGCTTAAATCTGGCCAAAAATAATTAAAAATTTAATTTATAAAAGAGAAAAAAAATAATTTAATTAGCAAAGTGCTCCTGTGAAAATATTTTTACTTGGGAATTTATTCTAGTGGTGAGATTATCTAAAAAATAAAAAATCAATCTGAATGAAAAAAAAATAAGTGTTTTAAGACTAATTTAAAATTTTTATTATTTTTAATTAAAACTCTAAAATAAACAAACGGCAAAACCCTGAACCTGATGAACTGAACACTCAAAAATTCAATTCCAAAACCGTGTGTAATTTTTGCACTGGCGCCGACCTAGCTAAATTTCCATACAAATTACAATTGTGATCCCTTAAGTTCGCGCCCCGAAAGGGGATTCTTGTGCTCTGTGCGAACGAAATTGCGTTGTCCACTCGCAATAATAGAAACAAACGCCGAATCCCGCGCATTAACTTCGGGATTAAACGGTGCACGAGCTTTCGGCGGCGGCGACAAAATTGAATTCGAGACGCCCCTTCAGCCAAAATCAATGAGAGAAAAATGTCATGTCCGGCTTTTTAAAGCAAACCTCGTCTCGCGGAGAGGCTTAATTTTACTGCTGTGGACAAAAAAGAATTTGAACTGGATAATTTACGACATTGGCGTGACCTTTGGTCCGCCGCTTCACAATTCCATTAAAAGGTGCTAAAAAATTGATTGCGCGAGACTTTAAAGTGATTTTACTTTCCTCTTTTAAATATCCCAAGAATATTTATAAAATATAAAAATCAAGTGATGAATTTTTTATTTTTCAAAGAAAGGATAAATAAATTTGAGCTGTGTATTTTATAAAAATAAAAAAATAAAATCCAAAGAAGGTGCAAACCGATGAATATTTTTCCAGGTAGAAGTAAAATAAAATGAACTGATTATAATAATAACTATCTAGTGCAAAAATAATTGTAAAAATTGATTCGGTTCGATTTTTATTTTTTTTTTATTTTTTATTAAGATTCAAACTTTATTGTCGTCAAAATGAGATTTGGAGCAAACCAAAAATAAAAACTATAGTTGAATTGTTTACCAAAATTCTTAACATTTAAATTAACAATTTATTATTATTCTTCCCTTCCTCTCTTCCATGTTCTAAAAATACACTTCAAAAGAATCAAACCGACAATTCGCGTCTTGTTAATTTTTTTCCCCGCTGACACTGTTGGTAAATATTAATTTAATACTGATTGACTCTCCAAATTAGGCAACGCTGAATATAATGCAGTCGTGCTCGCTTGTCTTCGGCCGCCTGACGTACAAACAAACAAAAGTAACGAGAAAATAAATAAATTCAAAGAGGGAGAGAGAAAGAGCAAGCGAGTTTATAGACGTACGTAAAAATAAAATGTAATGCGTAATGAGATTCCGCATGTGTAGGTCGATTTTTTCCCCTCCCTCTCAACCCCGTGGATACAAAGAGGCTGTCAATCAAGTGTCTTAAAGGTTGACCATATCGGGTTTGAGTTGCGCGACTCTTAAAACTTGATGGACGACCGTTTATATAGAGACCAAACGCATGCAGTGGAGAAAAAAAATCCCTCCTTTGTTTGTGATTCTGCGACAGCGCTGGCAATCTGGCACTTTTTAATTTTCACTGTTGCCATTTTCAAATTTTTAGAGCAGCGACTTTTGCATGAAAGGGAGAATTTCGAATTTGATTCCTCCAGAATTTAATTTCTTCGGTAAATTCTTAATTTTCTTGCTGTATCAACTAATCAACATAAAATTGAAAAGTGACAATTGAATTAATTATAGATACAATCAGCCATTTAAAATAAAAATTTTAAGTTAATGCAATTTTAATCGTTCATTTTCTTCATTAGAAGTTCTCATGCTCAAAAATGTTTTCATAATCAAAATATAAAAATAAATATGATTCCGTATAGAAAATTTTGATCCTTTCAAACAATGATTTTTTATTGCAAATAATTTTCATTTGGTAAGTTCATTTGATCCTTATTTATTTTGCATAACGTAATTTTTTTTTCTTTTCCTTCAAAATTTTTTTGAGCGTCAGCTGGGGCGCGTAGTTTCTCTCTGTTTATTTGAAAAATAATCAGAAAAGTTGCACTTTTGCACCCAGCTCGATCTTTTTACTTTGGCTCTCGTCAGAGTAATATTATTTAGTTCTCCCTACACCGAGTGTTACTTGATAGTCAAAATATGTAAATTGTCTTCCTCTGGCAAAAAGCACAGCTCGTGACAAGCACACTTTTTTCACCCCTCGGCGCGCCTTTTCTTCCCCGTTCGTAAAAAAGTTAACTTATGCTCCTGCACCCCCAGAACAGCAGCTCGCACTCCATTTGATTAACTGCTAATTTCATAAGAAAATTTATCGAGTTTGCCGAGCATAATTACGCATTAAATATCGATTAAGTAAACAACTTTGGAGAAGAAGCACAATTTTTAAAAAATATTGAAAGCAGCAGCAGACGCCGCGTGTATATTATAAAATAAAATATAATTCGGCCGTAAAGCGCTTTTGTTCAAGATCGGCTGCTGTCGGCGTATAATTATTATGTAATTTTTCTCGTCTCTCCGCTCTCTGCTCCTAATATAATAGTTAATATGAAAAACAACCTTGTTGATATTGCTTTTGGTATGGACGGCCGCTGTATATTATTAATAGAGGAAGAGCAGAGTGGCGGTCAGCAGCTAATTTCATTTTTAAAGACCGACTGATGGATGCTGCGCGACTATTATTTCGAGCGGCACCACGTTGCCAAATGCTCGACTCGATTTAAAGCAATCACTTCTTGCTACTCACCAATAAAAGCCATAAAAGCCGCGGCCACACCACAATATACATGCCATGAATGAAAGGATCGAGTCGAACAACCTTGTTTTGTTTAAAGATGTTTCAAATATATTCATCCGCGGAATTAATTATATTTTACAAATAATACCTTTAATATTCTAAATTCAAAATGAAAGGACCAAGGAGCGCACAGAGCTATAATGGAAACTTATTTAAATATCTATAATGTAGTGAGTACAGTGTCAAGTGAGTACAGTGTCCGTTTATAATATTGGTAAGTATAATTTTAAATACAAGTTTTAGAATATTTTGTAAGCAGTGTGTTTTAAGCATTATTCCCCAGATTTGAAATGCAAAATAATAATATAAATGATATTATTAATTTAATTTCGTTAATCACTTTTAAAATTATCTAGAATATTATATTATTTATGATTAAACGTAATAGTGAAATTTTTTTTTATAAATAAACATTAAAATAAATACCAAATTTATATTTATGTTAACCTTTATTATGTAATACGTATTACAAAAAACATCTTTTCAGTTTTCTATATTGATAGTTTGAATGGACTTATAAAATTAGCACAAATTTTAAATCAACGGGAAAATATTTTTTTAATTTTCTAGTACATTATCCAGTGCTTCAAATCGGATATTGTTAGTACAGATTCTTTTTTTTATTCAAGCTTTACTGTTTTATTATACTTTTCAGAAGCAAGATTTTTCCTACCAGACCTTTCTTTATTCGCATACTTTTAAATGCTAATAAATTTCGGTTGACATTCCGCTCCCGAAAATAAAAACAGATTCCCCGCTTCTCAGCAATCACAAACAATGAGACATGCCTATCGAGAAAGAAGATCGCGGAATTTATTTCGTGCGTAATGATTTCTGCCGTAAATAAAAAAGAAAATATCCAGTGCAATTCTTTTGTCTCCGCGCGAGAGTGAACGAGTTTCTCTCAATTGTGCTCTTGGCGCGAGTGTGCGTCTTTGAAGTCCGGCGCGCAAAAAGCAGCAGCAACGCGACCCGCAAAAAGCAATTCAATGAATGATTTACGTTTGCATCTCGATACACTTCCAAATAAGAGCGCAGCGAAATGATACATAATTGATTCTCCATATGCTACACACAGTTATCGCTGGGATGAATCTCGCGCGCAGATGCAATTTAATTCATCGAAGTGCTGGTAATTAGATCTCGATATTGTTTGTACGTCAATTATAAATAATGCATGATCCGCATATCAATTTAAGGGACGGGAACAAAATTATTGAGCTTTCCAGAAAATAATATGAATATACATATAAACATTGAAAAAACTATATTAGATTTGAACAACTAATAACGTAAAAAAAAAAACTTATTATTTCATTAATTGAATTATTAAATGAATGTAATTTTTTTTAATTTTTGGAAATAATTTAACAATATTGCTAGTGATTGCTGACATTAAAAGCTTGACGAAAAAGATCTATTCTAAAAACTATGCTAGAAAAATGTATAATCATATTTTATAGCTACGCTTTCTGGATAATCCATTGATTCAGGCCAGTTTTCAGTTTCATGTACCTCATTACTTTGCACTAAAACTTACTTAGTTTTTAATAATTTAAACCAAAATAATTTAGTGATTTTTATTAAATTTTACATCTAATAATTTTTAACTTATTAATTAACAAATATCTGTTTATTTATATTTTTAATATTATTTTTTTTACCTCTATGGTGTAAATTATTTAATTGCAAGAGGACATTTATTTATAAATAATGTTTTATACAATTAAAATTAAATAAATTTGCCGCAATTGTTTCAACATAGTATCTCATACGAAAAGGATCGTAAAGTTAAAATTTTCAGTCTATTCTCTGAAATTTTACTCGATTTTACCTACGGAGAAAATTAATAGCTCCATAATATGGATTCTAAACATATTATTCAATAATAGTTTTGTTTAAAAGTGAATTAATTTTTCGATCCATTGACGATAGCAAATGAACAAACTTATTATCATAATGTAACATTTTTATCAAAAAGGAAATATTAGCAAAATTTTGTAATTTCTATTTAAAATTGAAATTTATGAATTTTAAAAAGACCGATATAAAATAAATGTGTGCAAAAATTCGCAGACAAACGTTAAGCAGATGTAGCGATATTTTATTTTTAATATAAAATTCACCCAAGTATTTCCAAGTATAAGTTATTAGGAGGTTTTCCTAAAAAAAATGCACCATAAAGGGAAATTAAATATTCCTTTTTTACAGAATGAAATTTTCGCGATGGCAATAAAGACAATTAAGATTTCCCCAATCCCGCATGACAGAGACAAAGTTGTGTGAATATCTGCGCGCAGATGCATCTGTGAAGTACTCAAAAGACTTAATTGCTCGCCAACATTTGCCACCGTAAAATGCAAATTCGCGGCCAGCCGGTCTTAAACTGTCGTTAAATGCCCAAAACGTCCAAATTAGCGCCGCAATTTGCTGGTAGACGAGTCCGTCTGCTATTTTCGTACTTGGTCCTGCTCACGTAGCCAGAATTTCGCCCGAATCGGCGCTTCCAGGAAAAGTGTCACTTTTGCTTAATTAATTCAAAGTGGGCCCATTCGGAGGCAAACGCCAACTAATTGTCGCAAATTTAATGCGCCGCTGACCGCCCGAGTATTTTTTCCTCTCGCAGCGTGCACGGCTTTTTGCTCAAAACAAGATGCCAACTTTGGTCGGCGGTCTGGCGAGTCGCTTTGACTGATGTCTCTTGACAGACCGGCCGGCAAAAAATGCTAAATTCGTAAACAAGCTTTTGTCGGAGGGGCACTGGACGACGACCAAGCGTATTTTATTTATTCTTAATTAGCATTCGGCAGGATTTTGAGCGCGAGCGAGCGAGCGGCCGCAGCCAACAATAATATATCTGAAATCTACCAGAGAGTGAATTTGTGCGAGAGAGAAAGAAAGGGAGAGAGAGACACGGAATATAATAATATAATACACGACGAGAGCGCCTGGACGCGTTTCGCGGAATCGTCGTCGTTAAAAAACAAGATCAGTGCATGTTATTTTTGCGTTTAATGAGAAAGTCTCGGCCAAGAGGGACTGCGGCTAAATGTATGAAAATGAAATCGGTATCTCACCTGTCTGTCCAGCAGAGCGCGTCGTCCCTGTATCTGTAACACACATTTCAAGTTTTATTAAATTAATGCATAGCATTGTTTGTTATGGTGAAGTAAAAATGCATTTTTCCGGGATATGTTCGTGGGAAATCAGCTCAATTCAATACAGTCAATTGTCATTCTGTGTAATTTAGATTTCAATTGCAATTGCAATTACAAAATGAAAAAACAAATACGATAAAATGAAAAATAAAAATGGGCTTTTTCTCGTTCAAAAGCCCGGTTTCTTCATTTCCATGATCATCTCCTTGAGTGTCAATTTCTTCAAACAAATATACAATTAAAAACAATTTAAGTTCTTAAAAAACCATGATATTTTTAATGCATTAGGCTATTTTGTAGGACTTAACTTTCTACCATAAAAAATTTATTAATCGCATCTTCTTTTTAATTGGCTCACATTGCAATGAAATAATTGTTATCTTTTGTCAAATATTTCTTAATTTAGAAAAACAAATTACATGCTAGATTCACAAGGTAAGAATATTTTCAGATAACAAACTTTGAGAATCAGTTCAGTAGGATCATCTCACTATAATTTAACTGATTTCCATTTATTTGATCAGATTTTAGTTTGAATGAGTTTGAATTTGATGAAATATTATTAAATATGGTCCCGTCTTTGATTAAAATTCTTATTCACTTGTTTTTTGAACAGTTATTAACTTTTTTGTAATGGATGAAAGTTTTTATTAAATAATTCATAGAATTTATTGTAATGTAGGCAAACAAAAGTCTTTTTTGTAAACAATTTGACTAACTTACAGCTCTAACTGTAAGTGAAATATTTTATAGTCCGTGAATTTAAAGTCAGATCAAGAATAGAAAACAATTTTACTGAAGTCCCAAAAACAATATCAAAATCCGAGCACTCTATCTAAGAGCGGTCAAAATGGGACATTTCCAATGTAATATTATAAATAACCTTTAAACTCTGTAATAATATTGAATATGTTCTAAATTTAACTTATTTCACAGTATTCTTTATTTAAAATCATACTTAAAATTTCAGTTTTACAGCTAAAAGTTCTTCTTCGTGTTCTTTTTAATCTTCAGTAAAAGGGATTGTGCCATAGTTCTTGATTTCTATCCTTATTTGATATATCTCGAGCATGAAACGTGCTTCTATTATTATTTTTAACTTATCGTGTACTAATCGTAAGTGCGGGCGTACGCACGAGCATACCTATGCTCGCTCCAACGCTGCAACGCATAATATTAGAGCGGGCCATCTCGGGCAATAAGAGATCTGCCATACGTGATGCGAGTTCCGTATTCGCGACACGTGACCTGCCCGCTTAATAGACCCACTCGGACCCGTTCCGCAGCTGACCTTTGTACCCGAGCGCGTGCGACCTACGTCTTTCTCTCGACTCGGCGGCGGCGGCACGAGACACATTCGATTAATTGCTAGAATCCTTCTTTTCTAGTCTTTCTAATCTGCTTCGTTCTTGCGCTCACTGTGCCGTGGAGGAAAATTAATATTCCGCTCACACTCGCGGCTCTTCGGATATGACGCCGCGACACTACAAGCGAGTAGCGCGCGCACGCCGCGCTCTGCAGCTATTAAGATTTACGAGAGAGCTCTTGTTGTGTTATACATACCTAGGGGCAAACTTTGCGCATTTCTGATTCCACTAGCATCACTGTCAACATATAGTAATGTAATGATCGTTGCACGTTGGATTCTATTTTTAGCTGCATGATTTAAAACTCGTGATGAACAGGCGCATTTCTAAAAAAGGACCTGTTTGTAAACATTTTTTAAATGGAACCAAATTAAAATGTTTTGCAACAAATTAAATTTTAAATTACTTTAAATATTGATTAAGTATTCCCTAATTCTAAATAGTATAAATACAGATCATAATTTTTAGGCTACTTTTTAAAGAATCTGAGAACAGTAATAAATTTTGTACGTTTTTAATCTGGCTTTTCAATATCAATTTATTTTGGCTCCTGAAAACTATACCATGTTACTTTGTTAAGTTTACGTAGACTTAATCCATTGGTATTGACAGCATATTAAAAAACTAGCAATAAGATGAAAAAAGACAATTCCAAAAAAATTGTCAAGGAGTCATATTAAGAATCTAGATTGCAATTTTGGTTGACTATCTGATTTTAATTTGATATATGACATTAATTATTTCTTATTCTGCTTGTTTAAAAAAATTGTAGAAAGAAACAACTTTAAAATCTCTAACTGTATTAATTGCTAATCTTACATTCTTTAAAAGAGTCATTCAAAGACTTCACAATTAATTTTTTCATTGCAAGGATCATATGAAAATCAAGTATAAATAAACGAAATAAACACAATTTGCAACCAAAGTTTGACAATTAAATAACTTGGAAATCTGATATAAACTCTTTAATCACGATTTAATTCTCAAAATGAGAATCATAAACAATTTTAATTTAGTTTTTCAATAATTAATTTATTTTGTTACAATTTTCTCTCAACACCTAGTCTGTTATTCATACTCATTGATAAACTCTCTGGCATGAGAGACGGTTCATTCATATGTGCAGGTGTAATTATCGTCACTTCTCCTCACGTTCGATTAGCCACGCATAATTTAAAATGCAAACGTTCCCAGCATATTATGCGCGAGAGACGAGAGGTAAGGTAAGCAAAAAATGCGTGATATACATACAGTTCGCGCAGCAATAAGTAAAAATATATGCAGAGAAAAGGAACCTTCTTATCCGGAGTGCGAGGAACACGAAATTTCAATTAAATTAACATGTTTTGATAATGAGCCGCGTTAATTTATTATAGACGTTCGAGTGGGGCTGCGAGAAAGGCCGAATATCGCCAAGGAGGAGAATATATATTCCGCAGGCTGTCGCAATATTTTCCCAATTAACACTCTGTATTGGCGGTTTTATTGGCCCGCTGCAACCACAAGGGGACAATAATGCAAGAGCTTTATAGCCCTCTGCCCAGGTGAACCGCTCCATTTGAGCAAATTGCTAGTAAATGCCGCAAAGTAATATTGCAGGACCGAGCATAGGGGTTTCTGACGCAGACAATGGACGGTTATGCTTCGAGAGCTTGTGTGATTGAATCCGATCGAATCAATTAATATCAACTCTAATCTCTTATTATTTTATTTATTAAAAATGATTAGAAAGATTTGACTTTCAAGATGTAAGGAAAGAAAAATCAATAAAATATGTTTATGAAAGTCTTCTAAATTTTATTAAACTAATGGTTTTTCTTAATTTAATCCCCTATTTTAATAACCTTCTATTAAATAATTAAAAAGTTAGCGCCATAGAAAATATATGATTTCGAGGAGTCCTTTTTTTTAAGAACCGCCGGTTTCCTTGATATTTTAGCTACTTAAAAGTGAGCTTGAACTTCGACGTTCAAAATCCAAAAATTGTGCAAATTTAAGCTATTAAAGACAAGTTAAATTCAACTAATTGTAAAATATATAAGTACAAAATCAATTATTTATGTAGAAACAATCAATAAACAGACCAAGTTTACTAGAGTGGTGTGAATTGTAAATCTTATACTTTCAAAAAAATATATTTCCCTTAAATTTTGGTAATTTTTTGTAAATTTATCAAAAAATTTAGCTTGAAATCAAGTAGATCCAAAATCTTTTGGCGAATTATATACAATGCACATAAATAATTATCAATTAAAATTGACTTAATTATGACGGATTTATCACGTAAATTGCTAGATATAAGTCCTAAAATTTTAACCTTGTAACTTCTTTAAAATAAAAATTAATACTTATATGCAAAAATAATTTACTCTAAAAACAAAATTACACCCGTGGATCGGTCTCGTCGACTTGACTAATAACACATCAGCCGTCTGCTGTCTCGGACTGAGTTTGCCGAGATCGATTAAATTAATTGCTCTCATTGAGAGACTGTGTTATTGAGCAAACAGCTTCCCTCTCGATTTGGCACGGCGTCGCCAATGTTTGCCGCGCGCCTTTTCAACGCTCCATTAAAAATTAGAAGGCGTCACTTTTCTTGTGCCCGCGTCTTTGATGCGCGCCCTATTATGAATACGTAATTAAGCGCCACGCCGGGTAATGACGCCCCTAATTACCCGCAAGGAGCCGCCGACAAATTTTTATACGCCGGGGGATTTGCATTTATGCAAATTGTGGTTGCAATGAGCGTGTCAGATTAGCGCATCCTCTGCGGTAATGAGTGCGCGAAACAAACTCTCCGTGTACGTCGTAAAGACAGGTGCGTTTTACTGAGTTGTGTGTTACTGCACTTTTGACTTTCCGTTGCTCCCTATTATGTGAGGGTATGTTTGTGGGGGGAAAGCTCGTCTCGGCGAAATGCTCATTTCCACCGCATGCTAATATGACAAGTGAGAGAGATGCTTCGGCTTTTGAGAGGGAGGAGATGTGCTGGGGATCGTCGGAAACTTCAATGAACATCATTTTTGTTTATTACACTGTGCTTGCGTTGTAGTAATAAAGTTTATGAAAGTTTTTGTGCGTGCGAACTGCGAACGAATTCAAATCCACCTTAGAATCACATATTTTGGTGGTTAATACAACAAGAGGTTAATTAACTTCCTAAAAATGCTTAAAATTTTCTATAAAAACGCTTGTTCAGCTCTTCAATTTGCAAATAATCAAAAATAAATGTTTTCTATTTCAAATTGCCTGTTTCGATTCGCTTGGAGCCTCGGCACAAGAATTCTGAAAAATAGTTTAAGGCGTTTTGTTCATGCCCATAAATTTTATAGCAAAGAGGAGTTTTTCAACTTTTGAATAAATTATAATATTTTTGTTGTCTTTTTTTTTACTTATAACTTTTTAATATAACTTTTTCTTAAACTTAACAGTTTTTCGATGAAATATTTCCACAAATTCTCCAATGATAAACAGAAACACGATTCAAATAAATTAAATCCGCGTCCAAGCTTATAATATAAAATAAAATTTCCGTTTTGTTTACACATTTGATTATATGATAATAAAAAAGGTTCCTATAATTAACTAAATATTTTAACGTCTAATAATTATTGAAAGGTTAAATCATATAATTTTCTCTTTTCTGCTTAAACACCCCAAAATTGTGTAAATAATGTTTAAAAATTATCTTAGCAGATATAAAATTATATATAAAGGTCACACCGTGTTGTAATTTCAAACAAATGATAGAGCGTGGGGGGCTCAACGGTAGCAAAAGTTCTCGCAGTAATTTTTTTCACTCCTCTCTCGTTCATTTAATTATTGGTGGTAAGTATGCGGTGCGAAGGACGATCGGAAAGAGAGAGAGAGAGATGCCAAAGACAGGGAAACGCTTTTATCAAGAGACAAACGCAGATGAGATAAAGTGGTCGAATATATAATTATCCGTGTATAAATACAAGTTTCAGGCGGCGTAAGATAAAAAAAAGTAGGACTACGGAGACACACGGCGTTGTTTTAGCCGGCAAATAATAACTAAGTGGCCGCCGATCGAGCGCTTTGAATTAAACAAGAGCAAAAACGTGGGAGGGCGTATATATATCGCATTGTGCGCGCCGATTTTCGGAATAATATAAAGAGAGAGAAAGAAACGAAGGCGCTTCTTGAGAGAGACGCTCTCTCGTATATATAAATTTTCTCTTCTCCTCGCACTGACCGCGGCTATAAATTAATTGGATAATCTTGTAATGTATTCAGCAGCGTCAAGAATTAATGTGAATCTGCGCGAATAATTAAGGCGCCTCCTCAAATGACAAATAATGCAATTATCACGCATCGAGATGATTAACTTTGCAACATTGCTGGGTCTAATTTGACTAATTCTGTCATAAAGGAAAACTTCATAATTTTTAGGAAAATTAAAAGAAATAATAATTAGCTAAGTGGTTCAGAGGTAAATAAATAAATTGTATGAAAATTTTGGTACGTTTTTGGTGGAATTATCATTATTCTTGCATTGATGACTGCTATTTCATTCTTATTTTTTTAAATAGATTTTATTAGAAAATTAATAGTTATCACATTGGACTTAATGGACCCTAATGAATCAATTTCAATTTTTATATGATATAGATGATGTTGCAATCATTACTAATATTTATTTTACATTGAAAAGATTTCAAAACATATAATTAATATATGGATAGGCGTGAGGTAATTTACTAAATTGGTACAAATCAAATTAAATTGTTTTAAAATTACAAAAATTTTGCTTTATAATCATTAATAATGAAATTTGTCTAAAAATAAAAATTAATCACACAACACATAATATTATTAAAAGCTTTTTATTTTAGGTTGTACAATATTCCCTTGCAAATAGAAAAGTGAAGTGTTGCTATCCTGTACATTATTCTTTATTTATGTTGAGATTTCCTTTTTGAGCATGCAGGCTCAAACAATCATAAATTCTTATTTTTATTTTAAAATTATTAATCAATCTTATTGGTGAACGACAATGCAATCTCTGCCAATAACGAGAAACATTATCCCACAAATATTCAAAAATTATGAATGAAAACTGTAGTAAAATTTAAGAGAGGAAAATTAGTAACACTGCGGGGAGTTCAAGTGTATGCGGTGTGTAATGTTATGATCCGAGTTTGATATGTTGATCACATCCTAGCCATAAAGCACGAGCGCGCGCCCGAAGAGCTTTGGAAATTGCCATTACAATGTGCATGGCAACATGTGGAAACAACTGCCTTTTGCGCCCGCTGCCACCCCTAACTGACTGAATTCTCAGACACAGTGCACCTTTTCATTTATGGGACGCCAGTGTTTGCAGGAGCAGGAGATGGACCAAAGTTTTATTGCAACATTCTGCAGCCGCTGCTATAGGGGCGAATTGTGCACACGAATTTTCACATTTCTATGCGAATCAGAGGTTTCGAGGGGAGGAATCTGAAAATTGGCATCCCTGTCAAATTTCGGGGGAAAAGGTGGTGCTGAAAATATTTTTTTTTTTACCAATTTACATTTCGGGTGTGAATCGGCCATAACTCTATTACAAAAAAAGTTAAATTTAGTGGTCAAGTATCAATAAATTTTAATATTCCTTAGCATACAAATAATTCATTGAATTTTTACAATTCATCGAAAATATTAAATTTAATTTTTTTTCTATTTACTCCTCTCAATATCAGTGAATATTTATGCGAAGTACAAAGGCACGTGGCTAATCAAATTCATAAAAAGTGGATATCTTAAGCTCGTTGAATTATTAAATCGACAGTTATATTGAATCTTGAATAAAATTTATTTTTTTAAACTTTTAAACGCAAAAGAGCCCAGAAGGTGTATTGGAATCAATTACAATGCGAATTTCAAATATCAACATTTTTGTAAATTTTTTAAGTAACAATAATAATTAAATTTAAACTTCATTGCTACGCAAAAAATTCTTTGAAATCATTTATTTTTCATCAGAAGTCTTGAAATTGATGTTTTTTATATCAGGGCACCTTGATAGTGATAAAAATGATGAAACTGTCTATATAACTTAGAATAGAGGTTCAGAAAATAGCTTAAATTTGCGCTTCAGTTCACCTTACAATGTCCAATGTACGTTTAGGCAAATCAAATGTTCTTATGGGTAGTCTTTTTGCCTATAGCTGACTTGAAATCGCATCATTTGATGAAAAGTTAACAGTAGAGAACTAGAAACCGCAACATTCGACACTAATTTTAGGCTTTAGGGAAATCTTGAAATGGATCTTCCGACAAAAAAAAATGAATTAAGCCTGCTTTTGATTTAAGTATGCAAAATTTCACAACCCCTAATTGTGGGCTCTAGCTTTTAATTTTTACCAAATTATATTTATAAATGCTTAACATTTGAAAACCAATCGAGAAATAGTCAAAGAGACAAAAAAGGCATAACATAAGTAGATATTTTTACACATCTGCAATATAAATCGTTTAAAATACATGCGGTGATCGATTTATTTGGCAAAAATTAAACCTGCAAATTCATGTTCACATTGTTTGGCCGTTCCATGGAGCGCCAAAGAAAGTTGCAAACTATTAATTTTTATAAAAATCCGAATAATTCCTCTTAGAAACTTTTCGTCCTCTAATCACCAATGATTTCTTAGAAGCTAATTATTTCTTTTAGTGCTTACCTGTAATAAGGGAATGCAGCTGAAGGAACGTGCAAGTCGACAGGGTGTTGGTGGGCAGACATCTGGTGATGATGGTGGTGGTGGTGGCCGCCCCCGGGCTGTTGCAATTGTCCCGAGAGATGTGCAGCGGCGGCCGCGGCCGCTGCTGCGTGCCCGGCAAACAGGGGGCTAGACAGGGGCGAGTGGTGGTGGGAGGGCGCCGGGGGCCCGTTGCCCTGCATAATGCGGGGGTACAGCCTGCTGACGCTCGGCACTGCTGGTTTAATCGGCAAAACGTCTGATCCTCTTTTGCGACAATAGAGCTAGAACAACACAGAAATATTTTTTCAATTATTATATTCCCATGTAATTCTTTTTGAATAAAATTTTGCTTCTTGTATATCGATTATTATCAATAATGGCACAAAACAATTCAATATCGTAATTAGATTAACAACAAAACTTAATTTTTAATGTACTTTCTTAAGAAAATTGCGCTAAATTTTCTATGGAAAATTTAATAATTAGGCTATAATGTGATCTATTTAAAACATTATTATTAGTATTTTGCTATTTATTGACTTATGAGGCCTCACTTCGATGTAATAACAATATATTTACAATAAAACTTTTTTAAATAAATCTTTTTTCTTTATACTTTTAAAAAAAATTTAATAAGTATAAATTTACTAAAGTTTTTATACTTAAAACGTATAATAATGTTTTTTTTTGGATTAATTTTTTTTTTAATTTTAACTAATTTTGGCATTGTTTTACATTTTATTATAACGGCCGTTTTTTCTAGACTACATTAAATTATATTTACTAGTTCTGTCCTTAATAGCATCATAACTTCAAATCAATTTATATTGGTGAAACTGCCATTGCTCGCTCGTTAACTCTGACTTATCACTCATTTTATATCCGTCTATTTAAAATATGCTTGATTATAAAAAGATATGATATTTAAAAATAATAATACAATAAAGAAAATTACACAATAATTATACAATGTGCAATAAATGGTTAAACAAATGATGTAATTTAATGACTTCCAAATTATAAATAGTGTTGGAATCTCCTTGAGCTTTGAACTTAATTAAATAGTGTAATTAAGTACAATATTATACTTTTTGCTGACAAATAAATAGCGTAGAAGGTACATAGCATCAAAATTGGGTAAAAAAAATAATTTGGTTTAAAAATTGAACTATTCAAAATAATAAACAATGCACAGATTGATATTAACGATGCAAATATGATTAAATTTGCTAACTGATAACCGCAGTTAATTCACGACCCTGACAGGTCACGGCCAGGGTTCAACTCACCCGTCCTTACATGGCCTGCAATCGACCGGCTAGACAAAGGGCGCTGGACGTTTTTCTATCAGGTCAAGAGTACGAAGTACACGTGTAACCCGGACTCGGCAATCGGCACTACTAACTCGTCAACAAGTTGCGATCATCTCTCGCCGGCGCTCCGCCTCCCAAGGCGTGGTCCAGATCTGCATTAGGCCAATCGAGCCGTAAACTCACCTTAAACAAGCCGACTCTCGCACCGCGCTGCGTAATGTTTTACGCTGTCCGACGACGAACAAAACTCATTCATTCCGATACACCACTATAGCCCGGCAGGTGCGAAACGCGAGCACAATAGATAGACCTGTACGTGCGCCTCTTCGACTACTTCCATTCATTATAATTTAAAGGGACCAAAATCCGTATATATTCCAAGTCAGTGCAAAAAAAAAACGGTTCAAATCGTTTTAATTTAATTTTTGGGAAATAAATCGTGCACTATAGAGGATCACCACCTTCATCACTCTCAACCGTCAGCCAAATGATAAAAAATATTTTTCCGAAAATCCGAAATTAGTAAGTGTGTGCAGCACAAAACAATAAAAAGCTAATAAATATGAAAATAATCCATAAATATTCAAATAATATAAATATTATATTTATGTTTATTTAATCTAAGGATTATTTAATATATTTTATTATTAAAATAAATATTTAAAATAATAAATCCTATTTTAGCATTTTTTATAATATTGCTATAGTATGATAATTTTCTTTGTCTCTTTATGTTTTAGATTTTTTTTTAAATATATAGAGCACAGCATTTAAGCTTTAGATGCCATCTTTGATCTAAAGGTTAATTGGTTCCTATGATGAATTCTCAGTAAATTGAGTAAATAAATCTTTGAAAATTTAAAACCAAAAGAAACCACTCGAAACGGAAAATTAAGTTAGTAACTTTTGACAGTACACCTTTTACTAAAATTTAAATAAATTGTAGTTCGAAAAGCTGTGAAAGTCTAAGGTTAATTATTTGATTGAAAATTTGTCTATATTATAGCAGTCTATAGTAATTCCCTTTTACTAAGCTTTTTAAAATATAACTTATTTTGATTAGAAAATTCTGACCCAAAAATATTTTGAAATTTCCTTTTGACTATTTTGTATAATTGAGCAATGAACATTATGGGAGTCATTTAGACGTAAAAATGAAATGCAATAATAACATTGATAATCTTATGATAATGATATTTTAAGCCTAAATTCTTACAAGATTTCTTGGAAATAAAAAAGGGAGGTGAACAACAATTTTCAGGATTCCCCAGTAAAGAATATTTCCGTATAAATTTCATCAGACGATAGGGGTGTGCAGTGTGTGTTTTCGTGTGAAAAATGATATGAAATCATCACCGCCCTTGTAATAAATTTGTCTTGTTCTCACCAATTCCAGGTAGCCTGCGCGACACAGATATTAAGATGTTTATAATGCCGAGAAACGGTAGTGCTGGAGGATCTCATAATAATTTTGACCTTTCGGATGCATAAATCTCAGCTAGATGACGCACCGCTGATCACAGATATGATCTTTTTAAAAGTCTCTGCTCTTCGCTGCGAGAGAGTAAAAGAGACATTGCGTTGTGGCTTTTTAGCTTTCTTGGAAAATTGAACAAGCAGCAGCAGTGTGTGTGTGTAACAGATTTGCATCTTATAAGATGCTACCGGCTAATCGCAAAACGCATAAAACGACAGTTTTTTACAGTTTTTACACAATTATCTGGCGCCATGACATTGGAAGAAAAAATGCTAATATAATATAACTTTTACAGCTTTCCTCAGTATTTGTTGTCTTTCAAAATAAAAAAGAACAATACAAGTTAATAAATTAAATTTAGACATGAAATCAGACATGAAATTACAAAAAGAAGGACCAAATTATTGTGGAATAAATTATTATCTGATAATTTTTGAATTTAGTGTTTTATTTATAAATTTTAAATTAATTGCAATTTATAAAGATGTATTTGAAAAGTTTGTCAAAAAGTATAGGTCAAATATAATGGCAAAAATATTTATAATAATAACAATTTTTAATTATTACAATTTATACTTGAAATTTGTTAAAAATAAAATTTAAAATAATATAATCATAACTTTTTATTTGGATATTTTTAACATTATTTTATTATAAAAATGATTTTACTTAATCAATCAGCAAATGAAAGGTTTAAAGCGCAATGCGTGAGATTATTATAAAGAATCCTTTGGAATTTAGCAGCAGTGGACTAGAAAAATTTGAATTCACTACAAAACACTTCGTGAGCGAGAATTTATATACCGTGTGTTGATTTTGTGGTTTCAATTAGATCTTCTTGCTCTTTCTTGCTCTTCCCCTCGAAAACAAATAGGTGGCGACCATAAATATGGTGAGCGAACGAGTCCATAAATATATTTTTATGAGTGAAGGAGAGCTGCACGAGTGACTAACAACGGAACCCTGCGAGAGACTCTCATATCAAACAAATTTATAGCCCGAGATGATGTGGAGCGATATTCCCCAAGACCAACAAGATCACGTACACTGATATACGTTCGCCGCCGCTTTTTTGTGCTCGTAAAAAGCAGATAAATATAAATTTACACATCTGAACAACAAAGGAGAACCAGAAGTTTTAAGTCTATTGCTCAAATCAGCACTCCATAAAATTTAATATCAATTGTTTTGTTGGAATTGGATGAATCATACAAATTATAAAAATTAAAAGCTGAAATTTTTGCATTTAAAGAGTTGAATAAAAAATTATTTTAATTATAAATTTCATAAATATTATTCCCGGTGATTTTTTAAGTCTTGCACAAGGTAGACCTTCAGATTTTAAAAAATTATGAATTAATTATTTTGATCCACAATTTTTCAGCGGAATTAAATGATATAGATACAAGAAAACTATCAGAAATTTTTACACTGGATGTTGGAATAAGTTCCTTTTTTTAATCTGTATTGAATTTTTAATTATCTTGAAAATATAAAAATTCACAATGCGCGCAGGAAAGAAATAAAATGAAACTGTAAACAAAACAAAAACATTAACTGTGGGAATAGAAAAAACTAAATTTTATTTGGGCAATTCCATGAAACTTGAGCGCGGTGATATCACATAAATTATTCCCCCAAAAAACAAAGGTGCAGTCTCAATAATCCGCGAGGCTCATCTCTGTGGTGAAGTGCGGGTGGAATCTCAATAAGCGCATGCAAGTTTTCAAAATTCAAGCGGCACCACTCGGCTCGCTTTGGTATTCCGATCTGGTTCGTGTCGTCAGGCAGAAAAATTTGTATGTATCGAGCATTTTCGTCATACGAAGGACGTGTCGAGATTTTACAATCATTGACGCGGCGGCCGTGCGGTTTGTTTTAATCCAGCCTGCTAAGCCAGAGCTAAAATTATTGAGCAGCGCGCGTTGCCATGGAAAAATTGTCACTCATTAGCCATTACTCTCTCCTCTCTTGTCCCTGGCTCTCTTTGCTTGGCAATTATGCGGTCCGGTTTCCATTGTTCGCGACTGAGGTCAACTTTTTCTGCAGTCTCCGCTTTATACGCACTCGCGCCAAGCAAAATGGCAAGATAAATAATTGTGCGCCTGACCCGTTCATATTTTATTAACTTGCAGCTTTGCAAAAGTGCCGACCGCGCATAATTTCGAAAGGATTGTTTTTTGTGTCAATGAGATTTATTGCTTGTATGAAAATGAAGTTAATCAAGAAAAATGAGCGATGCGTATATGATCGAGTGTGGTAAGTTGGTGGCCTAATTCACTTAATGTATTTTTATAGGCCCACTTTTTACAAAGAATTATCCGAATAAAGGAAATGCTCGATTGATATGATTTCTTTACAAAAACTTGGTAATTTTTAATCACTCAAGTAGGTTATGTGGTTATTTATTAGAGTAATGAGATTTGTTCTTTTTTTTTACCAACATTTGCTGGGTTCCAGATTTAAATTCCCATATTCATACTAACAAAATTTTTTGAAAATAAAACTTTCTTTTGGAATTATTAATATTTTTCAAGATATTTTATATCATGAGAGATAAAAATGTCTCGAAAAATTTGTTTCTTAACAAACAAAAGCACACATAACAAATATATCTATTTTAGGGAAAAAAGTCTATCTACTTTTAATACAAAATCATTCACCTGGAGTTCCAATTTTGCAATTTCTCAATTACGCTCAAGGAGATTTCACAATAAATTTATATTAGATTTAAGTACAAAATTCCAAATAACATAATTGTGCTTGATTTTGAATGATTACTTCTTTAACAGCTATTAAAGGGTGGAAATTTGTCTTAAAATATATAATTTATCATTCAAAAGCTATATAATTATCTTAAAAAGAAAAAAGATAAGCCGTGGTCAACTCGTGCTTTGCATAAAAATAAATTTTTACATATAAAAATAAATATTTTGAATTGTAAGGAAATAACCGTAAATTACCTCTACATTGAACAGACTCTAAAGGTTCAATTTCTAAATATAAAAAATTATTTAATTGAATCTGCGTTCAATTTTCATTATTGCAATGCTCATAGTATGTACAATTATAAATTTATGAATTATTAAATCGGATCAATCTGCATATAAAATAAACCCGACAACAACAGCAAAGAGAAAAATTTATACTCTTTTGCGCTCAGGTGGAACGGTGGAAACTTACTCGTTATTCGTATCTCTCTCAAGCATTTTACGGCTGTTTTTATTTTATTTTTTATATTTTGAGCTGCGATGGTCAGCAGAGATCGATGGTGAGGAGAGAACCGATGGTGCACTCACACATTATTTTGGTGAGCGGAGTAAATTGTGGTCAGCGCGCAGGCACAAAACAAAAACTTATATTCTTTCAGACACTGCATGGTGTAATTTTCTCATCAGAGCGCAAGATAAAGATAAAAAAAGCGAAGAAGTAGGAATTGATGCGACCCAGATGATTGGAACTTACCACAAAGAATTGAGCAGCATCGCGACGCATTTTGCTCGCTGCCGACGCTCTGGGCCTCGACGGCTTCTCTCGGGTCATTTCACGCATTCGAACAAGAGGCCAATCACGACCGATAGAATTCTTTTATTTCCAGCAGACACGGAGTCTGAAGTGGAAAATTTTGACCGCCGTCAAGAGTAAAAACTTGTTCATTAAAAATATCGAGTTAATTATCTTTCCAATCGCATTTACAAACTGATTATCATAAACATTGTACTGAAGTATGAAGAGTTTGGTTGCAACTTTGTTGCGAAATGCGATGATATCAAAGAGATAGTTGCAACTGTACTTATACATTGTGTAGGTCATAATTTGCTGATAATTAAAGATTGTACTGAATAATGCTGGTGCGTGATATGAAATATATAAAAAAAAAACTCTCAATTAGTTGGCTTTTCTCCATTTTTATGTTGCCCTGATTAATTTTAAAAATTCAGTTAATTAATCGCGCGTAGAAGTTGAATTAAAAATTTTTCAGAAATATATAAAAGTTATGAAATGTGTTCATTGTTAATTTTGGCAGAATTTATCATCTAATGCAAGATTTATTTGGGAAGTAATTTTTAGTTTTGCTTTTTTAGTGCAGAAATTTTCCGTTCTTCTTAAATGTGAGACTAAATGTAGCTACACGACCGTACATTTTTCCGCCTCCGATGTCTTAACGCGCCGTGTAATTAGCGTTGGAGCGGCGCTCGCTTTAAAGACGAACTCGTGCCTCCGTGAATGCGCCACGGATTTTTACTTTTAATACACAATATAGCGATTTAGACACACTCCGTGTGCATTTTGTGTCGCACTTCTCACAATCATGAAGTAGTGGAAAGGAACAAAAAGCTAAAATTTTATAAAAGTTCTTCTATAATGCCAGGCTCTAGATATGGAAATGAAGAGATCGGGCTTTTATAGCGACAAAAATGGTTTTTATTTAAAAACAAAACGGCTCTACCTGTATCGGTCACGTTCTGCGACACTTTTTCACGAGCAAGAAAAATACAAAAAAAATCAGCATGATTGGACAAAAACCACCACATTTTCACATAAAAATTCAATTTGGCTTTTTGTGCATTTTTCATACTCATTCTTACTTATGAAAGAGGGTCGCAGACCGTGACCGAAACTGGTAGAGCCATTTGTTTCTCAATAAAAACCATTTTTGCAACTTCATTTGCATGATCATCTCAAGTGACAAATTTTTCAAGCAAATTTTATTTTTGATAAACTTTATTGCAATGAACTGTGCTCTATCAATAAAAAAAAGAATAATTATAGTAAAAGAGCACATAAGAAGAACGGCAGTTAATTTAGTAAAATTTTTTATTTAATAATTAAATTAATAATAATAATAATACTGACGGTATAATTAAAATTATTAATTTAACTCTTTAAAATTATGCAAAATAAATAAAATAATTAATCTCTAATATACGACTATGAACTTAAGATGCATTTAATAAGCCTAAGATTTTTTTAAGTGGGTGCCACTCAACTCTAAATTGCTTGATTCATACCGAATTTGATATTATTATTGAATACATAAGATAGATTGAAAAACTAAAATACTGATACTTGAAATATAAAATAGAAATCTCACCGAATTTTTTTTTCAAAGATGTCCATCTGGCTGTCGGTCACGGCTTTTCCAGAGTTTTTGGGAAAAGCTGAGGGTGAAGATGGCAAGCGTCCTCGCACGCTGTTGTCCAAGGAGGCATCGCGGTCCGAGGGTCCGACCAATGGTGCTGAAGCCAAAACCGCCCTTCCAAGTTGACACGCTCAGGCAGGATCTGTGGAAATAAACTAAAGAACTTCCAAAATTATTCTCACTTTAAAGAAAAATCTATAATAATAAAAATGTGTTACCCAAACACTTAAACAATTTCACATGCACGTCTTTCAAACTATACTGAACTATTCTCACTAGCACTTGGTCACTTTTCAAATACACAAGACTATTTAAACAATTTATATTAACATTCATTTTACCTACTTTATCTAACAAGAAATTATATTTCAGTCGATTTGTAGAACACTCTTAGCGAATTGATTTGGTCACATTTAATATGTCGTGTACAAAGCATTTTAACAATCAATACTATCATTTTTTTCATGCGCCGTAGCTGCTCAATACTTCTAATTTTTAATCCTTGCATTCATATTCTACAATACAAAAGTAATGGTCAGAAAATTTGATGATCGAATTTAAAAAAATTTGTATTTAGTTTGCTGCGCATTCAGAATCATTCATTAGCTTGTAAACAGAAACTTTCTGCATTATGCGGTCCTAATAAATCATCTTGCATCACTCGAATTTTGGAAAAGTTACAAGAGAACAATCAATACATTTGACTTGGCCAGTTTAAATGAGATTTGTTTAGATTGTTTTTTTGGTAAACAAAAAATAACCACTTGCACTTCACTCACTGTTCATGCAAAAGCCATCCTTAAAGTTCAATAAGAAACATGCATTTAGTTTTAATAAGTTATTTGGCCATTTTTGAATAAATTAAGAAAGTATTAGAGTGGAGTGGTTTGACATCCCTTCAAACTTAAGCAGACATCCGCGGTACTGAGACTCACTTCCGGCTATTGTTCGGGGGCAGGGGCTCCCGGTTGCGCAACGTGGAAGGTGTTCGAGGAGGCAAGCCCGGCGTGACCAAAAATACTGGACTACACAAGGGTGCCAACAACGAACCCAACCTCTTTCACGCCCATTGCCACACTCATGACAACTCAATCTCATGAGTGCACCACGTCAGCATCAGTGTCATCTGAATTCTCCGCACCTCCCATGCGTTCAGACACAGGACTTTAGTCGCAACCAAGCCCTGGACACCAAATCGTGTTCCCGCATGGCGAATGCAGAAGCTCAATGGGTGGTTGTGATGCCTCGGCATTATTCACACACAAGCCATTCAGACGACGCATTGCCAGCGGTGGCGGGCAACGTCCCCTGTTAGGGGCGGCCTTCAGCTGTTGTCCGCTCCGTTGGACCGGTATCTGTTGCGGGGGTGCAACCACTCCATTACAAAAAGATAATTGGCATAAGTGCAGTTGCTTAATTTATACATTTTTTTTAGTAACAATGACAAAATTCACCCAGATAACGATTCATTAAACTTTAAATTTAAACAGGATAATAAAAATGAAAACATTGGGCTCTCAGGCAAAACTGGAGGATGTTGCGCCTATCTGTGGCAAATGCACAAATCAACCTAGTCACATTACTGTCTTGATCGTCGCATGCAGAATAGATTTTAACCTACTTGACGTCATAGGAGCTCTTGTATTCTGCAGGTTTCAAAACTTGACCACAAGCCTGGCACTGGCGGTGTCTGCCAAGTCCTCAAACACTGTTGACGAGTGGCGTCTCTTCCACCTGATTGAATTTAATAATTCTAATTAAAATTTAAAATTCCATAAAAAGCCAAGCATGTTGTTCTCGTATATAATATAATAACCTTGAATGTAATAAGGCTTGCATTTATTTTAATGAGAACAATATCTGAATTTGTTTAATGATTCAATGATATTTTCTAATTAAATTAGAATTTAATTAATTCATGAAAATTGTATCCTTGGAATTAGTTTGATTTGTTTCAAGAGTTAAGACGTGCGACTAATCTTTGGCCAGAGCGCTTCTATGAAATAAAAATGCAAAAAAAATCCTATTGCACTGACCTGCTCACTGCTCTGCAACAACCTTGGGAAGATTTCGACTGGCCGACTGGCATTGGTTTGCCTGGTGACCGACGGTGGTAGGCCATCACAACCTCGAACTTAAGGATTTCATTTTTCCATTTCTGCCGCTCAATGTTGTCATTGGACTGGTTGAGGCCTAAAGAATTGAGAATTTATTAAAATAAATTTGATCCAAGAGTGTAAAAATTTGGGCGAGTTCCCTTTCTTTTACTTTAAAATGAATAATGGAACTAGAAACTTCTATGCAAAGTATTTAATCAGCTTGAAACCCTTTTTAAAATAAGTAAAATATTTTATTTCAATTAGAGTAAAGCTGGTTGAAGATTTATTATTGATTGATTGGCTATATGCCAATTCAACATGCAAGACAAAAATAACAAAACAAATAATAAAAAAAAAAAATGATTTCATTGATCCTGTGAAAATTAAAAGGACAAGGATTATATAAATGAAAACATTGGGCTCTCAGGCAAAACTGGTAAAAGTGGTGGGGGATGTTGCGCCTATCTGTGGCAAATGCACAACTCAACCTAGTCACTTTACTTGTCTTGATCGTCGCATGCATGAGAATAGATTTAAACCTACTTGAGGTCAAAGGAGCTCTGTGTACTGCAGGTTTCAAAACTTGACCAAAAGACTGGCGCTGCGGTGTCTGCCAAGTCCTCAAACACTGTTGACGAGTGGCATCTCTTCGACCTGATTGAATTTAATAATTCTAATTAAAATTCCAATTATAAAAAGCCGAGCATGCTGCTCTCGTATATAATATTATAATCTGGAATGTAATAAGGCTTGCATTTATTTTAATGAGAACAATATCTGAATTTGTTTTATGATTCAATGAGATTTTCTAATTAAATTAGAATTTAATTCATGAAAATTGTATGCTTTGAATTAGTTTGATTTAGGATTGATTAGGATAGATTTGTTTCAAGAGTTAAGGTGTGCAAGAGCGCTTCTAAAATAAAAATGCAAAAAAAACTCCTATTGCACTGACCTGGCTCTCACTGCTCTGCAACAACCTTGGGGAGAATTCGACTGGCCGACTGGCATTGGTTCGCCTGATGACCGACGTTGGATTTCTAAATTAAAAATAAAACTTTGAGCGTTGAATTAAGTTCATGGTTATTCATATTAAATTTTTCATTACACTTTATTAATAATCTTGTGGATTCTTCATTTAATAAAAATGCTCAATAATATTATTTCTTAAAAAAATCTTGGAAATTTTTAATCACTGAAGTAGGTTGCATAATTATGAGAGATACTCAATTTTATAAGCCCCAGATAGTATATTTACTGGTTGCAATTTTCAACTCTAAATTGCTTTATTTGTGCCAAATTGGATATGTATATTGCAGACATAAAATAGTTCGAAAAACTAATATTATTAAACTGATAATTGAAATATAAAATAGAAATCTCACCGAATTTTGTTTCAAAGACGTCCATCTGGCTGTCGGTCACGGCTTTTCCAGAGTTTTTGGGAACAGCTGAGGGTGAAGATGGCAAGCGTCCTCGCACGCTGTTGTCCAAAGAGGCATCGCGGTCCGAGGGTCAGACCATTGGTGCTGAAGCCAAAACCGCCCTTCCAAGTTGACACGCTCAGGCAGGATCTGTGGAAATAAACTAAAGAACTTCCAAAATTATTCTCACTTTAAAGAAAAATCTATAATAATAAAAATGTGTTACCCAAACACTTAAACAATTTCACATGCACGTCTTTCAAACTACTATGAACTATTCTCACTAGCACTTGGTCACTTTTCAAATACACAAGACTATTTTAACAATTTATATTAACATTCATTTTACCTACTTTATCTAACAAGAAATTATATTTCAGTCGATTTGTAGAACACTCTTAGCGAATTGATTTGGTCACATTTAATATGTCGTGTACAAAGCATTTTAACAATCAATACTATCATTTTTTTCATGCGCCGTAGCTGCTCAATACTTCTAATTTTTAATCCTTGCATTCATATTCTACAATACAAAAGTAATGGTCAGAAAATTTGATGATCGAATTTAAAAAAATTTGTATTTAGTTTGCTGCGCATTCAGAATCATTCATTAGCTTGTAAACAGAAACTTTCTGCATTATGCGGTCCTAATAAATCATCTTGCATCACTCGAATTTCGGAAAAGTTACAAGAGAACAATCAATACATTTGACTTGGCCAGTTTAAATGAGATTTGTTTAGATTGTTTTTTTGGTAAACAAAAAATAACCACTTGCACTTCACTCACTGTTCATGCAAAAGCCATCCTTAAAGTTCAAAGAAACATGCATTTAGTTTTAATAAGTTATTTGGCCATTTTTGAATAAATTAAGAAAGTATTAGAGTGGAGTGGTTTGACATCCCTTCAAACTTAAGCAGACATCCGCGGTACTGAGACTCACTTCCGGCTATTGTTCGGGGGCAGGGGCTCCCGGTTGCGCAACGTGGAAGGTGTTCGAGGAGGCAAGCCCGGCGTGACCAAACATACTGGACTACACAAGGGTGCCAACAACGAACCCAACCTCTTTCACGCCCATTGCCACACTCATGACAACTCAATCTCATGAGTGCACCACGTCAGCATCAGTGTCATCTGAATTCTCCGCACCTCCCATGCGTTCAGACACAGGACTTTAGTCGCAACCAAGCCCTGGACACCAAATCGTGTTCCCGCATGGCGAATGCAGAAGCTCAATGGGTGGTTGTGATGCCTCGGCATTATTCACACACAAGCCATTCAGACGACGCATTGCCAGCGGTGGCGGGCAACGTCCCCTGTTAGGGGCGGCCTTCAGCTGTTGTCCGCTCCGTTGGACCGGTATCTGTTGCGGGGGTGCAACCACTCCATTACAAAAAGATAATTGGCATAAGTGCAGTTGCTTAATTTATACATTTTTTTTAGTAACAATGACAAAATTCACCCAGATAACTATTCATTAAACTTTAAATTTAAACAGTGTATAATAAAAATGAAAACATTGGGCTCTCAGGCAAAACTGGTAAAAGTGGGTGGAGGATGTTGCGCTTATCTGTGGCAAATGCACAAATCAACCTAGTCACATTACTGTCTTGATCGTCGCATGCAGAATTTATTTAAACCTACTTGAGGTCATAGGAGCTCTTGTGTTCTGCAGGTTTCAAAACTTGACCAAGAGCCTGGCACTAGCGGTGTCTGCCAAGTCCTCAAACACTGTTGACAAGTGGCGTCTCTTCCACCTGATTGAATTTAATAATTCTAATTAAAATTTAAAATTCGAATTATAAAAAGCCGAGCATGCTGTTCTCGTATATAATATAATAATCTTGCATGTAATAAGGCATGCATTTATTTTAATATACAATTTAGAATTTGTTTTATGATTAAATGAGATTTTTTTTAATTAAAATAGAATTGATCATGAAAATCGTATCTTCAAATTTGAATAAGGTTTGATTTGATTCAAGATTGAAGGTGTGAGACTAATCTTTGGCCAGAGCGCTTCTAAAATAAAAACGCAAAAAAACTCCGAGTGCACTGACCTGGCTCACTGCAACAACCTTGGGGAGATTTCGACTGGCCGACTGGCATTGGTTCGCTTGATGACCGAACGGTGGTAGGACATCAAAACCTCGAAAGGATCACATTTTTCCATTTCTGCCGCTCTCTATGTTGTTATTGGATTGGTTTTGAGGCCTAAAGAATTGAGAATTTATTAAAAAAAATTCGTTCCAGAGTGTAAAAATTTGGGCGAGTTCCCTTTCTTATACTTTAAAATAAATAATGGAACTAGAAACTTCTATGCAAGTATTTAATCCGCTTGGAACCCTTTTTAAAATTGGAGGAAACTGGTTGAAGATTTATTATAATTATATTGATCGGCTATGCCAATTCAACATGCAAGAGAAAAATAACAAAACAAATAATGTGACAAAGAAATGATTTCATTGAAGCTGTGAAAATTAAAAGGATTATTCTCACCAAAAAAAGTATTGTCGATGACCCTGGTTGATGCCCATGGCGCCATGGCGTCGCCGAAGTTGTTGGACAAAGCCGTCGGCGAGAGTTTTCGGAAGAAAAGCATTGTGTGTTCCAGCAAGGCTGAACACGTGGCCGCTGCCCACTTGTTGTGTTGTAGGAGTGACCTGTTTAAAATTTTCAAAAATTAATAATATATTTTAAAGATGATTACTAAAAATGCGTCTTTTTTTGTAATGTTCATAATTATAATGTACTTTTTTATTTTTAAATCAAAATTAACAACGAGACGAGAGGGCAGGTATTTGAAATTTTGATAATTTAAATTTAACGTCCAAAATCAGCATTGAAAGTGTGAAATTTTTGGAATAGCCGCACTCCGTCAACGTAAAACTGGATGTGATTTCACGAGCAAAGTTCAGGAATGGTGAAACAAAAAGTCGGTGAATCGAAAAGCAATTTTTCAACTGAAAAACGCACGCGATTTATGAGACGGGGCGCCGTTGAAACAGTACCTTAGGGTCAGGGTAGGGTCAGGCCTCAATTTCCATGCGGTGGACAGGTCTGACGAACCCTGAGAGAGCCGCTTTCGTGGAGAAAATGCCAGCATCAAGCGGATCACACAAGCGACATCGCCGCCATGTCTGCGACTGCGGCCGGAAGCGCGAGCACCGAGAAAGGGGCGAGAGGAGATTACAGGTGAAGTAAAGGTGAGATGCTAATATTAATATTTCTCCACGCTTATTTAATTATTTCGCCGATATTAAACGCGCTTAAACTAAATATTTTATCTTTCGGAAAAGCAAAGAGTCTTTATTCCTCATTTGAGCTAGGTTCAGTGGGGTCTCGCGTCTTGTACGAAGATTTACAAAATTATTACTGCTTGTCAAGAACAAAGCGCGCCGTGCACATGGAAAAATATGTGCAATTCGATTAATTATGGCCTCAATGGGACCTACCTGGGGTGAAGTCATGAGCGCGGACTCGTCAGCGTGGTCTCCGCGGTGAGAAGATCCATTTTTCATCGTGATTCGGCGAATGCGGTTTGATTTCTGTCAGTTTCGCCCGATTTTTCTTCCAAGCGAGAAAGTTCTGTTTCTGGAACTAGAAATCTGGTCGGAAGACAAAGACACGCCGGCGCTTGTTCTTGCCGGCGAGCGAGAAGGGAAAGAGGGAGGGTCGGAGGCGCTCGGCCGGTCGCCCACACACTCTCTCGCTTTTGCATTCCTCTGCCTTTGTGTGCTCAACACATGTCCTTGGAAAGGAAAAATGACAAGAAAAGATGAAATTATTCAGGAATCGCCACCATTGTGTTGTGAAATAGGGCCCATGAATGCGATTGTCTCAACGCACTAACCACTCACAGCTATTAAAATTTTATATTTAAAAGTCAATGTAATTTTTAGTAAATTTCAAAATTAAAAATAACACTTCGAGCTTTGAATTTAATTCTAGGTTATTCATATTAAATTTTTCTTTACACTTTATTAAGCTTGTGCATGGATTCTTCATTTAATAAATTTTGAGGATAAAAAATTTCCCCATAAACTGCTTTTTACTTTTTATATTTTGGTTGGAGACTCTCTCATTAAATTATACATAATTTTATCTTAAAATTTCAAAGGAAATCATTGAAAATCATGTGACATTATATACCACGTGATACGCGCGGCGACTTGTTCCACGCGAGTAAAAATTTAGGGGGCACGCATCCAGATTCAATTCAATTTGTTTTATTCTCTACGTAACAAGTCAAAATAAAAAAAAATGAAATAGGCAAGTCATAAAATATAAATACTTATAAATATTTATAATAATCATTATATTATTTGCCGTTTCCTTTATTTTTTTTCTTTCTATAATTTTTTCAAGAGATTTTTCTCCCGTAATTTCATTTGATTTATGCTGTTTTGTTTTTAAATTCTTGCTCGAAAATGATCAAAAAATTGCGTTTTATAAATTTGAAGTTAATTTTAATTACCGATGAAACTTTTATCGAAATTTTTCCTGAATCTTATAATATGATTTTGTATGTTCATTCAAAATTTATTTTCGTTTAATTTATTTATTATAGTAGCTTTTATCTAAGTAGAAATTTCAAACAATAAATATTGTTAGAAACTTCTAAAAGATGATTATCCCACATACAGTCAAGCGCAAATACCAATATAAATAAATTTTAATTTTACATAATATATTTTACTTTTACCAGCAATATGTATTTGAATTCATTTCGTATAATAATGAAACAGTTCCTAAATTTTCTAGGATATAATAAAAATTTCTAAGAAAAAAATATAATGTCGGATAATTATGCCAAAAAAATATAATAATTAACTAACACCTTTTTGTCCAGCAATTAATTTTTTATCCTTTTCTCAAATAATTTTTCAACAATTGTATGTAAACAATGTGATGTAACAATTTTAGTCAGATATAATAATAAAAAAAGTTACACAAAATTACATAATTATGATCATGATAAAATATAAAATTATTATTTTGAAAGGCGCAGCAGATGTAAATTAACTTTTAACATCTTTATTATTATAGTATTATACCATATACCATATTATTTTGTTGAATTTTACGGAATTTTTTTATTAAGTTCATTTTTAGCCATCTCTTTGCACTCGAAGTAACTAAAATCTGTGGACGTCACGTCAGCAAGAGGATAGTAAGGAATGGAGTTTCAATGAAACTCCCAAAAATAATATGGAAAGAGTCAAAATAAAACATAAAATTTATTACATTAAAACGAACTAGCGAGAAAAATATTATTTTGTAGATTTAATATGGCAACAATTTTAATTTTAAATAAAATATTTCATTAGTATCTATGTATTGTAAAAATCCTCTAAACACGCTCCTCTTATAAAAAAACACACAAAGGGGGTGTGCACAGTGCAGTGGTCACAAGTCTCTCAGACGTCACTGACGCTTTTTCGCAAATTAATCAGCACTGATTATCGTTCCTTTTTACCTAAAATTTATCACACATATTTGCAACGGAGGGTTTTGAAAAGCTCAGCAAAATGTACGCGCCAGGCGTGAACTCGTCGACCAACCTGTCGTACAACAACGATCGCCCTCCTTCGGCAGAGGCTGTCGAGATGGCCAGTGACCCTGCTTCGGGAGGCTTTTTCAACTCTGATTATAAAAAGTATAATTCGAAATCTACACTCGGCTTGATTTATCAAATGTTTATTTAATTTCAGACACGATGATCTGAAGCAAATGCTGGACAGCAACAAAGACAATCTCAAACTCGAAGCCATGAAAAGGATCATTGGGGTATAAAACCATTTTTTTTGTTATGGTTTCAAATTAAATTAATTAAATTACAAATGTTTAGATGGTCGCTAAGGGTCGTGAGGCGTCTGATCTTTTTCCGGCAGTTGTGAAAAATGTGGTGTCCAAAAACATCGAGGTCAAAAAGCTTGTTTACGTCTACCTCGTCAGATATGCCGAGGAGCAGCAAGACTTGGCCCTCCTTTCCATTTCAACATTCCAACGGGCTCTCAAAGATCCCAACCAACTGATCAGGGCCAGTGCTCTGAGGGTCCTTTCCTCAATCAGAGTGACCATGATCGTGCCCATAGTCATGCTGGCCATCAAAGACGCCGCGGCCGACATGTCTCCTTATGTTAGAAAAACTGCAGCTCATGCCATTCCAAAACTTTACAGGTTGAAATTAGTACAAATCTTAATTATTTGGAATTATATCAAATTTAAAATTCACAGTCTGGACCAGGATCAAAAGGAGGAACTCATTCAAGTCCTGGAAAAACTTCTGTCAGACAAAACGACGCTTGTTGTTGGTTCCGCAGTGATGGCCTTTGAGGAAGTTTGTCCTGACAGAATCGACCTCATCCACAAGAATTTCCGCAAACTGTGCAGTTTGCTTGTGGATGTCGACGAATGGGGCCAAGTTGTGATCATCAACATGCTCACTCGATATGCAAGGACCCAGTTTACAGATCCGAATGTTAATGTAAGTCTAACTTAATTATTTTTTTATATTTCTTAAATAAATACCTGTAGGAAATTGATGAGGAGGAAGAAAACAAGAGGCCATTTTATGAGGACGAGGATGATGGCGACGAATCTCAGCCAGAAAAGCGGGCGCCGAGCTTGGACCCTGATCATCGACTGCTGTTAAGAAGCGCCAAACCTCTGCTTCAGAGTCGAAATGCTGCTGTAATTTTTTGTAAAATTTGTATGAAGAGTCTTGAAGAAAATGATTTTAGGTTGTTTTAAGTGTGGCTCAGCTTTACCATCATACTGCGCCAAAATCGGAAGTGAATCAAGTGTCGAAAGCCATGATCAGGCTTTTAAGGTCTCACAGGGAAGTGCAGGACATTGTTCTGACCTCAATCGCTGCTATTGCTACTCGGAGAAAGGTATTAGATTGTCATAAAAGTTAAAAGTTAAAAAATTTAAAACTTTAATTATTTTTAATTTTTTATACAATTTCTTCAAAAGTGGTACAAATTTGTATCAAAAAAGTATAATCAAATGTTAAAGACAATTTACTTCAATGGGTTGGTTTTAAAGTCACCTCCTAATTACATAAAGTGAATTTTATTTCTATAGTTTTATTTTAAATTATAATTGAATTAAGTTTTTGGTCTATAATATTCAGCTTTATATTCAGTATTAAATGTAATTTTTTGCAATTCCAGAGCATGTTTGAGCCATTTCTGAAGAGTTTCTTTGTGCGCACAAGTGATGCTACACACATTAAGCTGCTCAAGCTTGAAATTTTGACAAGTCTGGCCAGCGATTCCAATGTGGGGATCATTCTCAGAGAGCTGCAGACTTATGTCGCTGCCCACGACCCTCCGTTCGTAGCTGCAGCGATTCAGGCCATCGGCAGGTGCGCCTCAAACATCAAGGAAGTCACCGACACTTGTTTGAACGGACTGGTGTCCCTGCTCTCAAATAAAGACCGTTCGTATTTGCCCACTTTTATTGCTTCTGTTACTCAGATTTTAATATAACAGAGGCCGTGGTTGCTGAGAGTGTGGTCGTGATAAAGAAATTGCTGCAGACTCAACCCAGCGCCCATCGCGAGATCATCATCCAGATGGCCAAACTTGTCGATAATGTGTCTGTACCACAAGCTAGAGCTTCCATTTTGTGGTTACTTGGAGAATATTCTGAAAGGGTTCCGAAAATAGCTCCGGACGTTTTGAGAAAAATGGCCAAATCTTTCACCAATGAGGTTCGTCGTAAGAAAATTGATAGAATTACAAAAATTTGAAATTTGTCTACAGGAGGACATTGTGAAGCTGCAAGTAATGACTTTGGCTGTTAAACTGTGCCTCACCAACCCAAAGCAGACAAAACTGCTTTGCCAGTATGTCCTGCAGCTGGCTAAGTATGACCAGAATTACGACTTGCGAGACCGAGCCAGGTTTCTGCGTCACATTGTTTTCCCTGGAGATGCTGGGGCAGGTGGAGCGACTCGTCTGAGCAAACAGGCCAAGAAAATTTTCCTGGCACCCAAGCCTGCGCCTGTTCCAGAATCTCAATTCAAAGGTGGGACGCTTATTTTTCGCCTAAAATTTTACTTTAATGAATAATTTTAGACCGGGAGCAGTTTCAACTAGGGTCGCTCTCTCACTACATCAACACCAAGACCAATGGCTACCAAGAATTGCCCTCCTTCCCCCTGGAGGCACCTGACCCTAAAGCCAGAGATGTTGAAACAGCACCTGAAATTGCGGAAGAAGCTCCGTTGTTCACTAAAAAAGTGTCCAGCAAGAACAAAGCATCATTTTACTCAGATTCCGAGTCCCCGGGTAATTTTTTATAAATTACCTAATTTCATTTAATAATCATATTTTTTCAGATGATGAATCTGAGGAGAATAGTTCTGATGAGGAAGATGACGACGAAGAAGAGGAGGAACAGTCGAACAGTGAAAAAGATGGAGAAGAAAGTGATACTGAAGACGAAGAGAGCAGCGAGCCTGAGGAGGCACCAAAGGTTGATTTTTACAAAACTTCTTCTAATGCTTAACTGACCGTTTTGATAAAATTTTTAGGTGAAGAAGATTGAAAGCTCAAAAGCCAAACCTAAAAAGGAGGTTGTACTGGACGAAAGCGATAACGATGAAGAATCTGAGGAGAGCTCGTCTTCAGAAAGTGGCTCGGAATCGGACACTGAAGATGATTCCAGTGAGCCTGAAAAAGCTCCTCGGAAAGCAGCAGCCAAACCAGTCAAACCCTCCACCACCTCTACTCCTGCCAAAAGCAAAAAGTCCAATCTGGACCTCCTTCTTGAATTGGATGATGGTAAAGATTTTAAATTGTATTTAGATTATTGCCATTGGAATCCCTTATTTATTTAAGTCCCTGCGTTCACTCCAGTAATGACCCCTTCACTTGGAGGATTTTTAACTCCGATGACCACTCCATCGACTGCAGTCAAGACCCAACTTTTCCCCGACATCCAAGTAAATATCAATTTAATTATTTTATCTGTGTGATTACTTTATAATATATGTAATTTTCTTTTTTCAGCCTGCTAGTGCAGTTATTTCCCCGAAGTCCACCTCGGAATTGCTGAACAAAATTAACTCTGGTGGTTTGGAGATCAAATATCGCTTCACCAGAGCGCCTCACCTTTACTCCCAGAGCATGACCTCTGTTGAATTGACATTCCACAATCACAGTCCGGAAGAATTGACAAATATCAGAATTGGAGATAGAGTATGTTGATTTACTTTTTGATTAAAACAAAATTAATTCATTTCTATTAGCCTACATCTGGCGACATTTCCATCCATGAGTTTGCAGCCATTTCGGCATTGCTGCCTGGATCTTCAATCATGGGCACCTTAGGAGTGGACTTTGCTGATTCCACACAACCTGTCAACTTTGAAATTCTGATCGATGGTGAAAAGTCGTGCCCAGTGGCCTTGAAGGCGCCCGTCGGTGAATTGATCAGAGCCGCGACGATGTCCGAAGAGCACTTCCTCAAGCAGCAAAGTATGCTATTTATTTCATCAATTTATTTCGTAAAAAATTTACTCTCCATTTCAATTTAGATAACTTAAGAGGAATGCACGAAAACAACGCAAAATTCAGCTTCCCCAAATCCTGCCAGGACCTGCGTGGTCTCAGCAATCGAATCTTGACCACAGCAAACCTTGGTCCTATCAGCAGCAGTGATTCCACAACGCTCAGGTACATTTTACAATTACCTCTTTGATCAAATGAATTTTTTATTATTTCCAAACAGATTTGCCGCACAGACGTTGTCCTCGAGGTCTATTGTCCTCGTGTCTCTGCAGTCGGGCGATAATCAAAATGTTAATCTAACCGTCAATTGTGAAAAAATGGTGATAGGGTCAATGCTAATCACACAACTCAAAGCTTGTCTGACAGATTAGTTGTTCTGTTATTGTCCTTTTCAATTATAAATTTTTCCATCAAAAATTTAAATTTCGGAAATTATTGTAACTCTGGGAAATTTGGGGTGGATTTGAAATCTCTAAATATCTTTTAGAGCCCCTGGCTCTCTTTTATTACCACACCGAAACTTATGTGGATATAAGATGTGCTTACTATTTTTGGCTTTGGCCAATTTGCTTCACTTTACGTTGGTTTCGTCAAACAATAAACAGAAATTATACTTAAATTGAATGAAAGTGGAGTCATTCTTTCCAACACAAATTTTTTGGTTGTTTGAAAAATTGGACGTAAATAAATGGCATTCTAAACAATTTTCATAGATTCACAGTAAAACATTCCATGCATTGTTCCCGCCAATTTTCAAATTTCGACTGCACGTCATCTGTGGAGCTGTCACAGCCGCCAGCCGGTCGCGAGGTCGCGACCAAACCAAAACGAAAAGCGATGGCACCCAAAACACGTCGTCTGCTTCTGTCAAATCTTATTTTGGAGGTAAAATTTGTTGGTAATTTCAATGAGAAGAAATTTAATTACGCTGGGATAAGACCAATTTTAAATTATTCTATTATTCCTGCGAGTCTTCATCTGCGACCCCTCTTAAATTTGATCGAATCGGACTAACATTAAGTTTGAAACCAATGTTTTGTACATAAACAAAAATACATAAATTATTAAATTTTATAAATTTATTACTTCCTCCAGCATTTATATTTTTTCAACGTGAATTTCCCATAAATTTTTGATTAACCGCAATGCTAAATCGCGTTTTATTTGCAGAAATTTAGCAAAACAGAACAAGGATTTGGACTGGCATATGGACTGATTCACGACGACCAGTACTTTGTTTTGGGCTTCATTCTCTCCGATGAATCGTCTAACGTGAAAAATCTTCTACAATCAGACGGAAACGACCTCTCTTTAACCTCCGACCTGCTCAAATGTTGGGCCGCAAATCAAACCACCCTTCCAGGTGGTGTCCACATTATTGGCAACGTTTCTATTCCTAACGAAGATGCTTTTTTGGTGGATGTTGTTGAAGCTGCAATCCCTGACATAATATCTGAGGTTTGTTTATTTATTCTGCTAAAAAAATTTAAATTGAAATTTATTTGCAGGAGGTTTACCACTGTCCAGAAACGCAGTCGCCGTTGTCTCTCGTCTACAAAGATGGAACCATTCGAGCGAGCATGGTCGACGACTTCATGCAGAAAGAAGAGCTTGAATACGAAATCGTTCCGGTCGAGGATATTTTAGAAAATTTCATGCTGGTTCACTTGAAGGGTCAGATTGTCATCAACGTCGAGAACAGCTCGGAATCAATTGTGGAGGAAATGCAAGAGCAAATTGCCCGATCGTTGACAGAGGTTTTCACCTTCAACTTTCAATCAAAGGTGTTTTTGAACGGCACCGAGGAAATTTGTGGAGCGGACGGAAGCAAGAAAGTTGACTTTTTACTTTTTCGAGATGAGAGTGGAAAGAAAAAGAAGGGACGGACAGGAGCAGAAATGGTAATATTTAATATACATAAAAATTTTACTAATAATTTACAATTTGGTTTCAATCACAGGAAGTGATCAGTGCTGAGCTTTTGTCAAAACCTGTCAAGACAAAGACCACTGCCGAAGGAAATGACCTCTCTAAATGCGCTCCGATTGTCCAACACAAGAAAGGTTCAAATTTTATTTAGAGAAAAGTTCATTTAAAATACAAAAAAATTATGTATTTGCAGGAGACATTGAATTTTTGAGGATTCCATTTGTGGTTGATGGCCTCTGCTACGTCCACAAGGATACTAAAATTGGAGATTTGTATCCGATCCTCCAGACTTGCGTCTCTCGGCAGCTTCTTTTGACAAACACTTGTCTCTTGAGCGAGTTGAGGAAAACCGACTCCGCCAGTACCCCTGTTTCCATGCATTTTCTTTCTCCTCAAAATGGACACTTTTTAACGTTGGTCTTGCCTAAGAAGCTTGATGACTCTGCCCAAGGTATGAGTATATAATAAATTACTATAAAATTAAATTGATTTTAAATTTTATCAGAGTCCAAGCGCCAAAATCTGCATGAAGCCTTCAGTCTGGATAAAGACCGTCCTGTATTCCGCAAAGGTTGTCAAGTTTTGATCAAAGATGATATGAAAGAAAATAGTTTGCTCATCAACCCTCACGTTGGATTGTCACCAGGAAGTAGGAATCAAATTAATTACATCTAAAATTCACTCCATTTTGAATAATTAAATTTAAAAAAAAATTAAATCAAATTATTCTGATTGAATTGCAAAGGAATCAATTTAATTCCTTTATTGTTCTTATTTTGCTACATGAGTTGTCATTTACATTACATGGGAAATAAAATGCTATTTAAATTCAGCTTACCAAATTAAATTTGTTTTGTTTCAGTTAAAGATGCTGAGGTGGCTGTTGTGTACGGTCGATATGCGTATCACCACTACATGCAGGACAACTTTGATGACAATGGTTGGGGTTGCGCCTACCGCTCTCTGCAAACTTTGGTCTCGTGGTTCCGCCTGCAAGGCTACACCGACAAGCCCGTTCCGAGCCACATAGCCATCCAGCAGTGCCTGGTCGACATCGGTGACAAACCGGCAAACTTCGTCGGTTCAAAACAGTGGATCGGATCGACTGAAGTCAGTTTCTGCATGGAGACCCTGTTGGGAGTTACATGTCGCATCATGTCCGTCAGCTCGAGTGAAGAAATGTGCAGCAGAGTCGATGAGCTGCTCAGGCACTTTAAGACCCAAGGAACGCCTATCATGATTGGTATGTATAATTTTCTTCATTTCATTACTTTGCAAATCAAATCATAAAATAATGTACTTTTATAAAAAAAAAATTAGTCATTAAGATTTTGTATTTTAGAAAATGAAGTATTTGTTCTAAATTTTTTAAATAAAATAAAATCCCAAACTTTGAATTCTAGTTAGCCATGTCATCCATTTTTTTTTTAAATTTATTTTTTAATTGTCTTTTGTCTTTTCAAGGCGGTGGAGTTTTGGCGCACACAATTCTCGGAGTGGCTTGGAACCCAGATTCAGACGACCTGCGCTTCCTTATCCTTGACCCTCACTACACCCAAGGCGAAGACCTGACTGTCATTCAGACAAAAGGATGGTGTGGCTGGAAGGGTCCGGATTTTTGGACGAAGACTGCTTTTTACAATTTGTGCATGCCTCAGAGACCTATTTGCCTGTAGAACAAGAGGAGCTGGCGTGTCAAATCTCAATTGGGTTTTATTCGAAATGTTTAATTTATATCATGTATGATTTATATGATTATTTGTTGTGGTAAAAACTGAATAAAACTTTTATACACATGCAAAATAAAATTCTTAGCATTTTTCAATTCCGATTGTTTTTTTCATTTTTCATCTAAAATATTTCATCACAAAATGTCAAAAAGGTTTGTTTGATTTAAAATTATCTCTATCTAATGATTGTACAAAAAAGTTGTAATAATTTTTGTCCTCATTCCTCATGAACATGAAGTAATTAGCAATAATACCCCTCCTTTTATTTCCTCCTTGTGTAGGGAGAGCAAAATCTTAAAAAGAGGCACCATAGATAAGGGAGGGGGTAGAGAAATAGTAACGCAGCTGATTGATGTCAACGAGTGCATAAATTCAGTTGTTCACACAATGCAGATCAACAAAGATGTGTTTTAAATGTTTGTGATTTACGTTTTGTACATAAACGCACCATTACGGGACTAATAACGACCTGCACTTAGCAATTATAGAAGCATATCAAGCATGTTCTCTGCGTTTTCCAAGCTCCACGGTTGTGGCATCCGGATTTGGTGACAAATTGATGAGAACAAATTGTGCTCAACTTGTGATCGATCAAGAACGCGATCGTGTTAGCAAAAGGTAGGTGCAGCTTTCACGTTTAATTTAATCATTAATTGCGTACAATTATAATTTTGTCGCTATTTACGACATTAAATATTGGGGGATATTCAATAGAGACCCCCCTGAGATAAATTTCTCAGCCTAAATTGGGAAAATCAGATTTTTCTCTAGGTGAAATTTAAATTACTTTGAAAAATTGGAATGATATGGAGAACAATTGAATGAAATATATTAATCATAATTATTTTCCATCCTTAAAATATATAACGCATTAAAATTTTCCAGTATATGTAACGAAAAAACATTAATATTGAAAACATAATGTTAAACATACAATGCAATTATAATTAATGAATATTTTTCAAAGCATCATTTTATTGTCATGAGCATCAAGAATATCTCTCGTAATTTTTAATTAAAACATGTGCAATTGTAGTAATTTAAATATATTTTTTTTTCTTATAATATATTACATAAATCTTACATTATTTTTTAACGAACCAAGAACCGACCCACGACCTCGATGGCGCCTCCACCAGTAAAAAGAACACGATCGCCAAAAGAACTGAGAACGTGAAATTCCCGGCAAAAACGTGGGTCTGCGAAAAAAATTAATTTTAAAAATTAATTAAAAAGAGCTCAACACACTAGATTGATTTACATTTTGGATGAAGTCAAAATAACGTTGGTGCCTCAAAGTTCCTTCCATGTAACTCAGCACAATGTAATGCGTCAGAAATATGCTGAAGGAAAGTTTGCTGATGAAAGCAAACGGCTTCCACGCAAGAAACTTGTTCAAATTTTCTGTAAAAAAAAAATTAATAATTTTAGTAGAGATTTTAAAATCCAGAACTTAAAAAATGAATTACCTGAACGACCACTTTCGCATGCGTAAATGATCCACGCAAGATAAATCGTGAAAAGAGCCTTATGCAGTCCAGCGAAAATCATCGTCTCCACCAAATCGTATTTGAAACTTGGATTTACAAATTTAAAAGCTGTATATAAAGAAGCAAGCAGGGCTGCAAGTGACAAAATCCATCCTGCATACTCTGCTTTCTGAAAATCATTTCACTTTGCAAAGAGAATTAAATTACTATCGAATTTTTCACCTTTGGCATTTTTTCGGAATCTCCGCTTTTCAGTTTCCACAAAACGAATCCAAGGGCGATGCCGACCATGTACGGCGTTATTCGGTTCGGAGTGAAATAATGGAGCCATTTCAAGTAATCGATTATTTGCTCATCACTGAAAAAAATCACTTCTTGACGTTTATCAGAATTAAATTTTTGTTAATTTTTACGTATAAGAAGCTGCATACAATGGCGCTGCTCCCGTCAAATAAACTATGGCTGCGGGAATCAACATTGACAAGAAGAATACAAACGCGAAAATTTGTTTCCCGATGGTTGGCCACCGCCAAAGCAGGTGAATTATGAGAGGAGCAACAAGATAAAGTTGCATGTCCGCTCCCAAGTACCAAGTTTGAACGATGCACTGCCAACATTTTAAATAGAATTAATTTTCTAAATTTATTTAATAAAAAAAGTGAGTACCAAATCTTCAGAGTTGACGATGTTATTGACGTAAAGCGCATTCCAAAACCAATTCCTTTGGCAAGCCTCCTTATGTATTACGACGCTTTTGTACCAAGTTGGCCCACTTCCGATTTTTTCAAACACGGTGGCGTAAAATGCGATTGTTGCTAAGAGAGGAAGAGTGAATCTGCGGAAGTAATTAATAAAAGTGTTTATTATTTAAGTAAATTAATATAGAGTCAAAAACCTGAAGTATCTTTGGAGAAAGTCATTGAAGAAATTGAACTTTTTTTCACTGTGTTCTTTCAACATGTTGTAGGTTCGAAGGGCGCCGCCGAGCAAAAGGAAAGAGTCGACGCTCCAGCCAGAGAGATAAATTGGCAAGTACACTATTTGATCTGCCCACTGCGGTGTTGTTAAATTGCTTAGCTGAACCATTAAACATCACATAAAATTATTAATTACTTACGTCCAATATGGTCTTGTTGTTCATGAATGGAAGGACCATATTGGAAAGGCCACAGTGGCAAATTACGACCAAGCAAATGCTGAAAGCGCGAATGCCGTCCATACTTCGCATCGAATTTTTGGAAACGTCTCTGGTCAGCTTATTCCAATTTTTCGAAATCACGAAAGGGAGAATTCCTTTTTCCAGAAATGAATTCAGCAGGGATTTGTCATTAGTAATTTCTGCGAATAAATTTCTTACAATTTATTAATTGTTAAATAAAAATTTAAATATTTCACTTGTTTGTGCAATGATTTGTTGCTCAAAAATTGAAGCAACTGCGGCAATCGTAATAAGGCAGACGAAAACAATCCTGAAATATAAGCAAACACAATGAAATTCTCATTTAAAATGTCCGTGAAATATATTTACAAGAAAACTTTCTGTCCAGTGCTCCAAGGCTCATTTGTTTCAGTGTAACAATTTTCCTCAAATACTTCCGAGTAAATTTTGAGCCCTACTGAATTTCCAATCTCTTTTAAAGAAACATTGACCATATTTTCCACGTCCTTTGGCTGGCATGACGCGGGGACGCAAAATGCTGACTGGAAAAGTGCTAAAGACGGAAGAATATCTGGCAACTAAACAAGAAAAAAAAATATGTATAAAATACATGAAAAGAATTAAGCGCGACACTATATATTTTTTTACCAGCACGTTATTTTGAGTTCTATTGTGAGTGATTTCGGTGTGGCGTCTTCCGTACGAAACATAGTCAATGATTTCGTTTTTGATTGGAACATTTGGCTCTGATGCATCAACGTGGATGTGAGCCAAGCAATACTTTCCTCTTATGGAGTTTTTTTTAGTATCGATGCATTCGTCAAAATTACCAAAGTCTTTAATATTGCCGGATAAAATTCCCGACTGAATTTTAGAGCTTGAATCCACAACTTAAAAAAATTAAAACAATTTTTATTAAATCATTTTTTTAATATATTAAAAATTTAAATCGAAACTTACTTTTTAAGGCCCATAGCTCAAGATTTGCAATCCCTTTGAGCAAAACTTCACTTTCTGATCGACAAGCGGCATTTTCGGTCAGCAAATCCGGTCGGATGTAATGGGACAGATATTCACTTTGAGTGTTTTTCAGTCCAATTAGGAAAAAGAGCGCAACTATGAGAAGTGCGTGTACGCGCCTCATTCTCTCAAACCGCAGAGATCAACGACTGGCCACCGTCTGGGAGATGCAAAAATTTCGTCAATGCGAGGTGTGTTTGTTAATGTTGTGTGCGGATCGTACGTTAAACAGGTTCAAGGTGAGCCGCCTGCTGGACCCCATTGTAGTTATGGCTCGTTATAAAATTATCATATTTAAATAAAACCAATACACTTGACAAATATTTACCTTTAACCTTTTATATAAAATTTAGCCTTTTGCTCTCATTAAACTCATTTTAAAACTTATTTATTGCATTTGATTGCCAAAGTATAAAATACTAAAATATTAATAATTTAAAATTTTATTTTAAACGTGAATTTAGATTTAGTAAGATTAAACTGTTTATATCAATTTTTTTATTTTGTATTTTATCTACTTTTTATGTTACAATTTACAATAATATATGGCTAAAAAATTCCATATATATAATTGTAAACATATATTTAACTTGGCCTAAATTATAATTAAATCAGGCGTGCAGTACAGTAGGAAAACGAGAAATCACAATCTCTTGAGCACTCTAATTTTCACATTGCAATTGCAATCTTTGATTTTTAGATAAAAATTGGAAAAAAAGTAAAGAAACCTAATATAAAAATAATTTGCATAATATTGAATTCATTAATATTTCAAAAGTAAATGACATCTAAAATATTAAATAATGGTTAAACAATTAAAATAAAGAAAAATGAGTATAATTAGAATAGCTGATTTTTCTATTCTTCTCCTTGAAAATAAATCCACCTAAATTAATTCAATGTCTATGTCAAAAAGCTCTAGCGAATTCAAAGGCAAGGTCAAGCAGCATTAGAAAAGGTCGATTGGTATTTTTTGTCTATATTCAAGCGTTGGAAAGATTATCCATCCAGTCTTAAATAATGCTCATTTCCTGACAGGATTCAAGGCTAGGAAAAAATTAATGCTCCTCAAAACACTGGTTGAACTTTTTAGTATTTGAAAAAGTATCTCTATATAGAATTTGGCAGGTATAGATATGAAACACAAAATGTAATCCGCTGCCTGCGACTTGGTCCCAAATATCTCGTCTGTGTAATTTCATTAACAGAGTAGTGAAAATACATGCAGCTAATTTCATATTTATTCCTTTCTTAGCACAGCCATAACCATGATAATGTTCTTGGTATTTGCGTTAAATTGAAAGATAAATATGCCGCACCCTTGTAACTTTAAATTCCAATATTGTCTTAGAAATTTAAAAAAAAACCTTCAAGTAAAGTAATGCCGACAGACTGAAAAACACATAATATAACACGACGGTCCCACAAAATCGTGATCTGCAAATTTAAGCTTGAGGGACGTCATTCGTAAGAGCAAAAACAAAGGAGAATAGATAGTCCCTATCAACAAAGAGCGGGCGGTGTTTTATCCTGACCACGCAGATCATTAATATAACATTAAATATAACTGATTATGATTTATTATTATTGATATTTATATCTCTTTCATTACAGAAACCTATTTGTTAAATAATGTTAATTTAAAAAGATCGAGAAGTCAATAGCTGAAGAAATGTGTGGCCATTTTTTTTCTCCCTCTAACAAGTTCATATTATATGATTATTTTAATGATTATTATTTATTACCGCAAAAACCGTCAATTACAAAAGCTGGAAAACTTTGATTTCAACAATTAATATTCTTTAACAAGTTAACTGATTGATTGAAACAAAAATTGGAAGATCTTAAGATGAAAATTTTTTTTACCGAGATTTTCCTTATATTATTTCAAATTTATTAAGCCTCTTGCTAACAACAGCTCATTGTTGGTCGTGGGTTATGCTTTTAGAACGCCCTCAATATGTCTAAATAATATTACATAATTACAGTCCTCAACGCACCCACGGTCTTTCGGATTATTCCTCTCGCCGTTCAACCTAACTTTCAATTTAGCCTCGCGAGGAAAGGCCCAGGCCGGTGCGAAAAGGTCGGTTGGAGTGAAACTGGACACGCCGCCGGACCCGCTAACCTCCCGAATTTAGGAGCGCTCCGAGTAGCAAAGCCGCAAAAAGTGCGCGTCTGATGAGATTTCGCACACGCGACCTTCTGATCTGTTCAGAACATGAGTCGAACGCGCAGTTAACATTGAAACTTCATGTTAGTAGGCCAGTTTGATTTATATGAACATTTTTATGACTCTTAAAATTTATATTTCAAATATCAAAGATTCTTAAATCCTTACAAAGGCTTATTATTTTCTTTTTATTTCTGTTCAAAACTTAGAAGATTTTATTTTTCAAATTAAGTTGTAATCAAAATTGTAACAAAATAAAAAAAATCTGATTCAAATATCTGTAGTAGATAACTGGGCTATATTTTTGCCCAGCCCAATTATTAAAATACGGATCAATTTATTAATCAATGATTCCAGTCTCAATTACTTGCTTAGTTTTTGTTAGTTTTACCATCAGCCTCCTTACATAATATATTTTAAATAATTATTTAAAAAATTTCCAACAATATATTTATCTTAAAAAATTTCAAATAGCCAAGAAATAAAGAAAAAGAAATTTTCCGCTCAGATTCACTTCCTATTAAGTACATCACACTCAAAATATTTATAATTCAAATTATTAAAAGATCTGGAAAAAGTTATTAAGTCTGAAAAGTATGCAGCCTGGTTGACAGACGTGCGCTGCCAGCTGCTTGTAATGCTGCTTCATAGTCTGGATTTCACCAATCTTTTTATAAATGAAATGTTTATGAAGTATTTTTAGATTACTTGAAGTAAAAAATACTTCGAAAAAATCAATTACATAGTTTTACAACAGATTGCTTCTATGCTTTCCATTGTTTAATGAAAATGCTTTCCTCATATTTTAGGTGTAAAAATAAATTCTACAAAACAATTGAACAATGTAAACTCTAGAAGACAGATTATTTAAATAAACCCGTAAGTCCCGAAAAAAAAAAATAACATGAAGAAATATGTTAATCAACAGATTTATTTTGAAATCAAATTAAGTTATTGAAACTCAATCTAATTCTAGTAATTATTGCTGAAAATTTTTAATGCAACAAAGAGTTGACCAAAGACCTCGACGGCGCCTCTATCAGCAAATAAAAGACGATGGCCAAAATAATTGAGAACGAGAAACTTCCCATGAAAACGTGCAACTGAAAAGATAAAAAAATTAATGAGATATTTCAAAGATGCTTTGCAATTTTTCTTATACGTTTTGGATTAAGTCGAAATAGCGTTCATGCCTCAAAGTCCCATCGATGTAATTAATCACGATGAAGTGCGTCAGGAAAATGCTGAATGAAAGTTTGCTCAGGAAGGAAAACAATTTGCATGAAAGAAAATTGTTTAAAATTACTGAAAACATATTTTTAGAACGTGTTTTCCTTGAAATCTATTTCCGTCATATATTTACCTGAACGGCCACTCTCGCAAGCATAAATAAACCAGGCAAGGCAGAGTGTAAATAGGGCCTTGTGAAGTCCAGTGAAAATCATAATTTCAACCAAATTGTATTTGTAGCTTGTGTCTATGAATCGAGAGACACCATAAGCAGCAGCAAATATAGAGAATATTGATGCAATCCAGCACAAACATACTGCTTTCTGATAGTAAGAAGTCAATTAAATGGATTAATTATAATAAAAACGTAAAATAAAATTTAGATAACCTTCGACAGTTTTTGGTCTTCACCGTTTTTCAATTTCCACAATACAAATCCCAGGGCGATGCCAACCATGTAAGGTGTAATTCGATTTAGAGTGGAAAAATGAAGCCACTTTATGTATTTCAATATTCCCTCATCACTAAAAAAATATTTCAGTCCATATATTCACAATTAACTGTTTTAATTTACGTGAAGGAAGCCGCATATGATGGCGCTGCTCTTGTAAAATAAACTATAGCTGCTGGAATCAACAATGATGAGAAAAAGATAAATGCAAAAATTTTCTTTCCAATGTTTGGCCACCGACAAATTAGTTGAATAAAAATTGGCGCAGCAATATAAAATTGCATATCCGCAGCCAAATACCAGGACTGAGCAATGCACTGTAATAATTTTACTTGTTAAAAAAATTCACCTTTTTACAAATAATAATTTACCGATTCAGTAGGGTTGACATTGTTGTTAACATAAAGAATGTTCCAAAACCAATTCTTTTCGCAAAGTTCCTTATTCACTCCCACACTTTTGTACCACGTTGGTCCACTTCCCATCTTATCAAACCAGGTTGTGTAGAATGTGATAATGACTAACAAGGGAAGTGTAAATCTAAAGTAGATTTATTAGAAACTTAATTGTGCGTTTTTAAATTTTTCTGAAGAAAAAAATATACCTAACATATCTTTGAACCAAGTCCTTAAAAAAACTGAATTTCTGTTCCTTGATGCCTTTTAACATGTTGTATGTCCTAAGGACTCCTCCTAGTAATAGAAAAGCATCAACACACCATCCAGCAATAAACAAAGGCAAAAACTTTGGTTGATTTGCTAGCTGATCAAAGGAATTTAATAGTTTAATTATATTTTTAAGGAAAATTATGAAATAAATTTCTAATTACTTACGTCATAAATGAACCTTTTGTTCATGTAGGGGACAACCACGTTTGAGATGCAGTTATGGCAAATTACAACCATGTAAATGCTCAAAGCACGCACGCCATCTAAACTTTGCATTGTATTTTTAGATACATCATTAGTCAATATGCTCCAGTTTCTAGAAAGCGAAAATGGGAGAACGCCTCTTTCGACAAATGAATCCAGCGGAGATTTTTCCTTTGGATTTTCTGAAAGAAAAAAATATATAAATATTTATTATTTATTTTTAATGCATTTTTACTCATTTTGGAGACGCTGTTTTGTTCCAACACAGTTGCAACGAATGCTAATGTAAGAATGGAAATGATGAAAATCCTGCAATTAGTATGTGCTCGTAAAGTTATAAAATTTAAATACATTTACAAAATGTAATTACAAGAAGACTTGCTCTCCAGTGCTCCATGGTATAGGTTGGTCTGTTTTGGTATAACAATTTTCCTCAAATACCTCCGAGTAAATTTGTAATCCGAGTATATTTCCAATGTCCAATAAGGAAGCATTAACCATTTTTTCCACGTCCTGCGATTTACATGATGAAGGTATGCAAAATGCTGACTGGAAAAGTGCAAAGGATGGAAGTGTGTCTGGCAGCTAATTTCATGAAACAAAAGATGAATAATTATAAAAACCAAATTTTTGTGACTGCACTGTAATTTTACCGGCACATTATGAAGAGTCCTATTGTGAATGATTTCGACGTGGCGTCTTCCATAAGAAGCAAAATCAATGATTTCGTTTTTCACCAAAAGATTTGGCTCAATTGCATCGATTTGGATGTGAGCAAGGCAATACTTTCCTTTTATATTATTTTTTTGGGTGTCGATGCATTCGTCAAAATTTCCATAGTCTTTAATGTTGCCAAATAAAATTCCTGACTGAATTTTTGAGCTTGAATCCACAACTTGAACACAATAATTAAATTTCAAATTAAAAAAAATCCAAACTTACTTTTTAGAGCCCATAGTTCAAGATTTGAAACACCTCTGAGCAGAATTTCACTTTCCACGCGACAGGCCGCATTTTCAATAATCAAATCGGGTCGGATGTAGTGGGATAGAAATTCACTTTCAGTTTCTTTCAAACCTATTAGGACGAACAACATCAAAATCGTTCCTTTTGCTTGCTTCATCCTCCAAGCTCAGGTCGATTCGACTGAACTAGCATTGGGAGAGTATTAATAAAAGCGTTACTCGGCTTGTGGCGCTCATAATATTAATAGTGTTCCCTGTAGATGGAACCCAGAATCAAGGTTAACCTCAACTACCTGCTGTTTCCAACCAGCAGAATTTGACCGTTTACGCGCTTGTTCATTTTGTTGCTGTGCTATTTAATTAAGTTTATCTTGAATTTTAATACTAATTATATTTTATTGCAAGCTGAATGTTCTATGTAAATTTAATAACAATTATTTATACATCCTAATTTTTACTATAAAATTCATTTTAAAATATTATAATTTATTATTTATAAATCGGTTTGATAAAATTAATTTCATTTCATTTTGCTAATAAAATTATACATTTTTTAGTACGAAACAACATAAATAATAAAAATTTATATAATTTAAAACAAGTTGACACCATATAAATAAATATTTCAAACGAAAAAAAATTTATTTATATATTTTTTTTTTATATTTAAGAAAAATAAGAATATTAATGTTGGACAAATTATTCGTGATTGATGTTATTCATCATCTTCTGCCTTTCATTAATCATTTGGCATCACTGATAGCGTTGGAGAATTCCTGCAAGCGACCGCTAGTGGATTCTCCATCCTCCATAATATACAACCGAGACGAACTAATCGCAAGGTTGTTTGCAAAGTTAAATGAAAGTTGTTTTTTGTTCCTCTGAATTTGATTCAACGAAAACAATAGATAAATTTCCTGTCCTTTGCATGAATTGTGCTTTATTTAAAACAAAATTATATTAAATTATAATTTAAATATTTAAAATTTTTAGGATTAAAAAAAATTTTTATAGAACAATTCAAATAACGCTTAAATCTTCAAATGACCTAAAGTAATTGTAAAATTGTAGCCAATAAATACAAATCGAAAGAAAATTTTCTGTTCAATTAAGTTAATACCGTAAATAAAGTGAATCACTGAAATCATATTAATCAATTATAATCATTATATTTATTCATTGTATTTCCACGTTAAATTATTCATAGGAAAAGTTAATAAAATCAGGAAATTAAGCGGCCGGGTCGACAAAGGTGCACAGCCAGCTGCGTGTAAACCCGCACTAATACTACTTTATTTTATTATTTTGAACTTTGCACTCCAGGCAAAATTTATATTGAGATTATCGGGAATGTCAAATTTCTCGCGCACCCCAATCATTTTACCGCAGCGCATTCTGTTTTCATTTTTAAAATTCTTCTGCACTGCATTTCTATCGTTCTTCCCAGGGCAACAAGTATTTCATGAATGGAAATTATTTAAATACCTTTTTGCTGGCGCTCCACTCACGCGTGACTTGGAGAGACGCAAAAATGTGTGCACTCGCGGCCCACTCTCTTGATGCTAGACGCGCACTAATGTAAATTTCAATATATAATATTTCTCTTTGCAAAATATTGATGTTTGATTTACTAATATTTTAAATTTTATTAAGAACATTTAACAACAAAAAATAACTGTGTATTATTATCATGAAATAATTATATAATGCTGTTAGAATGCCATGAAATTTTAATTCTATTAACTTTTTATTCGAGCACAACTTTTTTGCCAATAATTTCAAACTTCTGGCCAACTCTCAATTTGTAATTAGATATTTTTTATTTTAAATTAACGTCCTATTTAGGCAAAGTCAATATCATATGATATTAAAATGTGCATATTTCTCCTAAATAAAGTAAATCACCAAAAAAATATATTGTAGTTCCGAATGAAATTATTATTAGGAAAAGTTATTAAGCGTCAGGAGATTATGCGGCCAGGTCGACAAATGTGCGCTGTCAGGTGCGTGTGAAGCCACTCAAGTCCCTCCACAAGGCGTCGTTTCAAGAAGATGTGTTACAAAAATATAAACAATCATCAATATTGAATTGTCATAATTTAAAATCTGTATAATTGCTGCTTTTACGAGGGACACTCCGCTTAAAGTTATGACGAAAAGTTCGAGCTGCATATTTTTTTTTATATAAAATCAATACTATGCGCACTTTTTTTTATTGTTTATTCCACTTGGGAAAGGCACCAGCAGAATGTAGCGGACAGGCCTGCTAAATCGCAAAGGCTGATGACTCGGTTGCTCTCCTTGCTGGGTCGATAACACGGTAAACTGGCAACTCACTGGGCCGGGGATGATGGGGTTTGGTTGTTGGGAATTTTAAGGATGAGGCAGGTGAGCGGCGGCAGCCTATGTATGGGAAATATGCCGGCATTCGCCTGGAATATCTGATGGAAACAGCAGAAAACACCAGACTGCATAGCTGAAATTCCAGAGGAAATGCCTGCAATTTCTCCCGAATCTGCCTGTCGCAGTGATCAGCCAAGCGCACTAACTACTGTGCCACACACTTTCAAATGTGTATGTCAATACGAAGACAGATAATTGAAATTGATAACTGTTTTGCATCACATTTTTATTATGAAAAAGTTTTTAACAAGAAGGAATAGATATTTTTGTAGTATACAATAAAAATGTGTTTCAAATTTGGTAATTTTAAATATAACTGTTGCTTTGTTTATTTATGCAGGATACATTTTTCCCTTCATATCTTTCAACTGTGGTTTAAAATTTTATGGATAACAAGGTTAAAATGTTCAAAATACAGTTATATAATATTTTATTTTTAAGAAAGCAGGAAGACAAAATTATTTTATTACAAATATATTGCTAAAAAACCAAGTGATTGTTTAATTAATATAATTGCAACAACCCCAAATTAGCTGCACATGGAAAACCCTGCAAGTAATCTTACACCTAATGAACTACATTAATTTTTGTTGGGGCAAATTAATACAATATAAACTAATGAGACAGAATAGATACCAATGGCTGGTGTTTTGAATTTTGCTTCAAAATAGAAAAAAAAATACCAAATCGTGAAAACACTTTGGCCTCAAACTTGACCCGCACACTCAGATGTCCTCCTTGATCGTAAATCCTCTCAATTTCCAGGTCGAGAGCATTTCTTGCAGAATGCCATTTCTTGGGTCCCCTCTGCAAAAAGTAGGCATTAGAAGCATAAATAAAAAGAGGAAAAAAAACTTACGGCGTTATATTTTTTTCCGCAGAGGATTTGGCATAATTGCAGAGATCGACAAATATTTTCTCTGCTCTGGTGACTGTGATGGGCTGGCCCCTCCACTCGCCATACTGAAGAGCAGCACCTGTAAAAGATAAATTTAATAATGTAACGTACAATTATGTTTAAAATTTTTTGTACCTATTATGCCATACGTGCACCGCTGGTTCAGCAGTGCTTCCCTTTCCCATCATTGTCGAGCGGGACAAGGTCTGTGACCCGTGCGACAAACATCCAAGGCCTCGTAGGTACGTCTCGGTGGAGTCATCCTTCCTGTCGATCAGCATTCTGTGCAGAGCTTCCAGTTCGCTTTTCCTGACAGCCATGTCCAATAATGGCAGAATTATCTAAAAAAAATAATGGTGGTAAAAATAAAATAACAAAATTAACAAAATTAGTTACCCATATTTGATTGCGAGAAGGCTTGTAGAACGGCAGCATGAAGTTGGCAATCGTCAATTTGATTGCCGGAGCTCCAGGACGAGCAAGACTTTGGCACTGTCCGGCAGCCTCAACAGCATCGTTGAATTCCAAACTCGACTCTCTGAAAAGATCAGCGATCTCGCTTTCTTCTTCTGAAAAAATGAAAACTTGGCTATCCAAACATAATTCAAAAGCAAATTTTATATACCTGACTGTGATCTCGAGCTGCTGCAGGATGCATTCTGTTCAGCGAAGAACTGCGCAGTCTTGCTCGTGCTGGGACCAGGCATTGAATACCAGTCAAAGCTGCTCCCAGGCGTAGGCTCAGGTGGGTATTTCCCTTCTGTCCTTGGTTGAAAACAGGCGGTGGTGAAGGTCCTTCGTCCGCTTCTATTTCCAGCATTTTTGCATGTTGACGAAGCAACTCTGCTTCCCAAAGCATCTCGAAGCTTTTCATCTTCTTTTCTTGCCGAGATCTGGAATAGAGTCAATGAAGAGTACATTCAATTAATAATACTGTGATTCCTTCTTTCTATTTATTTTTTATTATTTACCGAAAATGGTGAAGACTGGCTGTCGATGGCTTTGTGCTTGTGGGGGGTGGCATCAGCGAAGAGGCCTGACCTAAAACACAATTTTTTATTTTAAACACATGATCTTGCAGTATTCTTTTCAACCCAGAGGATGGGAATGTCCTCTGGGGGTACCGACCTTTGTTCGGGACTGGCGTTACACCTGCTAGGGGACAGGGAGTGTCTTTAGCCAGCCTGAAAATGATACCGCTTGGTCTTTTCTGTCGGGTTCTATCGGCTAATGTTACACATAAGCTTATCTTATATTTCTCTATTCGATATATTACCTCTCTTAAGAACTACCCTACCAACACTTACAGCTACCTCGGTCTATTGCCGATAAGCCCCTTACTGAATATTCCTACCCTCAAGACTTATACTGATATTTTATTAACCCCGCAGGACACGGTGTAAAATAATATTCAACGCTTGAAAGGCTTACGAGATACTGATCTTGTTTTATTAATATCAAGGAGATACAAGTTATATATAGGGCGACATCTATTGAAAATATATACACATACATCGTATGTCCCCGCATACCCCCCTGACAAAAAACAAAACAGAAAAAAAAGAAAATTAACTCTTAATTATCTTTTTTGTTTATAAGTGTACATGTTTTGTCTTACTTATTATATGTGTCAACTCTGCGACACAAGTGAAAATTAAATACAATTTGTTTGGTGCAATAAATTTGTTTCAATTGTGTCGAATTTTTCACAATTATATATATAGAAAATAACAAAATCGATTATAAAAAAGTATTTACTTTTCGAGCTTTATGAGACTGAACTTCATTTTGAAATTGTAGCTACATTCTGTACTTGCTTAATTTTTCTGAAAAAACATACTTTTAATTCTAAAGGTTTCCCGGACCTTTCAGGTTCAGGAATTAAATTTTTTTTATACCACATTTATTAAAATATTTATAAATGTCTAAGCTTCTAAATTTTAATTTGGTCCAAATCAAAAATAAAAACGTGCTCTCAGATAAATTAAGGGAATATTGAACTTGACATAATATTTAAGTATGAAAACAGTATTGCTAAATATGTAATAAAAATTTCACTATTATTATAATCTCCCTTAGAATTATCATATTAGTTATTTCATAAAAAAAAAATGCTGGAAATGTGGAAATGAAGTTCAGAAGAATGTAAAAATACAATGCGCCGTGGTAAATATTAATGGCCAGCGCGAGAATTTTGACTTTCTCTAATTATCCATTCAACTTTGCCGCGCAGCATACAATCGCAAACACAATTTCAATCTCCATTCGCTTCGCCCGCTTCTGGTGGGCAACAAGTTACCGCAGACACAACTTACCTGACAAAGCGACACAAGCTACAAGCTGGTGCTATACAGATCACGTGATGCACTTCACGTGACACATTTTTCTCAGCATATATTGGGACACATTTTACAAGCGGAAATTTTAAATCTGTATAAGTCAATAGCAAAAAAATAGCTGTAATTCATGTTTAAGTAACTCAATGTAAGCCTCAAACTTGGGAAATTTACTTTTTATGGCATTTTTATAAAATAATGAACTATCTAAATCAAATAACTAAAACTTTGCCAACATGAAGCTCAACGCATTAATTTAAAAAGAATCACATAAATTACCGTGTTAATGCCAACAATTTATCAGTTAGGAACTAAGATAGAATTTACACTTTTCACTTAATGTTAGCTATTAAAAATTACCAATTTGGCACCAGTTAGTTTAATTTCTTTGTCTCTTGTTAAATTTTTACGCGGCGTCCGAGGCATCAGCTTCGTCCTCGGCGTCCGCGGCGGTCGCGGACGCCGAGGATTTTATAAATAAAATTTGAGTGTTCTAGAGTCAAAATTAAATTTCCAATAGTTTGGCTATCTAAAAAAAATGAATTTGACATTTTTTTCCTTTTGAAAAGCTCATTTCCAGCTGCTGTAACATCGAGGCATTCTATTGCTGGCATAAAATTATTTTTAAAGCGATTTGGAATTTACTCACCAACATGTTTGTAAATAATAACAAAAAATTTTATCAGTTTATATAGAATGCCAACTTATGAGTACTAATTAAGTTATTTCTCTTGTAAAATCTGCAGCTGAGAAATTTTTTTAATGAAAAAAAAAAATGCAAATCGGAAAATTGCGCGCAAGAGTTGTGCGCGTTGTGAGCAATATTATTTTGAACTTTGCACTCAAGGCGAAGAGAATGTCAAATTTCTCGCATACGTCAATCAATTGACCGCAGCGCATTCTCTGTTTCCATTTTTAAAATTCTTCTACACTACATTTCAAGCATTTCTGTCATTCTTCCCAGTGCAACAAGAATTTCGTTCATGGAAATGATTTGAATACCTTTTTGCTGGCGCTCCACTCACGCGTGACTTGAAGAGAGACGCAAAAATCGCGGCCCACTCTCTCAATGCAAGACGAGCAATAATGTTAATTTTAATAATATTTCTCTTTGCAAAATATTGATATTTGATTTACTTATATTTTAAATTTTTATTAAGAAAATTTAACAATATAAAATAATTGTGTATTTTTATCATGGAATAATTTATATAAAGCTGTTGGAATATTGAAAAATTTAATTCTATTAACTCACAATTTCCGCTTTTTTTTTGCAATAAATTGTGTTAATTTCAATATTCTGCCCAACTCCCACGAATTTCATAGTGGGCAAGAGCGCATCATGCAATTTGCGCGCTTCAGCAATTTTATAAAGAGTGCGTCCTCTCATATGAACTCACTTAGCGCTCTAATTATTAATTATTTAATTAATAAATTTAATTAAAAATTTTATGAAAGGGTTTGTATTTTAAAAATTTTTCATCTAATTAAAAAATTAAAAAAAAAAAAATCGCGGAAACGTTCATAACTTTGCTCTGGTCTGGACCAATATTTTTAAGAGTAAAAATAAAAATTATTTCATTTAGTTAGCTACCAATGCTGAAAATTTGAATCTTAACGCTATAACTTATAAAATTTAAAATTCGCGCAAATGTGTAATGAATCGAGCGCGCCGCTCTCCGCCGCGAGTGCAGCAGTCGAGCGAAGCGATAAGCAGAGGCCGGAGCGTATTTATGCTCATAGCGCAACAACGGCCGCTCGGATCACAAGATTAATCACACCACGAGATTCCTCACTCCCTAATTACGCAAAATGCATCCTTTTTAAGGCCCCCAAAAATGTAAAAGGTCGAAAAATCAGAAGGTGAATTTGTTTTTATTATTTCATTCCTCTTCTTATCTCTCGTGTTTGCGCCCAATAAAAATCAAATGATAAATTGGTTACGGCGGCCATTGTTTACAAAATACAAGTGCATCGTGAGTTGCCGAAGAATTAGGGCGAAATTCGGCCCTAAATAGGGCGAAATTCGGCCCTAAATAGGCCGAATTGTCGACCGACAGCAGCCGGCGAAAACGGCGGCCGCCGCGCAAGGAGTAAGACGGACCCGCTTTGGCCGCAGCGACTGCGGTGGGTCTAATTGAATCGCTATTTTCTCTCCGAGTGCAGGTTAGTGCAGCGAGTCTAATAGTCTCCGCAAAAGTTTTGTTAGTGTTTGTACAATTTCATACAAGTCTTAACAATAGAAAAGTGCGTGTGTAAAAATTTTAAAAGTTCCGTGACGAAATAAAAAATGTCGCGCGTTTGAAGGTTTTGGCATTTTATGCATGGCCGGCCAAATGCACGGAATGTCTAAAAAAAAAATCGTGAACGCCAAAATTGTAACTCCCAACGCGATTTGAAATTTAAGGAATTTAGCGCCTTTGTTTTTCGCTTGACGCAAAATTCCGCTTTCATTAAAAATTATTTATATGCGATAATAAAAGTTAAAAAATAATCATTTTTCTTACTTGTCAAATCGACTTCCTCGATTTGCAGAATGTAGCCGACGACAGGCTCCTCATTTGGCTTGCTCGAGGTGACGGTGACCATGTCCATCAAGTCGAAAGTTCTCCCTGCGATGAACGGCGGCTTGATGATCATGGGATCGATCACGGTCCTATTGCCTCCAAGAGCCGTGTCGAAGATTACATACTTGGAGAGCTTGTCCATGGTCGGGTCACCCGGGTTCGAAGACAGAGGCGGAAGGAAGCCGGCTGCTGGTGCACTGTTCGTGTTCGGGAGTCGCGGGAGAGTTGGACGACGAAACCGAACGAGAACGCGTCGCTGCGACGAGTGCGAGGTGTGCGAATGCGAAAGAGGAGCCGCCGAGGAAGGAGAGGAAGCATCGCTCCTGCGCTTTCGCGTGGCAAGTGCGGCTGTCGCGCCACCACGATAGTGGACCTATGACCTATTTATCGGTGGAACTAAACTGAACTAATTTTTTAGTAATGAACGGCAGGGAAAAAGAAAAACACTCGTAACAATTTTTTTTTTCAAATTGAATAAAAATTCAAAAATTATTAGGTTGCAAATAAAGGGGTGCGAATTTGCACGCATAGAAATATTTTGTAAACAGCGATTTTATTCGATCACTTTTAAATATTTTTATTATAATTCCTTTTCATCTTATTTTTTTTCTATTTTTCCCCCCATTTTTCCCATTTGTCAATTTTCCCATGTGTCAAATTGCCCAACTAACATCGTGACGAAAAATGAAATCCTTGTATAATTGGGTGGGGGGGGGGGGGCATAAAATACATGTGTGTACAAGATATAGGTGGGCGACTAGCATTAACTTGACCGTCACTTTTTTTATTTTAATTGCACTGGCAGGTGAGAGACGGCACGTTAAATGTGGTAATTAATAATTTTAATTTTCATCAATAGTAAATAATTAAATGCAATAATTTTATATCTCTTTTTTTATAAATTTTTCGGCTGAATATTTAAATTAAAGATTTATTGAAGATTAAAACTTGAAAATGTAGCTAATTAAAATTTTTCATTTTTCTTTTTTATTTCATGGGTTTTTTGTTGTCAGATTTTTCCTCCACGGAAAAATATTATTTTTCACTTTTTGAATTTATTTAGAGATAGCCAATCGATTGGCGATTTAATTTTGACCCTGGATCTAAAATTTCATTCAAATTAGTTTAGCCGTTTCAGAATTATAAAATAATATTAAACCCCACTTCAAACTGCCAACAAAGTTGAGTGGTGCGTTTTAGAAAACAAGTTACAACTTGCAAACTGCTGTACATATAAAAAAAATTTGTGTTCTAGGGTCAAAATTAAATTTCCAATAGTTTGGCTATCTAAAAAAAAAAAAATTGGATTTGATTTTTTTCCGTTGGAAAAGTGCATTTCCAGCGCCTGTAACATCGAATCGAGGGACTGCATAAAATTTTTTATTTATTTTATTATTTATTTATTTTATTTATTTTTTTTATTTTATGCTGGCATAAAATTATTTTAAAGCGATTTGGAATCTACTCACCAATATGTTTGTAAATAATAACAAAAAATTTTATCAGTTAATCTTGAATGCCAACTTATGAGTAATAATTAAGTAAAATCCAGTTGTAAGCAGCTGAGAAATTTTTTTAATGAATAAAAAATGCAAACGGTAAATTGCTTACCTAGAGAATCACTAAATCTGAAAAGATTATTAGAAAATTATCCACGATCAATCCATATGAAAAAGATTTTGGAAGCTGAGGTATCCCTTGCAATCCAAAAACTTAAAACTAAGAAAGCAACGGGATTTGATCTTTTGAGCAATGAGAATCTTAAAGTTCTGTGGCTTCACATTGCACCTGAGATTACGGCATTTTTTAATCTCTGCCTAGAAACTGGCTCTTTTCCTGAGCCGTGGAAATTTGCGAATTTAAAACTATTATATAAGGGGAAGGGAGATTTGTCCGATGTAAATTCATATAGAGGAATTAGTTTAAGTTCCACCCTGTATAACTTACTAGACAGAGTGCTGAATAACAGAATATACTCATATCTAATAGAGCTCATTCCCTCTAATCAATATGGTTTTGTTAAACACAAGGGTACGATACCTGCTGTGTGTAAACTGTTAAATGAAATAAATGATAGTGTTTATGTTAAAAAGAAACCATTGTATGCCATATTTTTAGATGTAAAGAAGGCCTTTGACTCGATAGATCGAACCTTCATATTTGAGAAATTGATTGCATCCAACAAATTTACTTTCGAAGAACTGAATCTGTTAGCAACAATGTTGGACCTCAATTATTTGCAAATAAATGACGGAGTGTCGTTGTCAGAAACCATAACACAATCAAATGGAGTCCGTCAAGGTGGATGTTTATCACCGTTCCTATTTATATTTGCAATCAGTGATTTTAATGATGCAATACTAGAATTCTTAAATGTCAAAGCAATCCTATATGCTGATGATGTTGTGTTACTAAGTGAAAACTTAGAAGAATTGAAAAAAGCAATGGTAAAAATTGAAAAATTTCTTGCAGAAAGAAAACTTCAACTTAATTTAGGAAAATGTAAAATTATAAAATTTAGAAATAAGGGTCGAGGCAGATATAAAAAAGATGATTCTCTGATGATAAATGGTCAGTCAATTGAATTTGTCGCAGAATTCTCCTACCTGGGAGTCATTTTTCAATCATCAGGCAATACCTTTACAAAACATATTGAAAAGAGAGTCAAATCTGCAATCTTTGCAATCTCGAAACTAAACTCACTAGCAAAATCGTCAATTTCAGCAGGAATTAAGCTATTCAACTTGGCTATAGCACCAATAGCTAGTTATGGAATTGAGGCTATTTGGCCATTTTTAAGCCAAAATGACCTTATTAAACTTGAGACTGTTAAATCAAGATTTTTAAAAAAGCTTATGTGTCTTTCCAAATATACAAAATCGAGATATGCATATGAATTAGCATGTACAAATTTACTCATTATTGATCTCTGTAATACATTCTCGTTAACTAACACGACTGAATACGAGAATTTCCTAAATGTAAAAAATGTTACAAATGCAGAAATCGACCCACAATTTTACAACACTCCTGCAATGACTGAAAATAAATGGAAAGAGACTAACTTTAAAGATCGGCACCTTTTTACGAGGTATGCTTGCCATGGTTTTCATCATTTGTTATGTGAAAATAAAGATTACCACTGTGCAGCAAACAAAAACTGTAAATGTATAAAATGTGGTGAACAAATTGGAATGTATCACCTATTCGAATGTAAAAAGAGTGACTTAACACTAACTAAAGCAGCTTCTATGAAAGTTTAGTGCAATTACTACCTCTTCAGTTTTTACTATTATTATATGCATAAACAATTAATATTCATGTATGTGTCTGTATACCGTTGGTATTTAATAAAAAGAATTAATAATAAATTGCGCGCAAGAGCAGCGATGTGAGCAATATTATTTTGAACTTTGCACTTTAAGGCAAAGAGAATGTCAATCATTTTACCGCAGCGCATTCTCTGTTTCCATTTTTAAAATTCTTCTACACTGCATTTCAAGCATTTCTTTCGTTCTTCCCAGGGCAACAAGAATTTCGTTCATGGCAATGATTTAAATACCTTTTTGCTGGCGCTCCACTCACGCGTGACTTGAAGAGAGACGCAAAAATGTGTGCACTCGCGGCCCGCTCTCTCAATGCTAAACGCGCACTAATGTAAATTTCAATATATAATATTTCTCTTTGCAAAGTATTGATATTTGATTAACTAATATTTTAAATTTTAAATAAGAACATTTAACAATAAAAAAATAATTGTGTATTATTATCATGGAATAATTGAGATAATGCTGTTAGAATATTGAAAAATTTAATTCAACTTTCAATTATTGTAGAACAACTTTTTTGGCATGAATTGTGTAAATTTCAATCTACTGGCCAACTCATCATGCGATTTGCGCTCTCTCGCTTTAAGTGCAAGCGCAGCTTTTTTATCACAATTAATTGAGCGCGTCCATTCTTATGCAATCATTTTGCGTTCTTTGTTTTTTTTTTTGCCAGCGAGAATTTATAAAAAAATATTTTTAAGGAATTCCAAGAAATTTTCTTCATTTTTTCAGTTGAATTTTTAATTTGTAGTTAAATTTTTTTAAACCTTTTTTTATTTTAAATTAACGCCAAAGACAGAATTACATGAAATTAAAATGTGTATTTCTCCTTAATAAAGTAAATCACCAAAAATTTTAATGTAGTGCCGCGTTAAATAATTCACAGGAGAAGTTATTAAGCGTCAGGAAATAATGCGGCCAGGTCGGCAAAAGCCACTCTAGTCCCTCCACCAGTCGTCGTTTCAAAAAAATATAAACAATCATCAATTTAAAATCTGCTTTGACATTAAGTTTGCTTTAATGACGGAAAGTGCGTGCAGAGATAATTGAAATAAATAACTGTTTTGTATCAAATTTTTTATTATGAAAATGAACATTTTTTAAACAAGTAGATGTTTTTGGCAAAACGTTAAAAGTGATTGCTTATCAATCTGATGCAGATTGTTACCCAAAATTTTCAACGAAACAAAGAGTTCACTAAAGACCTCGACGGCGCCTCTATCAGCATATAAAAGACGATGGCCAAAATAATTGAGAACGAGAAACTTCCCATGAAAACGTGCATCTGAAAAAAATTTGAATAATAATTTTTTTTTTGAATTACTGGCTGTTTGCTGAGAGGTTCATACATTTTGGATTAAGTCAAAATAGCGTTGGTGCCTCAAAGTCCCATCAATGTAATAAATCACGATGAAATGCGTCAGGAAAATGCTGAATGAAAGTTTGCTCAGGAAGGAAAACAATTTGCACGAAAGAAAATTGTTTAAAATTTCTGAAAAGTAATTTGTTTAAATTAGTATTTTAAAATTCTTATTTTCACTTAACGTTTACCCAAACGGCCGCTCTCGCAAGCGTAAATAAGCCAGGCAAGGCATGATGTAAAAAGAGCCTTATGGAGTGCAGTGAAAATCATTGATTCCACCAAATTGTATTTGTAATTTGGGTCTATGAATCGAGAGGCACCATAAACAGCAGCAAATAGGGATACCATTGACATAATCCAGCACACAAATTCTGCTTTCTGCAAATAATAATTTATTAAATTGTTTCATTAAATTATAGAAATCAATTATTAACCTTTGACAGTTTTTGGTCTTGGCCATTTTTCAATTTCCACAAAACAAATCCCAGGGCAACGCCAACCATGTAAGGTGTTATTCGATTGATAGTGGAAAAATGAAGCCATGTCATATATTTCATAATTAGCTCATCACTGAAAATTTAAGACCATTAATATCTGGATGATTAAGTTTTAATTTTTTTTTTTAAATTCACCTAAACGAAGGTACGAAAAATGGTGGTGCCCCTGTCCAGGAAACTACAGTTGCAGTTGTCAATATTGCCAAGAAGAAGATAAATGCGAAAACTTTCTTTCCAATGTTTGGCCATCGGTAAATTAGTTGAATTAAAATCGGAGAAACGAGATAAAATTGCATGTCCGCTGCTAAGTACCAGGATTGAGCGACGCACTAAAATAATTTCTATCATAAACGGAAATTGACTTATTTTTATAAATATTTTACCAATTCAGTAGGGTTGACAATATTATTGACATAAAGAATGTTCCAAAACCAATTCTTTTCGCAGAGTTCTTTGTTCACTCCCACACTTTTGTGCCAGGTTGGTCCACTTCCGATCTTATCAAACCAGGTTGTGTAGAATGCAATAGTTACTAACAACGGAAGTGTAAATCTATGGTGGATTGAATAGAAATTTTTAAAATTTTTTTACTTAGAGGAGTAAGATTACCTGAAATATCTAAGAACAAAGTCTTTGAAAAAATTGAATTTCTTTTCCTTTAGGTCTTTTAACATGTTGAAGGTCCTAAGGGCGCCTCCGAGCAATAGAAAAGAATCAACACTCCAACCAGAGAGAAAAAACGGCAAATACTCCGGTCGGTTTGCCAGCTGTTGGAAGAAATTTGATAATTTTTTTTGAAGATTATTTAAAAAAAAAATCACTTACGTCAAAAATAAATTTTTTGTTCATGTACGGGATCACCACGTTGGAGAGAGAATTATGGGCAATGACGACCATGGATATGCTAAAGGCGCGAACGCCATCTAAACTTTGCATAGAATTTTTGGAAGCATCACTAGTTAATTTTTTCCAGTTTCGAGAAATAGCAAATGGGAGAATTCCTTTTTCAAGAAACAAATTCAGCGCTGATTTTTTTTCAGTCTTCCCTGCAAAAAATTAAAATATACTTTTTATTGAATTTTTTCCTTTAATTTAATTTTACTTATTTTGGAGCCAATCTTGATTTCCAAAGCAGTGGCAACTGAAGTAATTATAAGGACACAAATGATGAACATTCTTAAATAAAAAGCAGTTATAAATTAATTTTTGTGAGATAAATTAAATAATTACAAGAATGTTTGCTCTCCAGGGCTCCAAGGTTGGTCTTCTTTGGTGTAACAATTTTCCTCAAATACTTCTGAGTAAATTTGTAATCCGAGTAAATTTCCAATATCCAATAGGGAAGCATTAACCATTTTTTCCACGTCCTGCGATTTACACGAGGAAGGGATGCAAAATGCAGACTGGAAAAGTGCCATGGATGGAAGAATATCTGGCAGCTAAGTTCATGAAACGTAAAATGCATAAAAAACCAATTTTTCGTGGCTGCGCTCAATTTTTTACCGACAAATTATTAAGAGTCCTATTGTGAGTGATTTCGATGTGGCGCCTCCCATGAGAAACAAAATCAATGATTTCGTTTTTCTCCGAAAGATTTGGCTCAATTGCATCAATTTGGATGTGAGCGAGGCAATACTTTCCTTTTATGCTATTTTTTTGGGTGTCGATGCATTCGTCAAAATTTCCATAGTTTTTAATGTTGCCGGATAAAATTCCCGACTGGATTTTTGAACTTGAATCCACAACTTTCATAAAAAAATTAAAATTAAAATTTTTTTAGTCAATTTTAATATGTAAGAAACTTACTTTTTAAGGCCCACAGCTCGAGATTCGCAATCCCTTTGAGCAAAATTTCACTTTCCGCTTGGCAAGCCGCATTCTCAGTTATCAACTCGGGTCGGATGTAGTGAGACAGAAATTTACTCTCAGTTTCCTTGAGTCCGATTAGGACTAACCAAATTAAAAGCGACACCGTTGCACGCACCATTCTCCAAACGACTGAGCAACTTATGTGTGCGAGATGGAAATTTGGGCCAACCAATTTGCATTGTGTAATTTATTTAGAAATACTCCCCGCAGACGTTGTTTTTATTAAGATTCAAGGTGGACAAATAAGCTGCGCCTGTACTTCATTGGTTCAATTATACTTACATTACGCTGTACGTGCATGACTTGAGATTTTTTTTTTAATAAAGTGCTGTGTAATTGGATTTAATTTTGGATATTTTTTATATGCATAATTAATAAGGTTCCGTCTTCACGAACCCAATAAAATTTCCTTTGCAACTAATTAATATAAACTTATAATTATTATAAACTTAAATATGATTTTGGAGAGAAAAGAATGGACTTTTGTTGCGCAAGTGTAATTTTTGTAGAAAAATAACTTTTTGACATTTTAAAAAACGTTTGAAAAATGTTTTCATTTTGTAAGTCGGAAATAAATTTTTTTAAGATTTTTTTTCTAAAAATTAATCTAATTATATTCAGCGTCTTTAATTTTGTTGAGTTTCAATAAAATCTTAAATAAAAATTCCAAGCGGTTCAAAAGTTATGGAGTTTCTTCTATATCAACTTTTCAACTAATTACATAAATTAATCTTCACATCTAAAACATCGATCATACATTTTAAATTCGTAAATAACTTATTTTTAATGTATTTTTATTTTTTCTTACCATTAGGTATTTTGTTATTTTTACAACACAATACATTAAAATCAAAATTAAATTGTTCGTTAATGTTGTACTTTGATATAGTAAGCAAATATAAATTTAATTTTCTTTCTTCCTCGTTTTAAAATTTCTTCTAATCTCGTATGACGTGATGTAAGATTGATATATAATTAGGCGTTTCAAACGACCGCAGACCATTCCCAGTACACTCTCAATGCAACGCTATGATCAGCCAGGTTTTAGGCCAGCTTGCACAAAAATTTACACCCCACCACATTTCTACACTTCATTGCGCTCCAATCGCTATAGAAACCGCTATAGAGATTTGTATTGAAAAATATTTATAAGAGTAATTACTGTCTAAAATAACATCAGAATGCATTGATTTTTTAACAATTTATCTTGTATTTTTGCAAAAATTCCTTGGTACGTTTCTTTTAGTATTTTTAAAGCTAAAATTCAGGCCTCAAAGGAAGCGAGATAAATCATTCACGTTTTGATATTATTTTCAAATTCTCTAACTAAACGTGCTGGACAGACTGTTGCAGTTTTCTTGTATTTTTTTTTTATAAATTTTTTTATGTCGGCTCATTGTGTGTTTTAATTCACACATAAGAAATTATAGCTTATAAGCTTATAAGAAAATGTAAAAAAATTAATTGACATTCCAAAAAAAAATTTAAAATATTTTTGAATGCATTGATGATGCAAATATTTTTGACTATGTTTATTTTGCCGATCAATTTTTTTTCGCCCTGTTAAAACATTCATGATTTAGTTTACATTATAATTTAGTCGCAACAGTCCACGCGACCTTGCGATGGTAGTCCCGAGGCGCGATTGTAGAATTGCAGTAGGATAATATTGACAAACAGCAATTAAATTGTGACGAAAAAAATTTTATAGGTATCTTTCAAAAATAACTGGTTGTTTGCTTTTCTGTGATTTTCGGAAGTAATAGTGCTTGAGCAAATATTTTTAAGGTATACAATTTTAAAATTAAATATATTATTTTATAGTTCAATGTTGTTTAAAGCTGTTAATATTTTTATATCTATATTCTAGAACAAAATGAGGTAATTATTTTTTTTATATTCTAGTCGGACTTAAATTTTTTAACGAAGCAAAGAATTGACCCAAGATCTTGACGGCGCCTCTATCAGCAAATAGAAGACGATTGCCAAAATAATTGAAAACGTGAAATTTCCCACGAAAACGTGTATCTGAAACAAAAGAAAGAATTTGTGATTTTTTTATTTTAGAAAATTAAATAATTATAATTTTTCATTTACATTTTGGATTACGTCAAAATAGCGTTGGTGTCTCAGAGTTCCATCAATATAATTAATCACAATGTAATGCGTCAGGAAAATGCTGAAGGAGAGTTTGTTCAGGAAAGAAAACGGTTTCCATGAAAGGAATGTGATTGTTTTTTCTGAAATTATTAGAATTTAAGGAGTTTACATTTAGTTCTGAAAATCATATATTATGTATTTAATTACCAGCACAACCACACTCGCAAGCATAAACGACGCACGCAAGGAAGAATGTGAAAAAGGCCTTGTGAAGTCCAGCGAAAATCATTGCCTCGGCCAAATTGTAATTGTAACTTGGGTTTACAAATTTTGAAGCACCATAAAAGGCTGCGAATACAGAGGCTGTTGACAAAATCCAGCACAAAGATAATGCTTTCTGAAAGTATCAATTCATTCACTTTGATTAATAATTTAAAAAATAATTAACGATTAAAACCTTTGACAGTTTTTCGGTTTGGCCGCTTTTCAATTTCCACAGAATTAATCCCAGGGCGATGCCAACCATGTAAGGTGAAATTCGGTTTGGAGTGAAATAATGAAGCCACTTCAAGTAGTCCGTGATTTTCTCATCTCTGAAAATTAAATTAAGTCCATATTCAATTTAAAATATTGTAATTTACGTGTAAAAGGCTGCATATATTGGCGCCGCTCTTGTCAAATAAACTATGGCGGCGGGAATCAACATTGACAGGAAAAAGACAAGTACAAAAACTTTCTTTCCAAAGCTTGGCCACCGCCAAAGCAGGTGAATCAAAATTGGAGCGACAAGATACAGTTGCATATCTGCTCCCAAGTACCAGGACTGAATGACACACTGTGAACAATTAACTCATGAAACGAAAAAAAAAATTTAATTTTTAAAAACTATTTTTACCAATTCGGAAGGGTTGACAATATTATTGACATAAAGAATGTTCCAAAACCAATTCTTTTCGCAGATTACTTTATTCACTCCCACACTTTTGTACCAAGCTGGGCCGCTTCCGATCTTGTCAAACAAGGTTGTGTAAAATGCAATAGTCACTAACAAGGGGAGCGTGAATCTAAATTAAAATTAATTTTATCATAATAATATTTTAGACAAATAAAATAAAAATACCGTAAATATCTGTGAAGGAAATCTTTGAAAAAATTGAATTTCTTTTCATCGAGTTCTCTTAACATGTTGTAGGTTCGAAGGGCGCCTCCGAGCAAAAGGAAAGAATCAACACTCCAAGCGGAAAGAAATAAAGGTAGGATCTCCAATTTGTCTGCCAGCTAATTGAAATTTTATAATTTTTTGCATACATATAAATTATATAAATTGCTACTTACTACAATTAAAAACATTTTGTTCATGTATGGAACAATGTTATTTGATACAGAATTGTGGCAAATCACAACCATGCAAATGCTCAAAGCGCGAACACCGTCTAAACTTTGCATCGAATTTTTAGACACATCGTTTGTCAATTTGTTCCAGTTTCTAGAAATTGAAAATGGCAAAACGGCTTTTTCAAGAAATGAATCCAGCAGAGATTTGCTTTTCGTGTTTTCTGCAAAAAAAAAATATTAATTACAATCAGTGGTTTAATTTGAATGCAATTTTTACTGATTTTGGAGACGATCTTTTGTTCCAATAAAGTTGCGAGTGATGCAATTATAAGAACGGAAATGATGAAAATCCTGTAATGGGTCGATTCATTTTAAGTTATATTAAATTCAACAAATATAATTACAAAAAGGCTTGTTCTCCAGTGCTCCAAGGTGGGTCTGTTTCGGTATAACAATTTTCCTCAAATACTTCCGAGTAAATTTTCAATCCGAGCAAATTTCCAATGCCCATTAATGAAGCATTAACCATTTTTTCCACGTCCTGCGATTTACATGACGAAGGAATGCAAAATGCAGACTGGAAAAGAGCTAGGGATGGGAGCATATCTGGCAGCTAAATTCATGAAAATTAATAAATAAAGTTATTTTATGTGGCTTTAAATTTTACCATCACATTATTGAGTGTCCTATTGTGAATGATTTCAATGTGGCGTCTTCCATAAGAAACAAAGTCAATTATTTCGTTTTTGACAGAAAGATTCGGCTCAGATGCGTCAATTTGGATGTGAGCTAAGCAATATTTTCCTTTTATAGAAAATTTCTTCGTGTTGATGCATTCGTCAAAATTTCCGTAGTCTTTAATATTGCCCGTCAATATTCCTGACTGAATTTTAGAACTGGAGTCCACAACTTAAATAAAATTTTTAATTATTTCTTAAATTCTTATATAATTAAATCCAAACTTACTTTTTAAGGCCCACAGCTCAAGATTTGAAATACCTTTGAGCAAAATTTCACTTTCCGCTCGACAAGCCGCATTTTCAATGATCAAATCAGGTCGGATGTAGTGGGAAAGAAATTCACTTTCAGTTTCTTTCAATCCAATTAAGGCGAAAAAAATTATAAGCGCAACGTTTGGATGTTTCATCCTCCAAGCGTGTTAAGAAACGACTGAAAAATCTTCGGGCGGGAAGTAAAAATGCGGCACTTAAGGTACTAATATATTTATACCTTACCAGGTTCAAGGTTAACCTATACAACCTGCTGTATCCAACTGCCGCAGCTTGACCATCGTCACTGGAAATGACTTGCGAATTTTTGGGTGCAATTTTTTTTCGCCATGCTATTTAATTAAAGATCATCTTTAATTAAAAAAAAAAAATACTTTTAAACTGAATAAATTACATAATAAAATCACACAGACGGAAGCTTTTGAATACAAACGATAATAAATTCTTTTTTTATAATGTTAAAAAATTCAATTCAATCCAAAAATTATTTATTCTTTTAAAAATATTGACAATCTTAAAGTATGGAGCTATTTTTAGAAAGCAAAAGTAAATTCTTTTTCATCATTCTTTTTTGGCTTCATCGTTGGGGAATTCCTGCTAATCTTGTTTTATGTTCCAAGCGACCGCTGGCGTATTCTCCATACATCCTAGACGCGATAAAAATTAAAAACGCAAGGTCGTTTGCAAGAACCATCGTGAAAAAAGGCAGCCATTAATCTTCTTTTTTTTCCTCTCTGAATTCGATACAAGATAAGATTGCTTGATTTACGCTTTTATTGAACCACGAATTTAATCTATTGAAATTTAAATTTTTTATTAAAAATTGCATCTTACAATCTCTTAATTGGTGCAGATAAATAATATTTTTAATGGTTTTTGGTTCATTATTTTAAGTAATTCAGTTTTCCTTCTTCTTGATAGGTTTGTTGGCTAGAATGATCATAATTTCTTATTAATTTTGTAATCATTTTTGCAAATGCACTTACGTGTTGCAAATATGAGTCGGGTGATTTCGAAAAGAGGAGCTTCCACCATCAAGTAAAGCACGGTCGCCACCGCCGTGATTACAACCAGGTCGCCGGCATAAGAGTGCATCTGTGCGATTCACTGTTAGAAATATTCAAAAATAAAAGAAAATTTTTTACTTCAACGTATTCATCGACAAAAATAGGTGATTTTATCCTTGCCGCTCCAATCATTAAAATCACGTAGTGACTCAAATAGATGCAATAAGAAATTTTACTGAAAAGCTGAAACACTCCCATCGACATAATTTTCGTTATCCATCCTAAAAATTTTAAAATTTAAATAATTAGTGTAATAATTACAAATTATTTCACCTCCAAATCCACGATTGCACGCGAAAATCAACCAGCCAACCGCTAAGGCCCAGGAAACGCGGTGCAAACTGGCGTACAAGGCGGATTCGACCGGGTCGTACTTGTGATTGTATTGAATGAGGTTGAAGGCGCCGTAGACGACCGCGTACAGTGTCGACAAACACAACATCCAGCCTAGTATTACGGTCAAGAAATTGAGCTTGACAGTTTTGTAGTTGAAAAGCACGTAGCCCAGACCGAGACCAACGACGTAAGGAGCCATTCGGTGTTGAGTTGCAATATGAACATCCTTCTGATAGCTTATCAGTTTCATGTCTCTGGAAATTTTCGGAAATTATAATTAAAAATTTATAACTTATTACAGAAAATGAGAAAAATAGAAAGAAAAAAAGCTATTAATTCCCAAATAAATTTGAAGGGAATTGGCAGAAAACTCTAATAAATAAAAACTGATTTAACTTTTTGTTCAATAATGAATAATAATAAAAAAAATTACAATTTTAATGAATTACCAGCCAGGAAAACTACTATCTTGTAAAAAAAATTATTCAAAAAAGGATTGTGCATAGCAAAAGAATACAGAGTAAAATCTTCGGAAACAGACTTAGTCTGATCTAACAATGAATGTAATCTGTTTTATTGTTATGCTTTTGGTACGTTTGTATTAATATACAAATTTTGTTCATTGCAATTTTAAGTAGCGAAAACTTTGTCAGTTTCATAATTTAAAAAAAAACGTAGTTCAATTGGAAGAAAATTAGTGGGATTTACATTTCCATTGATAACAAAATTTGTAAATTAACTTAAGATTCCATTAAAAAATAATAACTTACGAATTATTCAGCAAATAAGTTGGCAAAACTTCATATGTGTAGGTGTACCAAGCGGTGAAAGTAATCGGAACAACAGCCAAAAGAATCAAAAGCACTTTTCCTGCCGAAGGTCTCTTCCACAAAAAGTAAATCACAAGCGGCGACGCTAAATATAGTTGCATGTCAGACGCCAGATACCACGTTTGCATGATACACTGAAAAGGAATTCAAGTCAATTATAAATTCAGCCTGGTGCATATGCAGCCTGCGTTACAAATGTGCGTGACGAGCTGTGTATAAAAATCATGATTTGCAAGTCATCAAAAAAATAAATAAAATAAAATGCGTGCGGCGAAAAACAAAAAAGTCATTGATTCGAAAAATGAAAACGATTCATCTCTGTCATAATAAATATTATCCCGCGAGTTTTAATCTGATGAAAATAATTTAACAAACGTGTTTGTTGTTATGGACGTAGTTGTTCACATATAGCAGATTGTAAAGCCAATTTTCCGCACACGCCTCTCCGGGTTCCGTGACGAATTTTTCCCATCTCGGACCATTGCCGAGTCTCGTCAGCAAAGTTGAGTAAAACGCAATGACCAGTGCGTACGCCGGAGTCAATCTGTTTGAAAGAAAATTAAAACATTAGTTGAGCAAATGTTTATTATCACTTAAAGATTGCCTCAAATATCGACGGACGAAATCGGTGACGAATTGAAATCTGTTGCCTTCGAATTCCTTGAGCAAATTGAACGCTCGCAACAAACCAGACATGAGGAAGAAAGAGTCGACGCTGGGCATATTGTTGATCAACGGCATGTTGACAATGTTCTCAAGAGACTGGGAAAAAAAATTAAAAAAGTAAACGCAGCCGTAAAGTGCATTTGCTGCTAATTACCCACCTCTATTTGAAACGATTTGTTTGCCCACGGTTCTTGCAACGTGAATATGATTTTGTGTCCGGCGACAACCCACAGAGTACTCAACACTCGGATGCCGTCGAGGCTTTTCAGGGCGTTCGGCGAGTTGGAAATTGTGAACAATTTCCTCCAGTTTGTCGGCAGGGAAAATGCCATTAGAGAGTTGTAACAAAAACCTAGGAATTATTATATAATTATTAGTAAAATGGCTGTGAAATTTAGACGAATTAATGATTTTGGTTCCAATGGTCCTGCTCAAATAATAAATCGAGAAATTTTAAAACTTCAAAATCAGTGGAAAATATTAAGAATAATCTAAAAAACCGCCAAAACTAGGCTGTAATATTTTTAAATGATTTTTTTTTTATTTCCAAGGACGATTTGAAATTTTTAGGCATTTACCAAACGTGCATGATCAAACATTTAACTTCAATATATACTTTTTTAGTTTTGGTATTTTTCTCGTTTTTTGAAAGAAAATTTTGAAAGCATTAATTTTTCAATAAAATAAATGTCAATTTAAAAAAATTCCTTGTCAGCAGGCACCAATAAGAAGTAAAAAGGTATTTTTCTTTAAAAAAAAAATTTAAATATTTCGCCTATAAACAAACGTTTAACCAAATTCACAGATTTATTTAATTACCTCCATCAGTTTTTAAGCCAAACCAGCATTCAATCACTGTGCTTGAAAGAACTAGAATGGAAATAAAAACTACACACAATCTGAAACAAAGAGTCGAAATTAGTGAATCTTTCTTTCATGGATGTCATGAGTTAGAAAATTTTTAAATGCATTTTCTTTTAACTTTTTTTTTTATCCGCCACGTCATTATTAAACTATTGTTTGTGCATTACAAATATTCACTAACAATGCGCATTAATTTTCCACAAGCGGTATATCATCATTCTTTGAACTTACATGAAAGTCAAATCGCCGTTTGATAGCGCCATTGTTTCATTCACGTAGCACGATTCAACCTGCGCTGCTCCTTTTGAAAATTCGGTGCGCATTAAAAGCGCCCGAAACGCTTGTTCCACGTCAAACGCCGAACAGGACGAGGGAACGCAAAGTCCAAATTGAATAAGTGACATTGAAGGCAAAAGGTCTGGAATCTGCAAAATTTACAAAAAATAAAAGTTGCTATATGAGGAATGATAAATAAAAATTACGACTGGCGCGATCGTCCTGTTCTTGATAATCTCTCTGTCTCGCCGCCATAAAGTGGCCAACTCCAGAAGTTGGTCGATTTTTTCGTTATCAGTTGAAAAATCCACGTTGGTCAAGCAGTATTTTCCCTGGATTGGCGGATTTGTTTCTTTTATCGAAACACAACCGTCATAGCTGCCTAAACTTTTTATGTTTCCCAATAAGAAACCAGGGTTCCATTTTGCATTCACGTCCAGCACTTTAAAATGCAAGCAAAATTTATTAAGAATTAATCATTCATTTTTCAGATAATTTAAAAGTTTATTTTTTCATTGTGGTTTTCATTTCTTAGTTTTTTAACCGTTAATCTTTTTTCAATATGTCCCTGATAGTCATTAAATATTCCTTTTAAATATACTTTCTTTTGGTTATTTTTCGTAATAAATTTTAAATGACCTAATAGAGCTATCATATTAATATTATTTATGTATAAACAAATACATTTATCAATTATTTAATTATATTTATATATATAAATGTATTTATTAAATATTTATTTATTTTATATAAATAAAGATAAAATAAAAAATGCAAGATTCAAGATGTCTAACATAACAAGCGTTTTCTGCTGGGTTGCAAAAAACCTCATTAGCTTAATTTTAATTTGTAACATTCATTAGATTTTCTACTTATCTGCAAATACTTGCAGCATTTAATTCTAATAATAAGCTCTTAATAATTTCATCTTTTTTTAATATATATTTAGAAGTTTTCACGCTGATATTTAAAAATGCCTAAATGATATTCAATAAGATTATAAAATTTTTGTTATTTTTTCTCACTTTTGAGCGCCCAAAGGTCCAAGTTCGCAATTCCATTTGACAAAAGCTTCAGGTCCTCTCTGCACTTCCGTCCGTCCACACTTTCCGCCAGTCGTTCTAACTCGTTCGGTAAATTTCTGGTCAATTGCTCCAGATCGGGCACCAAAAGAAAGCAGCGCGCAATTTCAATGCTCAAGACAAAGAAAAACCAACTCAAAACGCGAGTGGTCATTTTAAGAGTGAGACTCGAGGAGATGAGCTTGAAGGGTTTAATATCTCTCTCCGTCTCCCCACCTGCGTCACTTGAGAGTTTGGCCTGTTTTGTAGTCGCACTTCCTTTTGTGTTTTATCTTATATTTAATTATTTAAATTGACAGAGATTTTAACGCATGAGTGGGTGCGACGATTATTATTCGAGCTGTTAAAAAATATGCAAAGTCAGATATAAAAATGAGGTCTTGAAGTACCTTTTAAAAACATAATTATTGCTCAAAATAATTATGCCTATGCGAAAATTGTGATTATATGTTATTTATATTAAAGCATAGCAACATTTTTTTATCAAAGTTGAATTTTTTAAATTTTCCTATTATCTTTCCGCAAGTATTCTGAACTTTAAAATTTTTCATGGAGAATATGACAGCAATTGTAAATATTATCTTCTGCAATATTTTCTTCTTTCACACCTGGAAGTGAGTCAAGGAACGCGCCTCTTATTTCAATTAGCATGTTTCTGTCAGAAGAAAAGTGTTAGATCGGCCTTAAAACAATTCACGTCAGATTCACTCCTTTGTCAAATATTGTTGGTTTAATATAAAATCATTTTTTTCCTAGCCTAGAGTGAAAGAAATTTTTCTTCGACAACTGTAGATATAAAAGAGTGAGTGATCAAAATCCGGCACATTTTTAGAATTTCATAAATAATTATAAACGCTCGGTGACGTGTTAAATGTTTAGCGGATGTGCAGGCTGCTGCTTATAAATAATGCGCACAGGGTAAATTTAATGAAGTTTACACTAAAATCTTTCCGGTTAATAAAGAGATGTGCTCAACAAGCTTGAAATTTTGGGGGGAAATGGTTTCCTTATGACGTAGAGGGCTTAAAAATGCATTATCCGTTTTTCGCTGATAGCAGACCGTTTACTTTTTTATATCAAGTTAATTAAATAGATGAATTGTTAAAATTTTTAATAAAGTAAAATAATTAATGGCAGTTTTTGGTGTTACAATCTTTCACATTTTATTTTTATTTCTAAACAACGCACTTTTGTATCAAGAACTCCAAACAAATTTTAAGTAGGCAAATAAAACATAATGAGAAAAATAATCACTCTGAAGTTTGAGAACTATAAAATAATGTGGTGTTGAACTTTATCGAAGACAATTAAGCTCTTTGCCTTCGTTTATCACATTGTTGAAAGGCAAATTTGTGGCATTTTAAAAAATCCTAGGCGATATTTACAAAACTATTTACAGACACACATCTAGCTACAGAGAAAAAGGACTCTTTGAAAAACTCAAAAGTGCCCCAGCATGTATGGCTATTTCGATTTGGGCGCACCATGTTATTATTACATATTTTCCTAAAAATCATCACAATTGAAATTAATTATATATATAGTTTTTCTGCACAGGATATGGAAATAGGCACACGTCATTTTTCACATGGACAGGCACATTAAAAATAATTTAAAATTCTAATTATCGCTGCCAGGTCACGGCCTCTCCGCTGGTGATGATGATAACCTGGTCAGCTGCGTGTCAATCTTTGAGTTCACGTGTACGGAGTCCAACTCGTTCTTCGCTGGGGTCGAACTTAATGACTTCCTATTGCCCTTTTCTGAAGACAGATAGATATTTTCATTTTAGACAAAGATTAATTGCAAAAAGTCGGCGTTTGCAAATTTATTTGCCACGTTTAACTGAATAAAAACTCACTGTGTCCATAGCAGATTTTCACAAGCTCAAAAAGTGGCGCTTCGACAAACAGGTAAAGCACCAATGAAATTGCAAAGACTAAAAGAATGTCTCCGAGGAACATGTGCAACTATAAAAAGTGAATGAAAAAATTAAGATTTTTTACAATTAAAAATGTTTCCGATAAGCATACCAACGTGTATTCATCGACATAAACTGCAGTGCGCATTCTTCCTGTGTTTACCATCAGGACGATGTAGTGCGTCAAAAAGATGGAGTATGACAATTTGCTGAGGGGCTGGAACACTCTTGCTGACAAGAAGGTCGTAATCCATCCTTAAAAATGAAATAAAAACGTTTTATTTCTAAATTAAATTTGAACAAATAAATTAAAGATCCTCTCCGGTCAAGTGTTTTGCTCTCTATTCTGAAAGATTGCTAAATTTCGAGCATATCTAGTGAAAACACTATTTGAAAATTCCAAACCGTTGCGTCTCAATAAAAAGAAATCCTAAATATGAGTGATTCGCGCGAAAAACGTGTGAGAATTGAGTAGCCAATCAGATCCATCAGTTTGTTCCAAAAACTACAGAATTTGGCCACATTGGCGCTGCGATCGCTGATTTTGCCAAGTTATCTGCAGCGCCGTGGGGCATTAGTGGCAAAATCAGCGATAGCAACGCCACAAGTGACAAAAACCTGCAGTTTTTGGAAGAAACTGATTGGCTACTCAATTCTCACACGTTTTTCGCGCGAATCACTCGTATTTAGGATTTCTTTTGATTGAGACGCAACGGTTTGGAATTTTCAAATAGTTTTTTCACAAGATAAACTCGAAATTTATCAATCTTTTATAATCGAGAGCAATACAAATGACCGGAGTGGGTCTTTAAATTTTTGATTTGTAAATATTTGTTAAATTTTGTAAAATTAATTTCCAATTTAAATTACCTCCATAGCCGCAGTTGCAGGCAAAAATAATCCAACCTACTGCAAGGGCCCAGGCAGGTCTGTGAAGGCCTCCGTATAGGGCCGCCTCCATTGAATCGTTTTCCCTTCCGTACTGGAAAATGTCGTACGAGCCGAACACGACCGCGTACAGGACGGCCAAACACAGTGCCCAACCAGCAGCCACTGTGACCTGTTTAAAAGGATTAATTAAATCACCATTTTAAAACAAAATGTATAAAAAAAACCAACCTTGGAAAGCTTGACTTTGGTGGTGTTGAGTCGGTAGAAAATGTAGCCCAAAGCGAGACCAATTATGTAAGGACTGGCTCGTTGATGAGTGACAAAGTAAATGTTCTGCATGTACCACTCGATGTCAATGTCGCTGCAAAATTAAGATTTAAGTTTTCTGATAAAAACATTAATTAGAAGAAAAAAAAACTCACGAGGCTCCGAGAATGTACGAGGGGATCGCTCTGGAGCAGTAGATGGTGAGGAAAGGAATGGCGATTGACAAGAGCGCCACTGAGGTGAAGAGGAATTTGCCAACGTTGGGCCATTTCCACAGGGGGTAAACTATGAGGGGTGCCAACAAGCACAACTGGAAGTCCATGGCGAGGTACCATGTTTGGACCATACACTGAAAATTTAATTTTATTGAGTATACATGTATTTTTAAAGATCCTTCAAAAATTTTAAATTGATATTGATTAAAACCTCACATTGCTCAAAAATTATTCCTTTGTGGAAGTGTTTCGATTGTAAAATTTGCTGCTTCATGATTATAGCATATAATTTATTTTGCTTTGGCTTAAGAACAAAATAGTAAAAAAAATTAGTCTTTAGATCAAACATATTCAAAATGCATTTTGAATTATTATAACTCTGAAATAATATATTTAAATAAAATTTAACAAATAAAATATAAAAATGGCAGAATATGCAGGATAAATTTATATTTTTTTAATGTATTAATGTTAAAAAGTTAAATAATAAATTGCAATAATTTATTTTGCAATTGATTATATTTACTTGGTTTCTGTTGTCTATGTAATTATTGAGGTAGATGAGATTGTAGAACCAGTTGGTTTTGCAAGCGTCGGTGGGCTGCTCCACAAACTTGTTCCACGCAGGCCCACTGCTCAGGCGCACCAAGAGGGTTGCATAAAAGCCGAGCACAACCATGTAGGCCGGAGTAAGTCTGCAAAAGTCAAAATGTCAAAATGCTGCCGGCAATATGGAAACGTGAAAATAAATTCATTTGCGATTTTCAACTGTCAAACTTGCCTTAGGTAACGGCGGGTGTAACACGAGATGAAACTGAACCGCTTGTTTTCGAGGTCTCGAAGGTAGTGGTACGCCTTTAGCAGTCCCGAGATGAGCAGGAAGGTGTCCACGTTCAATAGGGTGTTGATCAGCGGCATTTTAATCAGGCTGGACAGAGCCTGAGAAAGGTTGCGTTCAATATTTGCTTGTGGGCCATTTTATTCAATTAATTTATTTTGAAAAAAGAAAAGAAGATTAATTAGAATTTTCAATATTTGAATAACAATAATTAACAATTTAAAAGGATTTTATTGTTTTGTTGCATTTAATAGCAATAATTTGTATTAAACCCAACTGAAATTATTGGTATTATGAAAAAATTTAATTTAAAAAAATATATATAACTGCTAATAAGAGGTAACCAATTTTTTTTAATTAAAATTATAATTGGCATGGCTGTTTATATTGTTGAAAAAGAATTTAACAGGCGCGCTTTTTTCCCTAAGAATAATAATTTATTTAAAATTAAACTTTTTTTATAAACAACCTTTGAGACTCATTAATATGCATATACTAATAGAAATTAAAATCGTAGTTTCAGATATATAATATTTTTTTTTTATACAAAAATTAGCGTAAAATTTGTTATATAGAAAAATAACTGTTTTAATTAGCTTTTGCTGTTGTTACCTCAACAAGCTCCAATTTATTTATCCACGGCTCCTGTGCGAAGTAGAGGATCTTGTGGGTCATGATGACCCAAAGTGTGCTAAAAACACGGATTCCGTCAAGCGACCCAATGACTCCAGGTTGAGTGACGTCCAATTTGAATAGTCGAGTCCAGTTTCTAGGCACGGAAAAGGCAACCATCGCCTTTCCAATCGGACCTAAAATTGCAATTTTAAATCAATTTTATTATATAAAAAATGCAGTGAGGCATAGAGAAAAAATTTGCAAGCATCAGCAAAGGAATTGAAGGTGTTAAAGCGCTGACTTTGAAATAAAGGTGATTAATCCATTCGCCCTTTGCTTGAAGCGACAATTGGCACTTAATGATTTGGTTGGAATAAACGCCATGTGTTGCGGTAATAAAATAGCGCCGCTGAGGTTTTGACAATGAATGGGGATTCGATCCCGCGGCTCTAACCTTTGCCTAAGGTCGGCTCTCAACATGACACTTTGTTCAATTATAAATGCAAATCTGTCATTAATCTGACTTGCAAATTTTTTCAATTAAATGCAGAAAGCGGCACTTAAATTTGCCATTCAGATCGTAAATCACCGGTTGTTGGCGCGATCGTCGTAATCTCGCCGCACAAAAGCTACTTACTCTCACTTTCCACGTAATTCAGCTGAGCAATGTCGTAGGCACTGCTGAGGAAGACGAGCAGCAGAAATATGATGATGACCAGTCTAGAAAGGGAAATTAATATGTATTATTATATATACCGGTCCGTTACTTCTTTTTTTTTTTTGTATCATCAAGCGCGTGATGACTTGCGAGTGCGTTTTTAACAAAGTCGCGCGCAAAAAAAAAGCATTGAAATGTGCAGCGTGTGCGATTCTTAAAGAAAGTCGCTGATTTTATTGCACCCGGAGTGTTTTACTCGCAACTCCTGCAGACTGCAACAAGTTGTTGGAGAAATTTCATCGCTTAAGAGATGAAATTTTCGGCCATCGGCAGCTAATTGAAGCTTTCTATCGGCTCGACGCAGATGAGAAAGCAAGACAGTTGTCTCGCGTAATACGCGACTTTTTAACTCAAAAAGTTACATTCAATAGCTTTGAATTTATTGCACTTTAATGAAATAAGTAAAAAAAAAATTAAATTTGTATTTCGGTAAATGAAGGTTTAAAAATTTAATGTAAAAAGCATTTAATTTCAGCTTTGTCGATAAATCACTTATTTAATATTAAATTAAAAAAAAAAAACTACAGTCATAAAAACTTTTTGAATTTATACCCTTAACCCTTTTTTTAAGATTCTATTTTGAATTCAAATCTTTAAATTTAGTTTAAAAATAATTTTTTTCATCAAAATCTTGTCTTAAAACTGCAGCGAACCAACAGATTTGACAAACGTGTGGGTTCAGTGCAGTTTTTAAGACAAGATTTTGAAGGAAACTAAATTTAAATAAAATTAATCGAGGGAAATAAGGATTATTTATTCAATACTGAAAATTTGATTTTTTTTTTTCAATCCTCGCATCAGTTTTATCTGGAGCAAATAATTATTTAATTTATTTACAGCGGCATTTCCAATTAAGAGTGTGCAATAATTTTTTAATTAGTGCACTAAGCAACCTAAAGGAAAACGAGAAATAAACCTGGAGATTGAGAAAACTCACATCATCGCGACTTCTCCTTTGGTGAAGGGCTTGGATGTCAGGGTCGTACAGGATTCAGGGTAAACCTGGACTGACGCCCTGAGTCCCGTAGGCTTGACGGCCCATTGCAAGGCCTCGGTCATTGCAATCTGCACGTCCTCAGGGGTGCAAGATGACGGAACGCAGCTTGCAAACTGGAACAAAGCCATGGACGGCAGCAGGTCCGGCACCTGCAAGTTGAAAGAAAAAACACAATTAATCGCAAAAGTGCCAATTAACGGTTCCAATGTATCTGAAGGTTGATTAAAAGAATCGAATTTTCAAACTCAGTCGGAATTCGCGTGACTGTCACTTTTCTTTGACAGACTTAATAATAATTTATGCAAATGCACCTTGGGTTCATTGTTCAGAGGAAGATCATTGTCTCGCTCTGGCGAAAACAAAAATCTCGTGTCGACCGAAACAATGAAAACCATTTTGCTCGGATGCTTTTCGCGCCACTTTCCTTTTTACGAGTTCAAGGCAAAGAGCAGCTCTCTCACTTTATTGTTTTCCCGCGAAATATTTATATTATGTTTTGCCAACGCTATTTTCGAAATTTTATGTGTTGACAACTCTATCTATCAGACCGTGACGTACAACGACTGCGTTGTAAAATGTGCTAATAGACTTTAAAAAAAAAAATACTAAAAAGGCGAAAAGCAATTCTGTGAAAACCGATTCGCGTATTCGGCAATTGTTCGCACGCAAACGTGCGTCAGTGAAGGAAAACAAAGGGTTCTTTTTTCTCGGGAAAGTATGCGTCTGTTTGCGTTGCGAGCAACGCTAATAATTGTAGTAAAGAGTGAACGAAACTAATCATGAGGATTTTCGTTGAGGCTGAACATATAGATTTAGAATAAAAAGTAAGACAAATCACTTGTTGAATGTACTAATTTGCACTGAAGGAAAACAAACATGTAAAAGCTTTCAGCGAAAGTAGAAGGTCGGTTGACAAATTTTGCTAGACTTTTTCACACCATTCAGTTTGTAAATTTCACGAAAAAAATCTACAGCAAATTTATAAGAAAATTTGCTTGATCTTTTTCGTGCAAACATAATAGTTTAAATAAAATATAGAATATATAGTCAATATTAAGACAAGACAAAAGTATTTACAGAGGTATCAAAAATTTGTCACGATGAAAAAGTAGTGATGCTCAATTCTATGCAAACATTTAATTAATTAAAATGCAAACTACGACTAAACATAATAATTTATAATAAAAATAAAAAATAAATTTAAATAAATGTTTTTAATATTTTATCTAACCTTTTAAAATAAAATTGAATTGAATATAAAAATTAATATTTATTTTACTTAAAAACTTATAATTTAATTATGTATTCAAAATTTAAAGGGTAAGAAAAATTATATAACAATTATTAAATTATATCATTTTTACCGGCATATTGGTCCTGTTGTAAGTGATTTCAAGGGGCCGACGTCTGAGGGTGGCTGCGTCCAGAATTCTGTCCACTGACTCTTCGTATGCCTTCAAATGCACGTTGGCCAAACAGTATTGGCCTGTGAACTGTCTTTGGCCTTTCGAAACGACGGCCAGACATTCGTCAAACTGGCCGTAGCTCTTGATGTTGCCGTAAAGCAGGCCCGACGGCAACTTTGCTGTTGCATCAATCACTGCAAATAGAGAGAAAAAATATATTTTATTAAAAATTTTAATGTAATACCAGAAAAAAGTGTTTGATCGGCAAATAAATTAGTAAAAATAAATGTGAAGAGGAGAAATTGAGGAAGACTTCTTTCTTTTAATTGCACTCGAGTGAAAGTTGAAAAATTGCAATCGTCTTGATTTTGCCTTTCTGCGAAATACTGTGTATTTGTAGATTACACAGAGTTATTTTTAATGAATGAAAATTGAAATTGTGTAATTTGGGTCACAAGCAAGCAGACGCGTACATACGTATCCACTGGGCGGCCTTGCCGAAATTCCCAAACCGCAGTGCACACCTTTTTTATTGTTTGACAAGGGGCTTAACTGATATTTATTTATCCCACTTAACTTAATCTCATACCCACGGAAACACGTTGCGGCATGAATGTACTCACAGAGCGTTAAACCCCACTGCTAATTGTAGTTATTTCTTGAGAGTTGAAACGTAATATTTACTTTTAATTCCTCAGGAAAATTTCTACAGAAAATTATTTTATCATCAACAACAAAAAAAGCTGATTTTTTTCTTAATTTTTACTTCAAATTCACAGGTAATAATATAATTTGTGATTAAATTGAGTTTGAATTGATAATAATTTAAATTTCCTTTGGAAAAACTTTTTAAAAGAGTAGAAAAAATAATTGAAAGTGTAGGTTTTTGTGAAATCGAGCACCAATGTTATCAATTCAATTTTTTAGTTTCATTTTTAATTTTTTTTTATTTTAAGAATCATCTTTTAATAAAATTATGCAAATATTTTCGTATTTAATTATTATTTTAGTTATTTATTGTTTAAAATTCACTCATTGCTAGTTCTTTTGAGCACCGCGTATTTGCTTCATATTAAATTGTCCAACACATATGCAAATAAACCGTTTATGATCTATCGATGTTGAAAAAGAATTCACGATATTATGTTAGTGCAGAGAAACTTTCATCTCTCGCACGTGATTTGCATTACACGCCGCCTCACAACGCATCAGGCACGTATTCGATCTTATGGAGTTGGCGTCTCTCTGATTTGCATAAAAAAATCAAGAACAAATATTACAGAAAAAATTATTATTTTCGCCACTTGAACAATCAAAAGCCATTAGACGAATGGGCACACGCGCTGCGACTGATTGCACAGGTTTAAAGAAAATTGAAATGTTGCTCCAGAGCTCATTGAGCAATTAAGGTCGTTGCAGAATTGGCGAGTTTCTTCGCTCAATCAAAATGGATTTGTAGCGTTCCGGATTGTGGTATTTTGAAAGATCGCACACGGCCCTTTTGCAATAGCATAGCTGCAGGTTCTGAAGGTGACTCAATCGTGCGTCGGTTTGGGATTTGGTAAAAAAAAAGAACAACTTTTGTGTGTTTTGGGGTTTGGGGGTTATTATTGTGAAGAGAGACTTTCTTCAACAACGAGTTTTTCATTTAAATTGACACCTTGAATAAATTATAACTTGCTGGCCTTTAAAATTTAGTACGCGCGATGAGGAAAAGTTTAGAGAGAATCAAGCAACGGGAGAAGCTATTAGATTTTATCTTTTCGTTAATCAAAAAGTGTGCTTTGCCTTTTCTTTAAGGAATAATTATATGGAAAAAAAACCATTAACCATTTTACCAGATATTTTATGACAGAGAAAATTATCCTTGATAGTTTACGAATTTATTAAATTTTGCTGTATTTGATTTTTTAGCAAATAAATCATGAAATTAATTTTTAGAACACAATGCCGTAAGTTTTTTTTATTCAATTGATTGTAGACAGCGGTATTCATTCTTCTCAACATTATTTGTTATTAAAAAAATAAAAAGATTAAATTCTTTTCATAAGCGACTATGTTTTCATAAATTCATCTGACCCTCACGTCATTATTAATTTGCATATGTGTTCACTTTCAATTAAATATTGTAATAAAATTGTATTAGTAATTGCCACAAATCAGCTGTCACAGGAGTTTAATTCGATTGTACTTTTTTTTTACTTTCAGAATTATTGCTATTATTGCTAATTTCACCAACATTCTAGTTGCGTATAGATTGATTGTTAAAACTTAAATCTCAATCCTTACTATTGATTGAAAATTTATATAAATAAGTCTTTTTTTCAATTTGTAACTTTTAACATAAAATGAAGAAAACACACGTTATTTAAAAAATTTTAATTAACAATTTAAAATAATGTTTTAAAATTAGAAGAAAATAACTCATAATTAAGATTTATGAATAATAAATAAATAATAAATTATTATGTGGGCTGAATTAAAAACTTTAATAAAACTAATATTATCATGTTTTTATAATTAGCTATATTGGTTTTCTACACTATGGAACCTATTTTCTGTGTACGATTTCTGGATATAGTTTTCTTCATTAAATTTCAATGGATCCATTTTCTTTGTGCGGTAATTAATTCCAATTATCTGTGTCTCTCTGAATTTCTTGAACGCTATTAAAGTTCATTGGTAATGCTTTTAACCGGTGCCATTTGAATATCTACTTGACACAATCTTGTAAAACCAAATTCAAACACGAAATTTATCTCATCCAGATCTAGCAGAACAAGATACGCGATAGAGATCCGCAGCTCGAGGTCGCGCGCATAAAAAACTTTTGCAATATTTCGAAAGTCTGCGTAATTACATGGGTTCAACGTCCCGATTCAAAATAGTTCTCTCGTCGGAATTGAATTTCATCAGTGCGTCGATCGTCGGTCTAATTATCCATAATCCCGTGCAAGTCGCTCCTCGCACGCTTATCAGATGCGATGATTTTGTCATCTAATAATAATTGCATGCACACTTAAGCCGGGTCTAATGGGAGCGTCGAGTGCAGCAGGAGGAAGTGACCCAGTGCCTAAAGAAAGTGAAAGCGGTCGTTCGTTCGTTCGGTCGCCACGCTCGGTTCGTTTACGCGCCGCACGATTCTGGGGCTTCATCATCGTGACCCTGACTCTGTAAAGCCGACCGACCGACGCGCACCAAAACCACCGGCCGAGACTAAATAAACGCACATGGGTTTCAAAAAGCTACACACGAAGACCGTTTTAACTGTTAATGATGCAAAAAGCTGCCCAACTGGGGAATGCCACTAATTGAAGAAGTGGGTAATTAACATTACTGTATTTTGCGTAACATCTTCAGTTGGCCACTCTGTAATAAGACAGAACTTGCAAGTTGCTCGTGATGATTTTCGGAATATTTTTTCTGAACTATTATGGACATTTTTGTAGATTTATTTAATAACTTTAAAATTTGAGATGGACTTAAATTAAACAAATTATTCTTTTCATCATAGAAGTGAAGAAATTGGGAAAGAAAAAAATTATTTCAAATTATTTTTATTCAAATTCAAAATAGGAAAAGACCCGATTTCTTCACTTCCATGATCATCTCTTCAAATGTCAATTTCTTCAAACAAAAAAGTTGCCAATTTTTGCTGATGTTACACCAATTTTGAATCGGAAAGAGTAGATATTGATGCAATATTTAGCTAATTGAAGAACCAAAACTCAATTAAAGCTCTGAGACTTATTAAAAAGCTTTTTTGATGTTATTTTTAATTCACTTTATAAAATTAATTCTGAAAACGGATCTTTTATCATTTGTGGATATGTTTAAAAATGATTAAGTAACATTTAAAACTGTATTGCAAGGAACTTTTCTCCATTACGAACGTTTCGGAATTTCGTAAAATGTCATGAAGATTTATTTCAAACGCTTGGACTAATGTTTCCTGTTCTAAGAAAATAAAAAGTAAAAATATCGTATAATAATCTTCAACCTAACCAAAATATTTATTGACTTTTGTGTTAAATTGCCTCTTTGTCTTTGAATATCAAATCCTTTTTCTTTAAAAAATTATAGCAAAAATCAAAAATATACCAAAGATGTAAATTGTATTTTTATTCCGCACAAACAATGCACAAAATGACAAACTACAAATACTTTTGATATTATTTTGCTTAAAAAGATATTTTTCTGGGACATATTCAATTCAAATTTTAGCCAAAAATGACTCTCTTTGGGGGATTAAAAGACCTTTTCACTAGACTACTCATTAGTGACAATTTTTAATTAACCATTTGTAATTCCAAAGGATCACAAATTTAATGATGATTATCAGTTGATCTTTTTTATTTAATATTTATATTGAAGAAGTAAAATGTTTTGTAATAAATTTGGCAAATAAACAGCAACAATAATAAAAATTTAGACTCATGTAGTTGATCGTCAATACCATAAATTGGTTCAATAATATCAAGAAATAGATGTTTTTAGTTATTAAACACCAATTTTACCAAATTAAATTTCCATCACAACTTAAACTTTCTCAGAGTCGTTGAGGAAAAACCACTGCCCCCAACTTGCATTGATGAGTGAAAAACGCATTAAATTTCTCTCAAACATGACCGCACGTATGCCAGCGAGCGGGATCAGCCCGAGCGGCGCGCGTGGTTGAACTTTCGCGGAATTAATGTTGGTCAGCATCTGGTGCTGGTGTGCGCGAAAATCGTCTCAAACGAGCCTGATTCCTCCTCGGAGGAGGAACCACTTTCTACGAGAACCTCCTGTTGGACCAATTAAACGCGCAATCAGCTGAGTGTTTGGGAAAAACGAGCGAGTTCAATAACATTCCGAGACGGATGCTGTGATCTGTCAGCAGAACAGCGGCCTGGGTCTAGTGACCCAAAAATGCGAGGCTGAGATAGACGAGAGAGGCGCCAGCTGAGAGAGCAGTTTATCCTCCTCGTTAATCCCGAAAACGGTTTTTGATGAATCGATCCGCGTCACTGCTTAAGTAAGTGACTCTGCCGCTTTTTGCTGCTGCAACAATTGTGCGCGCGCGGTTTGTCAATAAAAGTACAATGACGCGCGGTGTTGCGGCGCAGCTGCTTCCTCGTTCTGCTTCATTGTGGAAAATTTAATTTATTGCAGTCTCGATGAAATTGCTTTATTATGCTGCCCACAATTTCTTGTCTCAAATCGCCAAGATCCAGTTCAAAAGCTTTCTCTGTTTTTCTCTCCATAATTGTAATAAAACTAAATAATCATAGGATTAACTTAATTCTCCTATAAAAATTCAATCAGAACCTGTTGCAACTTTAATAAGACAAGTTTTTTTTTTAAAATACTTTGAAAAACATGATTTCAGAGAAAGAAGGCAAATTAGGGATTTCATGGCAGCATCAATTCCTTGATGGAATATTTCAAAATGGTTCTATTGTTTCTATGTTAAAATGTAGCATTTCATATTTTTTTTTTAATTTTTTAAATTTTACTCGTTTTGCCTGAAACATATACTTTTGAACAAGTTACACGAACTATTATTAAAAATGTTGATTTATCAATGGTTGAAGGAGATCATTGCTAACTAAATAAATTCAAGAGATCAAGAGAAGATTGCAATTATTATCAGGTTGTTCTTTTTTGATGCATGTTGGACGTATACATAAATTTTTAAATTTTATATTTTATCAATAATAAAATTAAATTTTCTACAACACACTTTGAAATAAATAAAAGAACAAACAAAAAATAAATTTTGTTAAAAAATAAAATAAGTAAATATTAATAAATTTTAAATTTCAATAGTTGTTATATTTCAATAAAATAAATAAGTTTATTTTATTGCAGTATTTCAATTTTTTTATATAATTAAACGTTTTATTAAATAATTATTGTCTATTTCAGCCTTTTCATTGCCAAAAGCAAGCAAATTAGAAAATAATCAATCCAAAAATCCACATTTTGGCTATTTAATTTGAAATAGCAAGTTTCTGATTTAAATTTAATAAATATGGCTCCTGTTAAATCAAATACCAACAAGAAGTGATCGTCGACGTCTAAAAACTCTCGCGGTTTGATCAATCAAATTAATGGAGGCGCGACAAAGATGACTCACGTCTGGTGGCGAGTCCGTTTTTCTTTCCTCCACGTTATACGTCCCATATTTTCAAGACCCAAACACACACACACAGCTGGTTCATTTATCATAAAATACAGCAGTTTGTATTATAAAGGTTAAGTAACGGGCACTCTTCTTCTTCTATCCTTTTTACCGTGAGCCAAAAATTGTTTCCAGCGGCGGCCACCTGGCCCGGAATGCTAATAAAGTGACCGCTCCGCTCGCGTTGGCGCCGACCGGTCACTCTGGTGCGCGAATCGGCCATTTGGCGCGTTGACCCAGGTCAGCACTTCGTCTCTATAGAATTCACACAAGACGGCGGCGGCGGCGGCTCTCTTATTTTTTTTTTATTATTCTCACACGCCGTAGGAAAATTTACTTTCGGAATTCACGCATCCGCCGGCTGCTCTGCGGCGGCGAACAACTAATTTTCTCCGGAGAAAAGTTTTGCTTTCTTTGTTAGCACAGGTGAGAAGTTATTGACAAGTCATGCCGAGTGAAAATAATGGTCTCTTTGCGTCACTTCTGCATGGGAAAAATAAAATGCAATTTGGAACGAGGCGTTACATATATCAGCTTTCAAAAATTGCATAATGAAACTTTTCACACTCTGTTAAACAGACGAAACAAAGATTGAATGACCTTCAGCTTTGATTAAGAAAACGACAATGGCTTTGTTTCAAAATAATATCAGGATTATTTATATCATTTTTGGCATTTTTATTTTTAGAATTGTTTTTCTTGTTAGAATCTGATTTGGCTCACCTACAAAGGAAGTTATTTTTAATATCCCTAATTTAGAAAAAGTTTTAATTTGTATTAAATATTTTTTCACTCTACAGTTCCACCATAGATCATTACATATTAAAATTATGTTATTTTGACTTTACAATCTGTGAGACTAAAATCTCTTTTTTATTTTGCATTTCGCATACAAAGATTTTTCTGGCATTTTGAATATTCATTTAAATTTTCTTAAGATAATTTATTATTATTATTTATTCTTCTCGGTCTATACTAAAAAACGATACTTTAATTTAAAAACTGAGTTTTTTAAAGTTAAATCTCTAAAATCAACTCAAAAATATAATCCAAATTCTCTTTTAAAATGTTATTATTCTCCAGTAGAGAATTAAAAAATTAAAACTAGCTCAGAAAGACTTTAACAGTTTTGCTTGTAAGTTGGTCTATTTGAACAAAAAGCATTTTCAACAGTTATTTAAATTGAACTGCTTTATTTATTCCTCAAAAAGAAAGATAATTATGAAACATTGGTTTTACAAGGCATGACCAAGCACGTGAGATAATTCTTAATTCCTTTTAAATTTTTATGGCCAATTGAATTTTCTCCTGCCGTGTCATGATAATTATCGTAATTAATTATTTTCAAGATCTGTAATGACATCTCTGTTGGTTAGTTAATAAGTTGTGACTTCAGATTTCCATTGTATATAACTTTCCCTTAGAGCTGTCAATCAATGGGCAAAAACCGCAAAATGATGTGCAATGAAATAAGTCAATTATCAGGCCCTAAAAGGACAGTTCTTTTGGTCTGGTGCACATCTTCCGTGGTCATCTGAGATTGGCTAATATTTTCAATCACCTCAATTAGCAAAAATGTTACATCAAAATTAACACTAACCCTTGAATTTGTTATGCACGCCTAATTGAAACAACCTTTTAAGCGTGTCAGTGCCAAATTAAATAAATGAAGATGTCATCCACCGCCTGTTATGACTAATCTCATTTTTTATATTCATTTATCTTTCACAATTCTAACTGGAAATCCGCATCCCGGAAAAATCTCTCTTGATTAAATTTTCGCAAAAAGCTCGGAAAAGCCATCTCATCGTAAAATAATTGAGGAAAAAAGGCACTTCAGAACGACTTCCATAAAAAAATTATTATACCGAGTGCATTTATCAACAACCTGTCAGTTTTTAGTTGAACTCAATTTTCTCATCACAATTTACATAAAAAAAATCGGGGAAGCCCGGTGAATCATATTATAGGAAGGAGGAAAAAGTTCCGAAGAATCACGGTTGATAAATGATAATTCCCGGACTCGAAAGGAGCTCACCTGCGCCTGCACCGCCAACAATAACACATAATTCTATCCTATCAAGCGCGGCTCAAATTCCAGTCCATAAGGTCAAAACGCAGCTTCCAGCGTTCATCTCGAACGAGAGTTTGTTTGTTTATTTTTCGATCCAAAAACGCAACGAAGCGGACCCGCCGCGTTATTTAATTGCTGAGAGGGTGTTACGTGATCGCATAGTCTGTCAGCAGCGTAATAGAGTGTAACGCTTGATGCATGAAATTAACTCACTTTCTATTGCATGCTTCAATTTTGACGACACCTTCTGATGAATTGGCGTGCACGGGAAGCGGTCAATTATTATTTACGATACAATTGACGGGATATTAAATTTTTTTATTTGTTCAAAAATTGTTTTGAAATTCGCACAGCCGGAGGACAATAAAATCGTTTTGGCTCTGCAATAACCGGACGAGGAAGCGATTTTTAACGAGAGAATAATAACAACACGCAATAAAAAGAGTTGCAAATAAATTTATAAATAATTTCAGTTTGGCCTTATGATTTTTTATTATCGCCATTTGTGGCTTAGATATTTATTTGATGTATTTGATAATTTGACGAAAGCTTTTTTAGTTTGATGCATAAAAGGTAGTTGTATCCCTTCTGCTTCTTTATTAATGACACACAAAAAATATTTTAATCATCACATTATATTGTGTTTTTATTTAAATTAAAAAAATTGTAACCTTGAGAAGCATTGTAATGAGGTAATGAAAATAAATTGAGCATAATTATACGAGAGTTTTTTTTATGAATATAATTAATTGAAACGACAAAAACTGAGAATGTAATACTTTTTTTTTCAAATTAAAATATTTCACAAATAATTGATGTATGAATGAAAACTTATGAAACATAGTTTGAAACTAGGAAAGAAACATTATCATTTCATTTAAAACTTTGCAGCTTTTAAGGATTTAAAATAATTTCAAAAAGATTCAAAAACTAAACAATATGCACAATTCATCAAGATTAAAAAAATAATAGTAACAAAAATATCTTTAAACTGAATATAATTTAAATAATTTTCACGCAATTATTTCATATATATGGACCAAAAATTAAATTTTTAACACAACAAAGTTTTAAAAATCGTACAGTATTAAAAAAATGTAAATATTCTCGAATATATCGGTCCATTCTCGAGTGAAATTCGGATATGTTCGGTTGAGGATACAGACGCATCCCGTCATCTAAATTTTTCATTCATAAAATTAGAAAGTTTTTAGGCAGCGAGTGTTATTTTGAGAATGATTATCGACTGTGTTTCCGGTTTAAGTAAGAAGTCCTCAATTGTGCAGTACGTGTGTGAAGCACGCGACGGTTTTTCTCCAATTAGATGGATTCGTCATTTTTTTTTCCATCGGCGGCACAGGTGCCATAATCATAAATTTATATCCACGCGCCGAGACACAGTTTAACATTTCCGAGCACGTGTGACGCTAATGAAATTTTCAAAGCAGCCGCGTGTGTATCGGAATTGTTAAAAAACATTTGAAAAATTATAAAAAAAAATCGAGTGAATTCGAAGGAGGAGTGAAACCGTCTTGCATAAACTGCACTTTCTTGTTTTGTTTCGCGCGTGCAAGGTCATCAAAAATTTCGCGTCCAGTTGTAAACATAAATCGTAGTCTCGTTTTGCAATCAAATTTTCCCAACGCGGATTTTTCAAAACTCATTCACTGTTTTCGACTTAATTTGTCTTTCAGACACGCGCTTTCCCGATAAGGAAAATACTTGTTTTTGAAATTTCTCAAATGTGCAAAGATCTCGATTGCCGAAAGAATTTTTGCAATTTTACGTTACAAAATCATATTATTTAAATTTTTCAGAGCAAAAAGAATTAAATGTCCTTAAAAAGCCTTATAAACAAGTTTACATTGTTTATAATCATTTCTAATTAACATATTCCCTCTGTTAATTTTCATTTATTTTCGAAATTTCTGAATATTTGAACAAAACTCACTTTTGAGCGCCCACGGCTCGAGCGTTTTGACAGCTTGGAGGACGGCCAGACTGTCCAGACGACACGCCTCGCTGACTTTGGACGAGGTTGGCAAAAATCTGGACACGACACTGAAGTAGTCGAAGCCATCGTCGGCTTTCGGTTCCGGCTGCACGAGCGGCACCGCCTTCGATCGCACGGGACTGAAGATGACCGAGTGTGTCCGGTTGGCGTCCGACGGGCTGGCCCGGTGTCCGGACACCAGCACCAGCAGGCACAGCAGACTCAGTAAGTTGCGGGTTTGGGCCATTGTCGAGTGTGCAGGTCCAACCGCTGCGCGTTCACATCACTAAGTAAGTAAGTGTTGTGGCCAAAGGAACCCTTCTCGCCCCACTCTCCACGCGGTCGGTCGGTCGGCCGGTGAAAGCGGGTCCTGCCATGATGCTGTGTGCAATGTCACAGGGAAGGGGCACGACTTGTCCCATACTCTGCTCCCAGCCGCCTTTCGGTTTTTACTTCTTATAGTTGACGCCAAAATTTGCTTTATTATTATTATTTTCATCACCATAGCAAATTATATACAAAAATTTTTCTGCAAAAATTATTGAAATGTTAAAAAGAGATATTCAAGATTAAATTATTATTTTATTTTAATTTTCTTCGAGATTTTATTGTTGATTTCGACTACATCTCCTTCGACACGTTGAAATTTAAAATAATGCAATATTTTATTTTCATTCATGACTATTCACTGCATAATTATGCACACGAACACTGGCTGTACCTATTGAATCTTAATCACAATTAATGTTTCATTAAAAGTGGAGGTTATTCATTATATTTTTATCAGCTTTTGCTTACATATTGTCACATAAAAAAAGTCTTACTTTAAAAAAAAATTTAATACATTTGGAAATAAAATTTTAAATGTTTAAATATAAAATCAATTTCAAAATAATATATAAAATCAAAAGCATTTCGTTATGAAATTTAATATTAAAATATGTAAATAACTGTAAATTTATTTATAAATGTACAAGTTTATTACTTCAAACTTTTATGCAGATTGGCATATACTCTATTGCTCTCATTTTTTTTGCTATTCTTGAAAATATTAGAATTTTTGATGATTTTTAAAGCATAATTTTTCATCAAAAGTTTTGCTTAAATTTTTAACCTTTTCCATCAACTGCCATAATTATTTTCAAAACTGCTCTATTATCTATTTATCAAGATAAAATAAACTTTCTCATCATGTTTTTTTTTAGTAAGGTCAGGCCAAGACAAGATCTTGTCGCCTGTTCCCTTTATTAGTGGTGCAGAAGGCACCACCTATTTTTTTCTTTTTTTTTAGTATTTCGCACGTCTTTCAAAATCACCATATTTATTAAAAAAAAATCTTGCTTTCAATGACCTTTGCCTGCAATCGAATTCATCTAGACGTTCCATATATATTATTTTTCATTCTCATTTTTCAGAATGTTGTTATGTTTACTGCTCAAATCCAGATTGCTTAAGGTCTCTCACCATCCCACTAAATTAAAATTAACAGGGCGGCGCGTGTTTTCAGGGTGAAAGAGGTGCCGCGCGTTAATTCTCTCGCGAATGTGCCAGACGAGTTTCGAAGGTTTTCGCAGGCGGCTCGATTTGCTACGATGTTCTGCGGCCTTGATTTTGACGCAAGGGCACAGTCACAGTGGTCCTAGTCTTACCCACTCGCACACAACAAGTAATGTACGCGGTGGGCGCCTCCGAACTCCGAACCACATTATTGGCAATAAATTAACCGGCCATCGGGTTTTACACACAAGCCACGAAATTTTCCTAACTTGAATTCGTTGAACTGACTCGAGGAAATAATTCACGAAATTGTTAATTAACGAGCCTTTCTGCGATTTCGTTGCCACACACAATTTTATAATTGGTTTGCAAACCGCAAATAGTGAAATTTGATAAGTGGCCTGAAAATGATGTAAAAGTAAAATCGCTTCTCCAAAATGTCGGCTTATTTATTAGATCAAATAAAATTTATTCTGTGATTCTGGATATTGAAATTTTCCTGGACTTTTTAAACAAAATTGAAACGCTGCAATTTTAGAATTAATTTTTAATTAATAGCTAAAACAATTTAGTCCTTAAAATTTCAATTGTTTAAAGGTTTAATTAATTAAATTTGTTTGAAGAAACTGACGCTTAAGGAGATGATCATGGAAATAAAGAGATCGGGCTTTTCCTCGTTGCGAAAATTGTTTTTATCCAAAATCCAAATAAAAAACGGCTCTACCAGTTTCGGTCACGGTTTGCGACCCTATTTCATGAGCAAGAAAAATAAAAAAATTAAATCAGCTAAATTAAAATAAAAATTTAAATCTTAAAACAAACAAAATTTAATGTTTTGTAAATCACTATTAAATATAGGATCTAAGAACGCCATTTCGTGTGAACATAGGAAGAGGTAATTTATTTTCTATAATTGCATCGCAGGAAGCCACTTAACGCGCCGCTAAATTAAACAAAGGCGTGCGATTAATAAGACCCGCATTGATTATGCACAAGTGCACTCTTGCCTTTCGCTATTGAATTAATGAGAACGTGTGCAATAATATGAGTTGCATAAAGTAAGATAGGAAACAATCATACGATTCTGACGACGAATTACGAATTCTCGCAAAAAATACGTTGATCACACACCACGGGAATTCCTTCTTGCTGATTTGTTTCTTCATTTCCAAACGTAGACTTTTCTAGGCGATAGATGCATCGAGGAAAATAACAACAAAACCGCAATGGGGATTTCAAAAGGAAGAGAAGTGGCGTGACAAAATAACCTGGTGAAGGTCAATCAGGGATGCGATTTTTTGCTTTTGAATCACAAACATGAATTCGATTATCATTATTCTCGACTGAAGTGACGCTCAGACTATTCAGATCCCTTTGAGAGGGAAACAAAGGAGTGAAAAAATATATAAGTTTCTTGCGGCACCTTTTATATCAACCGTTTCGAAATCATCTTGAATGGACAGTCACAATGTTTGTCAACATTTTTACAGCTTGCAAGTGTCTGTCACTTCTTGAAAGGATGACAACGAAAATTAAAAAAAAAATCTGCTAAATTAAATTTAAAATGAAATTTTTGAAAGGCTGCGGCACGTAAATCATCAAGGGTGCTAAAATATGGCCGAATAACCAAAACTTCAAACTAAAATGAGAAATGAGATGAAATTGCGAAACTTTTCACTCCAGAATACAACAATTGGAAACGATGGCCTGAATTTTATTTATGAGAAACTCCTCCCTTAAATTGAAATTTTGATTTAAAACGTCCAAGTTTTATTGAATAATTTCGAAGCAAAATGAGACGTTTATAATTTAAAATTGTTTGTTACTTAAATAGAAAAAAAAATACATAAACAATAGGAAAGGTTTTTTCTTTTTAAATAAAGCTACGTGCAATAAAACACATTCAGCGTTGATTTCCTATTGCCCTTGTTCCTAACAAGCAGTACTAATAAGTATTAATTCCATTTGTTATTGATTTTTACTTGGCAATGAAATGCAAAAAAAAATCCAACAGAAACAGTGAGATTCTTTGATGCTGAAGGACTGAAGAGACACAACATGCTATTCACTGAACCCTGTAAATACTGATCGGTCGTCTGTATATTAATTTACCCTACCTCAATTTAACTCTGAGTTGCGCAAATTGGTTTGTTGCATGCCAAGAAATTTCTTCGTTATAATTATAGAATGCACCTTAACTAGCTTTTTAGTGCGCCTCCAGGCGATGAATAATTTTTTCCGTCTCTTTCTAATGTATTCGGCAGCAATCAAGTCGACATTTGGCACGCTGTGCCTGGATTGTTAAATGTATTGGGAAAGTGGTCCCGCGAAGAAACCAGTTTGGATGCTGAGCGCTGCAATTATGTAAGACGCAACAGCGCGGCGCAGAAAACGCGGTTTTTCTCGGGCCAAATGACCCGACAGCCCAAAAAACAAAACTAATGCATGCCTCGTGGCCCGATAATTGGCACACCGACTCCCACAGCAGCCTTTGAGCAAGTGGGTAGATCAAAAAAAATAGGTTCCGATAATGCATTTTTGATTGGAAACAAAATGACACTCCTTACGAGCACATTTTGTAACACTTACATCATTTTTTTTATTTACAATAGTTGAAAAAAAATATTAAAATTAAAAATTATTGAATGTTTTATTTTAAATTTTAAGTGAAATTGCTAAAGAACTAATAGAAATTTTCTCTTTAAAGTTAGTATTTGGTTAGAGAAAAAAGAAGATAATTAAATATATTTGTCGTTTTCATTTCCTAGCTCAAGAAACAAGTTCAAGCAATTTAAGAAATTTAATTGTAAGTCCTTTCCTGTGAAAAATTTGTCCAATAAAACTTTACATTTTTTGATGATTTTTTTGTTATTAAAACAACTTATTTGAATGTTGTTTGATCCCCCTAAATGAAAAACTATGGACACGGAAAAAAATTATAAATTTTTTTATTGCAAAAATTAAATAGATTTTTGTACGAATCATGATTCGCACCTCTCAATTTGAATTTGCAAAAAAAATTATGTTGGTGAAATTTTTACATTCTCATAGGAGTTGTTTGATAATGTTTGGAAAGAAATCAGCTCAGTCATAATTTGACTTATGATTTAGTGAATTTTGATTGACTTAAATTGATGAATATTTTTTATTACTTTTCTAATTGTATCTCATTCCAGAATATTTTAACTTCCAACTGAGCCGCCATGAAATAAAAAAGTTTGGGTCGAATGAACTCATCTCTTTACGGATCTGTTGCAAGTCACAGTTGCAGCTACTTTATGCTCATTTATCACTTCAAGCAGCTTTTTTGACCATAAAAAAACCAAACTTCCCATCAGGGTGTAATCTCTTTCCTCAACATGACGCGTGACTCACCTAATAATATAAATGGAATTCATTTTTTGCCCCCATTGTCGTCAGCAAAATATACTCAGAATTAAAGCTGAATTTCGTTTTTGCCACTTCATTCAAATCAAGTGGATTTTCTGTCCGGCCAGATGTCTCGTACGCAGTGCCCTCTGCTGAATTTATAGAGGGCACACTGCAATTTTAATTTTAATTGTATTCTTAATTATTTTTCTTTCCATTTTTACTTCCTCTTACTCGACGTGACAATAATTTTTTGTCTTTATGATATTTATTTCAATTCATTCCAAAGTTTATTCAGACAATTGGTTTTTGTGAATTGCGTCATTGTGATTCAAAGTATTTGAAACTGCATTTGCGACGTATTTTGACTTATTTACTCGATAAAACTTTCTTGTGTATGGTAAGAATATTTTGAGAATTTATAAATAAATTTCTGGATTATTT